AAAGGATTGGGCGATCAGGGCGAGAAATTTCAAAAAAAAAAAAAAAAAAAAAAAAAAAAAAAAAAAAAAAAGAAAAAAGAAAAAAGAAAAAGGAAAAGAAAATCAATAGGCGCAGCGACTCGGTACTATTATTTGTTGGTCCATGATGCATGCACAACATTTTTTTTTTGGCGAACACAGACTGTGGCCCCAGTTTCCGGGTGACTTGGCTCAAAGTCACTAGTACGTCCATCCGAAAGTCTGCTAAAAGTCCCTCGGGACTCCATCTGCCCCGTGCTAGTAGTAGCTCTAGCACGCGGAACAGGTCCCTAACCTTCTCTCACTATACCCTTTTGGAGTGATTAATGGAAGATATGTACTAGCGGTCAAGAAGATCCATGGCTCTGGTGACGGCACTCGCAGCGTCACGCAGTAGTCTGTGGACAGTGACCATACGGAGCATCCGTATCGAAGGCTGTACTTTACCTTGGTGAGAGGTTCCATTCTATTTGGACCCGCTACCCGGTTCCCCGATGTGGTGCTGATTCGTCCAATATCCCAGCAATCCCAGCTTCACCTTTTTTTCCTTCCTTCTTTTCGCATCTCCACGGGACCCGCGTATAGAGTGGGCTTGTGGACACTCAATCTTCGCATGCGATAGACGCAGAAAATGGATACCCCCATCGGTCTTGGGCTGTGTCATCGCTTCGTTTTCCATGCTGCCGGTTCGGGCTATATGGGTCTCTCTCTCACCGCTGGAAAATCACGGCTGCTGTCAACGGCCATGATCGCCTGCCTATCCGTCTAGCTGTCCGACGAGCTGTCTCTCGCTCGTTCTCGCTGTCTTACAGTACGCGCTGCTGCTGCCGGGATGGTCAGGCTTGTTCTGCCCAGACCCATCAGGTTCCCTTTCGAGGATAAATAAATCAGGGCCCAACATGGGTTCATAAATATATCCTCATCCGACGCCCTTTTCCATTCTCTTCCTATCATTTTTTCTTCTCATCACACATTCATCACTTTAATCTCTTGGGTGCCTCATCTTTCTATTTTACTTCTTTTGAGTCTTTTCTTGTTTGCCTTTCTTTATATATATTACGCTTAATCTGGGCAACTGGTTTTGTCCAAAGCACTCATACCTAATCACCATCTCAACCTCTTCATCCTTTTTATAGAATAATACCTTTACAACCTTCACCGTGGCTACACTCGGGATCAGCGTGTTGCCGGCACCTTACGCCAACTCGGTGCATTCCTCCCCTCAGTGTCATTCACTTTCGGGCTATCAGATCAGTCACCACAACATTCACTCGACTGCTTCCCCTCTCTCTCGCCCCAAGCCAACGGTGCTATTGGAGAGAGGAGGGCCTACGCCATGCCCCAGTGTGCAGCGTCTGGCGAGCAACGGTGACGCCAAAATGCCCGTGTCGCACAACCGTTCCTTTTCGGGCTCCTCGTCTGATGACCTCTCTCCGACGCCTACAGCCGAAGAATCCCACAGTCCGGTTGACAAGAAGAGGAAGGCAGACAGTGAGTCTCCCGAGATGGAGATGCGGGACTCTGAGCGTCCTCGGCCAGTCTCCTGGCCTTCGGGACCCGTGGAACCCCCGACGCAGCTTCCTCCTATTGCTGTGCCTTCCATCCTGAACCCGGCCAAGGGGGCATCTCACGTCCGTATGCCATCCTCTCCCACCCCACGCTTCGCCCAATCGTCATCGGCCCACCCGGCCAAACGGCTCTCGCTTTCCCCGGGATCGCAACATCGCTCGATGACCACACCCATCTCGAGCAGCTATCCCGGGAAGCTGAGCACTCATAACTCTCCTCTGGCACATGAGTCCCGGCCTGGTGTGTACAGCACGCCTGGATCCCCGTTGACATTGGACCCTCCGATGATGTCGTCTGCCCCGGCGCCCACATCGACCTCTGTTCACTCTACGCCAACCTTCCACAGCCGGCGGATCAGTGCGGGCCCAACTCCCAACCCAAGCCCGCAAGAAACCACCGCTAGCACTCCCCAGTCCGTCTACAGCCACTTTGGACGGTCGTCCCCTTCCTTGTCTGGGCCATCGCAGGTGCCGCCCATGATGCATCCTTCGCCCTACGGGACACCTGACTCTGCCAGCCGTTTCCCACCTGCGATGGGAGGCCACCGTTACCCCACAGAACCTCCGATGCAGATGGACCAGAACGGCACACTGATCCCGTGCGTCCTGGACCTCAAGTCCGGCTCCTCGAGCCAGGCAGAAAAGCGCAAGGCCAACAGCGATGCATCGCGCCGGTTCCGCAACCGCAAGCGGAATGAGCTGCAGATGGAGCAGAAGATTACTGCCCAACAGGAGGAAATGCGGAAACAGACCGACCTCCTGCATCGCCAAACTCAAGAAATCCGCGCTCTAGCGCAGGAACGCGAGTACTACCGCTCCGAGCGGGATTTCTACCGGGAACAACTCGGTCGGGTACTCCCGCCCAGCCAGCTTCCTGCACGCCCAGCCTCACCTCGGGCACTATCGTCTGTCATGGAGAAGCCCGCAGACCGCGGCAACGAGTCGGTGTGGCAGCAGGGCGCAGCACCCGCGACAAGCCTTCCGGCCCCCATCCCCGCCACGAGGGCGCCAGGCACATGGACGACGGCACCGTCCGCATACTCTACCGCTCCAACCGCGAACACCGTGGAGGAGCCTGCCCGATCGTTGCCTCAGATCTCTGCGACCTGGGCACGGTCCTAATTGACTTCGATTCGTTTTTGCACTTTTGAAAAGTACCTTTCTGGTCTTCCATTCCATGTATTACTTTTTATCTTCTCTTGATTTAGAAGACTTTCTGCTGCATGTCTTGAAGACGCCGGAAAGTCGTTGACTTTCGACCCTACTAATATTTTGATTCTGCAATGTTGGAGGACACAGTACAGATTGCAACTCATGCCACCTAGTGTGGCTTTGGTCTCAAAAGCGCGGGTCTTTACGCACATACTTTTGTTTATTCCTTTTTATTTCTGTTTTATAATTTGTCTGCTGTTTTTGTTTTGCATCCCAATGTTGGGCTTGGAGTTGGTATTTTGATATTTAGAGATATTTTGGTGTTGAGGTTAGACTTGATGCGATGCCAGCGACTGGTGACGACAGAACAATACATGATAGATACAACTTTGCTTTCTTTTCTTGAATTATGCCTTCTTTTGACATATCCTCCGTCTGAAACGCCACTGAAACTGCGATATCGGTGGAAGATCGGGCGTGGGATACGGGGCCGCCCACCAAGGGACTGAGGGTGTTTGAACGAAACAAACAAAGAAGTCCCCGGCTGCGCGAATTGAGTCGGTGCATTGAAGTATGACTGTATATATGCCCGTCGCCCCTTTCGGAAGAAGATATGTAGGGCTGATCGCGGCGCGAGAGATCCACCGGCTAACGGCTCTGCAGTCGATTTCCGTGCGATTCTTATCTGCCGAACTACTCTACTCCCTGCCCTCTACAGAGTACAATACTAGAGTCTATACAAATTGATATATTTAAATATCACTCAATCCCTCCTACCCAGTCGTTGAATTATCTCTCCCCACGTGGCCGCCGCCGGCCTATCAGGCACCTCCACTGCTCCACGTTGTGCCTAGCTTTTCCGACGTAAAATAGCAACTACGTTGTGCCTAATGCGCATCTCCCATCATCCCACGGTTATTCTGACGATCAATCTATCTTCTCGGACTCCCCGAACATTCTACTCGTCTGTCCATCATATTCTACGCACGGGTTAATCGAAACGTTACTCCGATATCGCCGGCTCCCGTGTGGGTTCTATCTGAAACCTCGGTAGAAGAAGATGGGCAATTCATTATATCAGGGCCGTCCGGCCCACGAGGACCGCGTGGGAGAGACGGAGAAGGGTGACTATTTCTACGGGACTTTTCGCGACGGTCCGAGTGAGCGTGAGAGTGAGAGTGAAAGTCTGGGTATTCAGGAACGTGTTCAACGGTCTTTTGCTGTGCGTATCATGATGAGCATCGCTGCGCTTGTTCTGCTCTCGTTGGGCTATTCGTGAGTTTCATGTGATCTTGTTAAAGAAGACATGCTAATTGAATTGGTTCAGTGTGACTGGAAAACCAGTCCCAGCTACGACCCCTGACCAATCCTCCTGCAACACAATCGATGGAGGATACCAATGCTTCTCCAACGTCTCCCACCTCTGGGGACAGTACTCTCCCTACTTCGCCGTAGGAAGCGAGCCCGGCCTCTCCGGTGACGTCCCCTCAGAGTGCCAGATTACATTTGCGAATGTCCTCTCGCGACATGGAGCACGCTACCCGACAGCATCCAAGAGCTCCAAGTATTCATCCCTCATCGAAGACATCCAGAACAATGCTACCTCGTTCCCGGACAAATATGCCTTCCTCGAGACATACGAGTATAGCCTAGGCGAGGACGACCTGACCCAATTCGGCGAGAACCAACTCGTCAACTCGGGAATCAAATTCTACAACCGCTACGAAAACCTCACAAGGAACATCGTCCCGTTCATCCGCGCATCCGGCTCAGACCGTGTCATCGCCTCCGGCGAGAAATTCATCGAGGGCTTCCAATCCGCCAAAACCAACGATACCCACGCAAAAACTAACCAAACAACACCATCCGTCAACGTAGTCATCGCCGAAGGCACCGAGTACAACAACACCCTCGACCACAGCATCTGCACGAGCTTCGAAAACAACGACGACTTCGAAGACCACGTCGCAGACAACTTTACGGCCCTTTTCACGCCCTCCATCCGCTCGCGCCTTGAATCCGACCTCCCAGGAACATCCCTCTCGGACACCCAAATCATCTACCTAATGGATATGTGCGCCTTTGACACCGTCGCGCGCACCCCAGACGGTAGCAGCCTGTCCCCGTTCTGCGGTATCTTCATGGACGAAGAATGGCGCCAGTACAATTATCTCAACTCGCTGAAAAAATACTACGGCTACGGCGCGGGGAACCCCCTCGGCCCAGCCCAGGGCATCGGGTACACGAACGAACTCATCGCCCGCCTCACCCAAACACCGGTCCAAGACCATACAAGCACAAACCGCACCCTCGACTCCAAACCCAACACCTTCCCGCTAAACACAACCCTCTACGCAGATTTCGGGCACGACAATGGCATGGTCTCCATTTTCTTCGCGCTGGGCCTGTACAACAGCACACAAGACCTTTCGCGGGATACCATTGAATCCGCAAAGGGCGCAGGCGGGTACTCAGCCTCGTGGGCTGTCCCGTTTGCTGCGCGCGCGTATATCGAGATGATGCAGTGTGGTGGGGAGACGGAGCCGCTTGTCCGCGTGCTTGTTAATGATCGGGTTGCTCCGTTGCATGGGTGCAAGGCTGATAAGATGGGGAGGTGTAGGAGGGATGAGTTTGTGAGGGGGTTGGGGTATGCGCGGTCTGGGGGGAATTGGGGGAGTTGTTTTAAATGAGTCTCCTCTTTAGGGGAGTATGAGATGGAGATATGATTGAGTTGATGTAGTTATGTTATACATAATACCTAGCATATTTTGGAAATATTTAGTTTTGGTTTGGACATCTGCATGTCGGATTTTATAACGCAACCAAGATCCAGGACATAAATTTACTCGGTCATATCCAATAGAACAATGCATAAACGCTATATCATATCAACATCAATCCCATGCTAGACTTGTCACACAATATCATACCCCAACTCGCAGCCTGTCATGTCACATCAATCATTCCTGACCTCCCCAGACCGCTCTGTCTTCTTACCCCCATACGCTATACATCATTAGCCACAGTCACTCACACTATTTCCTACCAAAAAGAGAGAAAGGAAGAGCTCACTCCGATCCCAAAGAACATAAGACGTAACCAGAAATATCGGCAACGCCACAATCGTCGACGTCCATCTGTGTTTACCCAGTTAGCACTACCCTTATACCCTGTTATCCCAGTATCCACCCAGTAACAAACCAAATAGGAATCAAAGAGAAGCAAAGAGGACAAAGGGAGGAATGGAGAAGTACCGTCTCGCGGCAGTTTTATACTCCCTAGTCTGCCGGATATCAATTGGTTGACGGGGATGCGGATGCCCATGGCCATGCGGATGCGGATGGGCTCGCGGGTGTGGGTGTGGTGTGTTGGGTGTTAGGACGCGGGGTTTTTGGGACATTTTTATTTTTTTCTTTTCTTTTGTTTGGATCAAGATGATGTTTAGTTAAATCGTGGCTTGAATGTTGTCTGGTACGGAGTGGTCTGTCTGGGATTTGGTTAGCGGGTGTACGATGAATTGAAGAGTGGCTTACTGACTGATACTGATATTCAAAGGTCTTCTGATTTATAAAAGTTTCAAACCAAAGAGTAACATACAATGCCTGAGATTGATGAGGGCTTAACTCTCAACACTGACATACGCACGGAGAGCAATTATCGCACTATACCTACTTTGTACATCACATGACCTGATCACGTGGTATAATCTACAATAAACAGTCCAGTATAGCAGGCAATTAATTCGATAAACCAAACCAACCGAGATAAATTATATATAAAACAGACAAAGGAGACTTCAACTCCGTACTCAAACTAATCAATAATCAAACAGACCAATCAATGCAAGCCATCAAGACAGGACACAATCACACAACCAACCCGACTTGCAATTTAGCGGACAAAACAGAATACGTAGAGAAAGGATCTCTCGGATGAGTTGGAGATCGGAACGGTTGATATTAGTGTAATCGAACAAAAAGGGCTTCTCGTGCAGTGCTGAGAAGGTAGATAGGTAGAGGTAACAGCCAAACGGTCGCGGACGCGCGATGGCCGGAAAGCCGGATTTCAGCTCAGATACGGTAAGCCGAATTAAGAGAAGCGCTGTGGTGGCCGAATCAAATCATGTCATGAATGACATGACTAGGTCCAACGCAGTGCCCGTAGCGCGACGACGGGGCCGCCGACCGGGTGTATCGTTTACTCCCTGCTCATCACCAGCCGCCTCGGATTCTGAGAGCTTCTGCTTCTTTGCTAGGTGTGCCTCATCTGGACTATTTTCGGTCGTAGAGAGTGTGCGTTTTCTCGGTGGACTTGGAGTTGGAGTATCATAGTCGAGAGGCTTATTTTGATTGTGCATTTCATGAGGAGGTGATGGGACAATATGATTGGGGTGAGAATCATCAAATTCGCGACCAGCTTGAGGGATTTCCTGCCTTTGTTTCTTGGGAGGTTCGGCATTCGCGCCGTTATTGCCAGCGTCGATAGCAGCGGCGATGCCCTTTCCGAATTTCAATTTAATCTTCATTGATTTCTTATCGGGTGATTCGGGTGCAGATCCTTCAGCCGGCGTTCCCGGCGCCGTAGCCCGACGACGTCGTCGCTGCTTGGGCTGAGGTTTGTAGTCCGAGCCATCTTCATTCTGTACCTGAGTACGGCGTCGTCTGCGGACCTTTTCGACCGGCTTAGACGTTTCCTTGGGACTGGCTGGTTTGGCATGGGGGGCATGTTGGGTAATCAGAGCACGGATATCTGCGGCCTGCATCGATCGGTCGACGACAAGACCGACCCGGCGCGCCTCCTCGCGGGCCAGGATTCTCTCCCTTACTTCGTCGACATTTTCGTAGTAAAAAGTAAGCTGGCTGTTTCGGGGGATGTTGCGCTCTCCGATGCGTGGAGGGAAACCGAAAATGCGGTCTTTGTCGACTTGGTCGCGAGACTTCAGCCGGATTGGCGGTTGTGGAATCTTTGAATCGCCATAGGTGTTGTTTGGGCGATACACTTCAGAGTCAGAAGGTACCATGAGGTATTCCTCTCCATGCTCGTTGACGAAGCCCGTGTGTTTCCAGCCTTTCTCGTCCTTCCACGGCTGCGAGATTTGCTTACTCTTCTTCGTAACACCTGGTTTATTTGTCGCTGCTGTCGCCGCCGCCGCCGCCGCAGCCTTGCCCTTACGTGTCGATGGCGGAGCGTTTTGTTGTTCTTTCTTGGCGTAATACTCCTTGCGTAACTGGGCGAGCTGGGTTTTGGCATCTGGGGTCGGTTTGAAACTTGGTGACACGGCTTCCATGGCTAGTTCAAACAATCGTTGGGCAACAAGCGCTAAATCAGGATGAACGGTCCCGTTCAGTTCACCAGATTGCGACTCGGCTCTGATGGAATTTCCTGTTTTTCGGCGGTATCGCTTTTCTGATTCGAAGGACTCCATTGCCCGCATCGTAGGCTTCCTGTTCCGGCGGGAGATACGCGCAGCTGCAGAGCTTTTCGGAGATGCTTGACCGTCCGTTTGACCGTCAACATAAACTTCCGTATCGTTATCGGATTGAGTACTGTCGGGAGACTGCAATGCGCTATCTGGCACTTCCGGTTCACGGGTTCCGTTCACATCCTGGGGAGCTCCATGTCTTCTAGTGGTAGATCGCAATGGAGTAGCATTGGTAGAATTTGCAACGTTTGCGACGTTTTCTTGATTCTTCCTTGCAGACTTGCGCTCGCGACGGGTGGGTGCCGTTACTGGAGTAGCAGGGGCTGTATTATTTTGCTCTTTGAGGGCCTTCTCGACGGTCTTCTGTCGGGGCCCACGAGCAGACATCTTGGAGAGTTTGGTGTTGGCTTCGGTTGCTGCATTTTTCGACTTGCGTCCTGGACGCGGGGTAGTAATTTGAGGCTGGTCAGGGATGTTTTCAACGCCTTCAGCTTTCTTGAGTTTAGCCGGCATGGACTTTCGCATTTTGCGGTTGCCTTCAGTGACGGAGGTTTCCAGAGCGGGTGCTTTGTTAGCATTGTCCTTCTTTGATTCAGTCACCTCTGTCTCAGTCACAGAATGACGCCCATTCTCAAGAAAGGCGTGTAAATTAGACTGTTTCGCAGACTGAGAATTGCGTTTGCCATTAGATGCCGGTGTAGCGGTCTCGGCCGTGTCGCCATTTGGAACTTCAGGCTTATGATTCCGCGCGTGATTTACGGCAACAAAGCCGGATGTTGTTACCTGAGGAGCGCTAAATGAGTCATTTTGATTTGGCGTCTCAGGGACATCCTGCGACATTTGCGAAGCCTTGTCGTCTCCGTCGACTGACTGTTGTGTCCTCCGGCGTTTGCCTGGCTTTTCAAAGGTTGTAGTGAGGGGTGTAGTGGGGAGAGATTGTGACTGAGATGTTTGAGACATGAAGGACTCGTTGGTATCAGGTTCTTGCGTCGCTATCCGGGAAGCACGCGAAAAACTACGTCGGAAATTCTGATAGGGTTAGCAATGATCTAAACGAAGGACCAAAATGCAGTGCCGCAAGTAGAGTAGAACAGCCAATCGAGAAAAATGGATATAATGAGGAAGGGAAATAGTAAAGCGAAGAATAGTATGAGGGTGAACCTACAGGTTGTTCCATGAAAACTGAGGCACCTTCCGGAGGAACAGACGCTCTGCCGACCACTGTCTATTTCGTTAGCATCCAGCCCTGCAAATAATGCGGACGCAGCAAACGCGATGCATATGCATATCCCCGTCGAGTAGGGTGTACGGTCCTAACCCTCGACCGGGAACCAACGACAGCCACATGGTCTTACTTTTTAATCCAGCCTATCCACGGCAATATCCTCCTTTTCTTTTGATATCCAATAACGCCAGAATATTGTTATCGCCTTGTGTTATTCGATTCGACTCGTTCAGCGCCAAGGTTAGGCAAACGGATAAGGAGTGTCACGCAGGGAGAATCGCTCGACTCGAATTTGATTTCGGGGGAATAATTATTTTGTAAAGGGCTTCTAAATCCAATAGAAAGCCATGTTAGTTGATCTGAATGAAAAGGAGTCGTCAAAGGACAGAATAAGCAATAACCGCAGCTCCGCCGGTAGCAACAAGGGCTCAGTGTACGCAGTCCGCCACCACCATCGCGACAACAACAATAACCCAACGTACCAGTGTAAAAAATAATATCCAAGTCACTCAATACGACACAAATAGTCGAAAAAACAACACGGAGTGAAATGTAGGGAGCGTCGGTGGAGTGGAGGGAGGGAGGAGTTAGGGAACGCAAAGTCGACTGTCGGCGGACGCAGGAGAGGCCTCGTCAGGGCCTAGCAGAACACCATATATGGCATGGTACGGGGGGAATAAAACACAGCGACCGAGATAAGCAGAAAAACAAAGCGAATAAAAGGAGTTTTTATGGTTTATTCTGGGGGGTGGGAGGCAGAGATGGGGTAGTAGGCTGGCAACAGGGCCCGTTGGAAGGAGAAGAAGCGCCGGCGGGCGTCTGGAGCAGCGCCGGATGGGCAATTAGGGCTTGCGCTGGCGGGCGGCTGGTCACGGGACTGCCGCTAGCCCCAAAACAGATAGCCCGCTTGAGCCTCCGCCTGCAGAACACGTTACTGTCCTCTATCCTCTACTGCTCCTGATATTGTATCTTGCTATATATCTTGCCAAAATGCAGCTCTGGCATTCTCTCCAGCTCTGTCTTCTCGCCGCTGCCATTCCGGCACGCGCTGCTTCAGCATGGGGCTACACTGATGCCACCGTGTCAGTTCAGACCAAGGGCGCCGGCGTCGGGTCGGGCTTTAAGCAGGAGTATGATGCTTTCCATAACCCTCTATTTCTATGATATGCTAATCAAGATATAGAATTCCCGATAACAAACCCCTCGTGGCCCCCGTCTCCCTCGGAAGCTTGGATACCCTCCGCGTGACGCTGACGGCCCAAGAAGGTCGATCTCCGAAGCGGGCGCATCAAGTCTTCCTCCTCATCAAAGACCCCGAAACTGGCTTGGATATCTCATACCCATTCAATGTGAAGGACAATGGCAAGTCGAGGGTAGATCTGGTGAGTGACCGACCGCGACAAGTGTTGCTCAATCTGCGCAGGAGCTGACGTGTACCGCTGGATAGACTCAAAAGGACCTCCCGATTCAATTCCTCTCCCTCCCCCAACCGGTCGACGCTCGTCTCCTCATCGGATCCTTTGGCGCCTCGGAAGCCTACAATGAGCCCGCGTTCCAACTGTCGATTACCCGCAACCCCGACGAACCAGTCCCGACGGTCGAGGTGTCGCGATACGGCAAGCTGCCCGAGATCCATCACATTTTCAAGGGGGACCCCAAGAACCCACCGATTGCTGTTACACTTGGTTTCCTGGCTATGACTCTGGCTGCTCTTCCGATTCTCGCGGGTGTGGTGAGTGCTGGACAATCGATTTTCCCCGGTCGGATTGATGCTAATTTGCTCCAGTGGTTTTTCCTTGGTGTTAACCTCAACCATCTCCATACCGCACTCAAGTCCGCTCCCGTTCCTCATGCTGTTTTCCTCGGATCGTTGGTCTCGATCGAAGGAATCTTCTTCCTGTACTATACCTCTTGGAACATCTTCCAGATGCTTCCTGCTGTTGCTGCGGCTGGCGCCGTTGCGTTCGTCAGTGGTAGTCGCGCATTGGGTGAGGTTCAGGGCCGACGACTTGCAGGTCTTCGGTAGATAGTACCTACTGGCCTAATGTTCGACGTTGTCCCACTCTACATGGTATGCCATGAACCTCTACGCAATCATGTGGATTAGCCTTTCAGCCTTTTAGCGAATGTAAAAGCATTTTCATGAATATATTATATTCTCTATACAATATCATAGTGTAGTCTTAGCAACCCTAACAAAACAAATCTGACGTCACCCGCAGCTTTCCAAATCGGGCTAGTCTGATTGGCGGGTCGCCGCCGAAGATTATCTCCGGCTCGAACAACTCCATCGAATCCTACTCTCGCTCCCAAGCAACCATACACAGCTATCTATTTCTTTTGCATGCTCACAATGGGCTCAGCATCGTCGAAGCCGGCCAGATCGGCAGCAAATGCAGTCTCCCGACGCCAGTATCCCAAGCAACCAACCGCCCCTCCGACAGCCGCTCCGAGCGCAGCAGCAAAAGCAGCTCAACCACAACCTAGAGCACAAGCACCTCCTCATCTTCAGAGAGAGCCCGAGCCGAGTCAAGGGCCTACATATCATCCGAAGGAACGGGCATCAGGTGCGAAGTCAAATGGTACGTGCAACTCGTCTGGGGACAACCATCCTTATGCCTATACAATTTCCCAATTCTGAGGACTATCTAGCTAACTCATTCAACACAGCAATCGACATCGACGGCCGCGACCCCGACTTCGCCGCCTCCCTCCGGCACATCGGCCCCGTAAACCCTGCGCCCACATTCTCCCCCTCCAGCACCTTCCAACCTCAACCCGGCACACAACCCATCCAAACCATCTTCCCCCAAGCATCCTCCAACCCAGCGCTCCTCGTATTCAGTGCACGCGAACAAATCGCCAAAGCTGCAGAAAAAGAAGCAGAGCAGGTCGGAAAGCCGAGTTTTGCGGGGAGGCAGTTTCTGGATGGGTTGACGATTAGGCAGGTGATTTCGATGCGGGATAGGCAGGGGTTGAGTGCGGAGGAGATTGAGGGGACGTTGAGGTTGAGGAAGGGAGTTGTGGAGAGGTTAGCGGGGAGGGGGATTGTTGGGGAGATTCTGTGATTTTTACATCTTTGGTGGTTTGTACGATATGTGTGTGAAGGGGGTTGGATAGCATTATGTACTCTACTCTGTATACCCATGAACAGGATTGAGCTTTTTTGTCTCTCTGGTGGACTGATGTAGCTGTCATGTCACTGCGTAGGTAATTTGAGATGTTTGCTACACATTTTGTTCGTATACAAAGAACTGCTCCAAAAACACAACATCATTTACCATGTACCAACCATGGCTAATCAAAATATCACACTGGACAACAATCTAGTTGCAAATTTCTCTGGCATCCCCAACTCCACTTGTATACTAAATCTCCTCTGGGGCAACTATCTTCTAACCATCTACGGGGTTCCTACTTTTGTCGACGTCAGCATCCCCATTCCTCTGAAAGAAAGGCTACTAATTCCAGCAGGGCGTGGCCTTTGTGATTCCCGATGAATCTACCAAAACAGCCTCATCCCTTCTCATGAGTGCCAATTCCGCCTTAGTCCCGTGCCCAAAACCTTCAACAGACTGCCATTTCTCAAATGGCCACCAAAGACCTCCACCCGAACACCTGCACATAAAAAGCGACAAAGTACTCGCAGTATGCATATACGGGAAGTCCAACGTCCTATGGGAACTCCCTTCGTCCGATCCAGATCCAGATACAAGAACCCCCGATATCTGGAGTGCCTCAGATCCTCGTCTCCCAGCATATATCCTAGGTCGTGGTGACTTTTATCCCATTCATTCCTATAGCACAAGTTGGCCATGAGCATCCGGGACGATTCACCTCTGGCAATCGACTGGTCATTGATTCAAAGCAGATAATGATATGATACTGCTCCAACCACAGGGAATCAGGGCTGTTCTATATTTTTGGCCAAGTACGCCTCGAAGGCAGAGAAAGTGGAAGGATGCATTTGAGAGACAGTTAAGAAATGGTTCCGGTTGTGAATATGCTCAATCATCACCATTCCCCAGATCCGGCTGATAGATGAAAGCGACTGGTCGACAATGGAGTTATTGTGTCTGTTGCTTGGTCTCTCACTATTGCAGAACAGAATGTCGATTGTTGCTGGAGGACTGTTCGACAGAATACCTTCTTCTCCCATATCCAGAACCTCCACAATGGCACTGTCATATTGCAGAATCTACGTGAACTAAGCGCGACGAACCGCGTTATGGCTGCGCTCAGAATTCCGACGGAATGATACCCGTTCTAACGACTTCAATCACCAGAGAAATAGTGGAGATATGCATACACACTATCGCGCAACATCTAGGATGCGTTTCAGCAATCGTGGACCAATGGCCCTTGATGAACTCGCACATTTTAGCCGAAATCCTGAGAAATATTATCTGTGGAGTTTATAAGACGGTCCCAAAGAACAAGTTCTGGATCATCGAAAGAAAATGCTATGCCAGCGGGCGGTTGGCGAGGAACAGACAAGTTTGGTGAACAAAATATGCCAAATATGACACGCAAGCGAGCTTCACGACTGTTAAGTTGACGTACAGAAACAAGTGCCATGGCGCTTCCCCACCGGTTACTGGCTAGGACGCTTCAAAGGCAGTCAAACAGAGGCTTCCTCACTACACTATCCGGGCAACGGTCAGCTAACTCAAATTAGCATAAGGCCAGACTGACAGGTGATCTGTACAAATATCTATCTATCTCAAATGATACACTAATGCTCTCCAGTCCTTGCTATCTTCCCAGTGGCAGCACATTTCATTTTGAAAGTTTACGAGAGCAACGCGTACACGCATCGGAAGTCGACCTAATTGACTTCAAATTAGCATTTGCGTATTCGAGCCCACGAAAGTGAATGGTATGCGTGGTGCAATCAAGGCTAAACTCCTAGCAGAGGACCTTACATTTAAGGTATCTATTATGTCCTCGCAAACTGTAGTTCCTTAGTGCCACTCCTTTCAAGAACCGTGCCGTCGATGTCTATCTGGCAATCCTCCACCAGCGCCACTTTAATACCTGATGACAGCATTGACAACGCTAAAACGAAGACCCTATCCACGAGCATGAACGCTATAGCCGCATCATCTCGCTCTCTGAAAAATGGCTACTCCATCTTCTATCTCCGTCGTCGTGGAGCGGGGTCGCGTTGACATCACATCCAGCCAATGTGGGAGAATTGTGCGACTTTTCATTACTACGTAGAGAAGACAGTATTTCTGTTCCATAGTCCTGCAGCTGTCTGAATAGAAGTTCAACCCATGGATAAGCGGCACAGTACAGAAGTACCAGAGTCAGGTGACAGTCCATCTTCAGAGCTCTGATCAAACTGTCCTCTCCTTTCTCGGAGAGAAAAAGAATAGCGGCTCAAAAACTGGGCATCAGCATGGCACCTACATTTGTCCTGAGAAACGTCAAGGACCGGGCTACAATGGAAGATGCTAACCTTGGAAAGGGCTTTCGTTAAATGCTCATGTCGGCTACTCCGTATAGTAGATTAATCGATCGGTGCAACAAGACAGACCTTTCAGGCCAGTAGCACTGGCGGGTGAGAAACATGGATTGCAGCCATTGGCGCAAAGTCTATTGAAGCCCGAAACAAGAGGGAAGCGATTATGGGTAGCGATGGGTACGTCCACCAGCTGCCCCAGTTAAATGAGTTTCATTCCTCAGGCCGTTGATAATGAGCTAACAACAATTGGACGCTGACAACGAGGAGGAAATCCAGTGTTATTGGAGGGGCGCAACGCGCTGCCTCAAACTTAGCCTCGACGCCTCTCTTGTTCCCCGCGAGGTGTTTGCTTCGACACTACAGCCCGGAAGTCAAATCTTTACGAACATCGGATTATATGGCTGATATAGGATATAATCAGTGCTACTACAAGACCCGAGACTATATCCATTGGTTAATGGATACTGTCGTCAAGGGGCGCATTGCAAATCCATTCATGAAGACGAGAAAAGACGCCAAGGTTGAAGATCCCAAGCAGAACAATCCCATTTGCGGCTACCATGCCGTCATGAAAAGGAGTGCAAATACCTCCATCCACCTGGAGAGAGGTGAAGAATCATTCCTACTATTGACAAGGACATGTATTCCTACACTGCCGTCATATTGGAACATAAACTGACCCTGTACAAAAGCTTCCAGAAAGGTGCCGTTGATAGTATGCCTCAATACAAAGCTTCTTACAAGTTCCCATACTCTCGTTGTGCAGGGAATACCGCTTGGTCGTAAACTGGCAGAGAGGAGCTAGATAGTGAGTACTACAGCATTGAGGGTACAGACTGGACGGAAGACTTCAGTTTAGTTCTGGTATTACTGAGCTGTCTGGTGTCTTGTTGCGGTGAGCAGTAATGAGACATGTCTGTTGAGGATATCGGATTTCCATCAGATCTTCCACGAACAACACACCAAGCATGTATATGATAGATCTGATGCAACGAGCGCCCTACGAATCCGACATTATTCCCAAGTTATCCTCAATACTTTTCAGCTGGTCAGCCTTGTTAACAATTCCGCCTGTTTATAAGCAACTTGATCAAAATGGATAAACAGAAACTAGGAAATCTGCCTCGACTGCTGTGCACGAAGGTCTTGTCGATGATCTGCGCGTTGCTCGCTTGCCTTGTGTAGCTGGGGATGATCAATGCCGGGGCGGTTCTTTCTGTGCAAAGATCGATGGCTTTGTCGTTGGATGACGACTGCATTCCCTTTAACTGGGGCAGTGAAAAGGAATGCTTATTTTGTAAAATCCTGCTTGGATTGGGAATCGAAATCGATGCTGTTTGTTACATCGCTTGACTCGGTCGGCGCTTATTCCTGTGTTATAAAAGGACTATGTAGTATATTGTCTGCGACTGATATGGTATGATGTTGGTATCGAAGAAGCATAACGTTCTGACTAATGAGTATAACCCGCACAGTCGCTGTCAATCGATGCAGGGTCTGCCACGCTGTTCGAATACGAGGTCAGTGCCGGGTCAGTGCCGGGTCAGTGCTGGCACTGTGCACAAGGCTCGGAGCAGGGGCCAGTACACTGCCACTCCGGACTCGTAGTGCACTTCAAATTGTACTCCGGGATAGAGTACTTGTATGGAGTAGGGGTACAGAGTAAGGGTAGGGATATCAGACATAAATATTGATCACACCATTAAGATAAACATGCCCCCTACTGCATCGGTAATGCTCCCGACGGAATACTCCGTCAGCCGAGACAATGTCGCAGAAAGCCAAGAATAAACCGAGGATGGCAGAGGCTGTTGGAATGTGACAGGAACGTGGTAAGCGAACATCCCCGCAAATGCTCGTATTCTTTAGTTCTTTGTACAGTGGAAGAACGACCTGCACATACCCAAAAAGGCAATTCGGGCAGAGGACGATGTCATGATTGGTCCGAGCGAGTTATTTCTGATGCCTGTTCTTGGCGTACTCCATAATTGAGACATAAAATAAGAATAAGTAATGGAGTGAATACATATTCTGTATTGGCTACGGAGTATTGACTACAATATGAGTCTCTGTACAGTACTTCTACACTATCAACAATACTCGACTGCCCCTAGATACTCCGTATAAAGATCGATCGACGGCGATCCGGGCAGTACGGAACGAACCTGTGATCATCATTCTTGTTGGTCCAAAATTACGAATTGAAGGTGTGACGCACGCAAGCCCCCTAATAAACAACAAGCATACCTGTACTGTAATAAGCATAACCCTCCGCATAACTGTATGTATCGTCCCTGAGACCCTTTTTTTAGCGCGCCTCAGCTGAGTCAGATGTCGCGTGAGAGATTCCTATTTAGGGATTACTTGCGTGTTGATTGGCGGAGAATATCTCCTTCGATATCACACAGTACATAGTAGAATGAGGACAAGAATGCAAAAAAAAAGAAGAAATAGAACAATAGAATAATAGAATAGATACTACTCTGTATGCAGAATGAATAGGAGACAGAGCATACATAGTACAAAGTACAGAGGATGGGATTGGACTGTAGATCATGTAAATACATGTACACAAGATGCAGATCAAAGGGTCTGGTAAGGCTGTGTTGGTTCGTATTGTCACACATTACGTCTCCTTCTGACAGATCGAGCCGCACTCTTTTTCCTCTCATCCTCTCTTCTCCTCTTCTTCTCCTACTTTCTCTCTCTGACTCTCTCCTCCATACTCCTCCCCAGTCTAAGATGATCCCGTCATGCTCCGCAAGTACCTGCCGTCCGTTCCTCCGCTACTTTTTGCCCTCGTCTTCGTGAACGTCCTCTCCTCCAAATCGCTACATCTCTTGCAACATGTCCAGTCACTTCCGGTGCTATACTTGGTGCTCTACTCGCCAACCCTGATTCTCTGGGATCTGTTTGTTATCTTCGTCTCTCGAGTGCTGCTGGTCTGGCCCGAGACTCGACTACGATGGATTCCATTTCTCTTTGGCGGCTTCATTGCGTACGTCACCCTTCCTCGGTGCTCTGTGCTACTCAAGATGCTAATAGCTTAGACTCCTCACGTGGTTTGCAGCCGCCGTCCAATTCGGCTTCTTCTTCGAAACCGGTGCCGAGGTGGAGTGGTCCGCGACCGATAGCTTTGTCCGGGATCCCGCGGCCATGAAGATTCTCATGAGTGGTATTTCCAGCGTCACAGCCGCTGGTACCGTCTTCTTCCTTGCATCGTTTGTTCTGAGTGGCCGGTTGTACTCGATCACCGGCCGCTGGCTCGATTCGCTGTGGGATCGGTGCTGGCAAGGCGTGAGAGAACCAAAGACCCTGCTTCCATTTGCTAAATCTCCAGCCGGTCGACGATGCGCGTTTCAATACCTCCTGCCACTCACGGCTCTCAGTGTCTCGTTGATATTCCTCGAAGCAACTCGCCCCTCCATCCCGTACGATCACCTTGCGCGAGCTCTGCCGTTGACCATGTTGGATGCTTTTCACAGACCTGTGCAGTTCATGGAAGGCTGCCGTCCACCACCCCTTCCCTTTCCTCTGCCACCACACGGGAAAGGAGGTCCTCCTCCACCTCCTCCTCATCATCACCATCATCCCTTTGACTGGGCGTTTGGAAAAGGACCTCCTCCGTTCCCTCCGCCGCCTCCGCCTCCACCGCCGTTGGGTGATTTTGGGGTTCAGCCTTCGTGGTTACCAGAGGATCCTCCGCCAGGTTTCAGCCGTTGGCAACCAGCACGGGTGCGCGAGGAGGAACACGGTGATCAGCCGCTCAAGTGTCCAAGTGGACCGTTCCAATACTACAATCCACGATCTGATCCTCTGAAGATTTCCAACTTTGATGATGACATCATGGGACCCTTGCAGCAGGTCTTCAAGGACAACCCAGTCGAAATCAATCACGTGGTTCTGTTAACGCTGGAGAGTGGTCGAAAGGAGGTCTTCCCTATGCAGTCCGGCACGCCCATGTACGATTATCTCGTGGAATCGCATGAGGAGAAAGAACGAAAAGATGCAATCGATAAACTTTCAAAGATGACTCCTGTCGCACAGATGCTCACAGGTGAATATGCATTGAACAGCGAAGGAAAAGTCAACGACTTTAGCAACCACAAGTGGCATGACAAGTCGGAACCGGGCATGGGTGGTCTCAACGTCAAGGGTGGGTTGACTGCGAGTTCGTTGACTCTGAAGAGTATTTTGGGTAGTCACTGCGGTGTGAGCCCGCTTCCAGTCGATTTATTGGAAGAAATCAACCTCGAGTTCTACCAACCCTGTCTTCCACAAATCTTTGAGCTCTTCAACCGACACAAGTCAAACGAGTCTTCTGAGTCGAAGGATGGCGGATTCCAGGGAGACCAATGGAAGTCTGTTTATATGCAGTCTAGCACGGTTTCATACGACAGACAGGACAAGTTGAACGAGGCCATAGGTTTCAACTATTCGATCTCCAGGGAGTCCTTAAGAGATCCTGATTCAAAACATTGGCCACCGGCGACAGGCGAAATCAATTACTTTGGGTATGTTTTTTTTTTGCCCTATCTCCGTCCACTTGTCTAACGATGATTTAGGTATGCGGAATCCGAAACCAGGCCGTATCTCCGGGATTTGATCTTCGATGCTGCTGAGAACAAAACTCGTCTGTTCCTGTCGCACCTGACCAGTTCGACGCATCATCCATGGCGCACGCCGAAATCCTTCCACACCGAACAGTACACCGGAGATCAAGGCAGCGTCGACCATGACTCGATGAATGACTATTTGAATACCGTTCGTTATGTGGATGACTGGTTGGGTGAGATTCTGGGTCTGTTGGATGAGGCTGGAATCGCGAATTCCACCCTGGTGGTGATTATCGGTGATCAGTATGTCTTTTCTTCTCGCTACCCTGTTCGTGACTCAAGTTAATCGATTACAGCGGACAAGCCTTTTCGGAAGATGCCAAGGTCACCGGTACCTTTGAAAACGGCCATATCAGCAATTTCCATGTGCCGATTGTATTCCGACACCCTCACCTGCCTCACATTGACATTTCCGCCAACGCGACATCTCTTGCCATTCTCCCCACGATCTTGGATCTCCTCGTTCAGAGCCAGTCTCTGAATGAAAAGGATTCCGCAATCGCATCGTCCCTATTCCCTGAATACCAAGGTCAATCACTACTCCGACCATTCCACAACGAGCGCCCCGGCGACGGCCTAGCCGTATGGAACTTCGCTCTGATCAACGGTGGAGGTTCGATGCTAGCCATCACATCCGCAAACTCACCCTATCGTTTGATTCTACCACTAAAAGAAGAATTCAACTACCGATTCACACATCTCGGGAAAGACCCCGGGGAACTCAAACCACTGGAAGGATGGTCCATGCCACGGTTAGTGGATCGAGTGCGCAAAGACCATGGTGAAGAGGCCGCAACCTGGCTTATGGATGCGGAGAGAGTTGGTCGCTGGTGGGTTGCTGAACAGAAGCGGATCTGGGATTATCGCAGGGAGTAATGGCCTTTTTCTTTTTTTTTTTTTTTGGTTGTTTTGGGTTTGTTCGATTTTGGGCTTGTTCAAACTGGGTGATGTACAGTAGTATCATGCATTTACGGCGTTGTATAGAGATGATTAATGAATCTTTGGCGATGACCCGCTTGGTCGTTTATCTTGGTCTGTACAAGTAACTAGCCATAGCAGGGAAAGTCAACTGACCTCGTGTTCAACCTAAATCAGTACAAATGCATGGATGTCATATCATGTGCATCGTCTAGCCAACCTTGTCTCGTACAACACAAAAATTATACATATTAAACCAACTAACCAGAGAAGTACAGAGTACAGAGTGCACAAGAACAAACCACACCCCTCCAAATCAACCCTACCACGCCGCATGCCCCCCATCAACCCTCAAATCACTCCCCGTCATAAACCCACTTGCCTCACTCAACAAAAACACAGCAGCCCCCCGATACTCCTCGGGCCTCGACAACCGTCCCAACATATTCTGTCTCGGCCACTCACTCGCTCTCTCGGGATACTCCTCAAACAAATCAGTCATCATGGATGTCAGAATGTACCCGGGGGACAGCGAATTAACCCGGATATTGTACGGACCCCATTCCATGGCTAGGTTGCGGGTTAGTTGCAGGACGGCGGCTTTGCTGGCGTTGTAGGCGGGGCAGGACAGGTCCTTTTTATCACCTTGTTAGCAGGATGATCGTTTAAGGAGAGGGATGTGTAGACGTACCCTGTTAGCAACCGTCCCACTCATACTCGCAATCAACACAATACTCCCACCCATCCCGAAGCGAATCATCTGCCTCGCCACCGCCTGCGCAGTCATAAAAACCCCCGTCACATTAATCTCCAGCAACCGGCTCGCGTCGGCGGCCGTGTACTCCAGCGCGGGGGTTTCCTGCTGTACGCCGGCCGCGGCAATAAGCCCGTCAAGTCGGCCGTGCGTGTTTGCGATATCCTCGATTACCCGATTGAGGAGCGTCGTGTCACGCACGTCGATGCGACGGTAGTGCAGGGTTGTAGAGAGGTCGGTCTTGGCGCGGCTCTGCACTGTGTAGAAATGCGGGTCCTGTTTTATATCACCCGGTTAGAACATGGTTAGATAAATGTTACGCAGACTTGGGTCTGGGGATGGGAAGAAAGGGAGAGGTACAGGTTCTTCTAGACGATCGAGGGCGTAGACGGTGGCGCCGGCTTCGAGGAGGGCTTCTGCTTGGGTGAGGCCTAGGCCGCGGGCTGCGCCGGAGATGCAGATGATCTTGCCGGCGAGGTTAAATTCTGGGAGGCGGGTTTTTGTGCCGAGGGTTATGTTCTCAGGGATGGGTTGGGGGTGGGGTTGGGTTTGGGTTTGGGTTGGGAGGGTTTTGGTGGTGGTGGAGAGGATCATTGTGTAGGTATGGTGTAGTTGTAGCTGTCGTATAGGTAACTAGATTGATAAATATCAAAAGACTTGTTTGTCTGTAGAGCTGGACTGGAGTCTAGAGTAGAGATACACTGACAGAGGAATGACTCCTTAATATACTACGCCAAAACTCATGTACCCATCCGGTGACATCCATCCAAGACGAATGCCCATATTCATGCTCATGCTCACATGAACATCCCATAGCGGACATCCGTCAGCGAGGGAAGAGAATATCTGTGCACATCTGAACCCCTTCCCATATGTACGGCGGTCCAGCCAGGTCCATAGACCGAAATGTCACTCAAGTTTGTACAGGACATAGTGACAGACAGACAGGGTGAGAAAAGGCATGTGCATACATGCATGCATGAAGATCTGGATGCTTCCATGCACTGCACTGCAGCACATGAATATAGACTCGGATACCTATAGCAAGTTGAACTTTTACACTGTAGTATAGTCAGGAAACGCTCTTCGGGCATGCCGACGGTTATCCAAATCAGGGAAACCGGGGTCACGGGACGGTTGCTTTGATGTTGACTTTATCATTCTGGAACATTCGCGTGGAGCTCATTGTGCGATTTTGGTGGGTTGTGCTATAATTGAATTGGGCTGGAGATTATGGTTACTGTGCTGTGCATAGTCTGGGGTCTGGGGTAGTTGGTCATGTGAACTGGTTATTGGATTCCGGATCATCCGTAGGTGGATTTTGTAGATGGAGTTGAGTTGATTAATACGTAGGCTTTACGATGAAGAAATGAGTTATGTGAGATATTGCATTGCTGTCGAATTGACAATTGTACAAGAAAGATGCTCAAGAAAAGAAAAAAAAAAACCCCAATCCAAACTCCAAGCCCACAAATCAAACCAAATCAAGGTCTAAAAACAAAGCTATACATATCCAGGTATCATCCATATCATCCAATCCAATCAATCAGTCAATCAATCAATTCGCACCGGCTATCGGCTCAGGGATTACGAAATAAGCTTGGCTGGGTCAGTGGGCTGGACATCCCTCTTGTTCTTGCTCATGCTCTTGTTCTTGCACACCCGGCCAGAAGGCGTGGCGCTGGCGCTGGGCGTGGGAGTGGTCTTGGGGGGCTGGGTGGTTTTCGGGGGTTGAGTGGTCTTGGAGGGTGCAGAAGTCTTGCTGGGAGCTGGGTTTGCGCTGGAGGGTTTGGTGCTGGGCTTGTTGTCGTTCTTGTGGTTGTCCTTGTTGTTGTGGCTGCTGTGGCTGCTGTGGCTCCTGCTGCCGCCGTGGCTCCTGCTCTTGTGCTTGTCGATGCTGCGGGCTTCGACAATGTTGTCGTTGTCTTCATCCTCGTCGGCCTCATCATCTTCAGCATCACGAGCGGTATTCTGGTGCTCATCCGTCTCGTCGTCGTCGGCATCAGCCTCGTCGGCCTCCTCATCGGCCTCATCATCTTCAACATCACGAGCGGCATTCTGGTGCTCGTCCGTCTCGTCATCGTCGGCATCAGCCTCGTCGGCCTCCTCATCGGCCTCATCGTCATCGGCCTCATCATCTTCAACATCACGAGCGGCATTCTGGTGCTCGTCCGTCTCGTCATCGTCGGCATCATCATCGTCGGCCTCATCAGCCTCATCATCTTCAGCGTCACGAGCGACATTCCGGTGCTGATCCGTCTTGTCGTCGGTCTCCTCCACACCGGCCTCGTCATCATCGTCTTCAACATCCCGAGCAGCGATGGCCTCATCATTCTGCTTCTCCTTGTCGACATCTTCGACATCAACCACATCGCGACCCTGAATCCCCTCGGTCCTCCAATCATATTCTGGGACGGGAATGGTGGTGATTCCATTGAAGGCGGGGTTTGCCCGTGCGTTGATTGTATTACATTCGTTGCCGGTGCCTGTGGTTGTTAGTGGATGGGTTAAGGTGTGTGGAAAGGGTTAAGTACATGGCTTGATGCCCTGGTTGAGGCCTGGGTCGAGGGGAGCGCCGAGGGCGATGCTGGCGATGAGGAGTTGGATGGTTGTGTAGCGCATGGTAAAGATGATAGTTGGTTAGGTAGATTGGTTGGAATAGAGAAGAGTCTGGATGACTGTGTTTGATTGTTGATAATGATTCGAATGAGCAGGATAAACGGCCATATTTATGTCTTCTGGCTTCCATACTTCAACGTGAAGTCTACTGAATATGCCTTGATCAAGCATTCTTCCTGGCCCTAACCGCCGCTGTCAACCTGGCCCCAACTAGATAGAGTACGGAGTGCAGCGATCATTGGAGGCGATATGCCTTGCGGTGGGGCGGGCTGTGGTGACGATCGCGGGAAGTGGGCTTTCTATACTGGGGATGTTGATGGAGCTTGCAGTGTACCCAGGTGTATGTACCTGAGCTACACTCCCTTTTGCTTGTTAAATATATCATCTGAAGTGAAATATATAGGATGTTGCGGGTGCCTGTTGTGTGTTACGATGTCTGGTACGGTGTCTGGCGCGGTTCCTGGTTTACGTGCCTGAGGCTTGCGTAAGGGCCTTTCTATACCACCGCTATGCTCGATTTGGCCAGTGATATTCCGTATTCTATACTACGAGTATATAGTCAAGTGCTATGTACATTAAAATATCAAATAATCTTAGATCCAATGCCTTCTCTATAGTTACGGGTTGCTGAGGCATTCAAATGGCCCCAAGGCATGTTGAGGCATTGCGGGATCGGCATCAGCCTTGAATCGCCCCCTATATACAGGGTATAACGAGCATAAAAATATATATGGGGCCAAAATGCTGATAGGGTAAGGTCGAATAGACAGAATAGCATTGTATCTTAGTAACTTGCGTGGCATAAACACGATGTCGGAAACTCCGCCCACGTCGCTTGTCGCGATGCCATGCAGTCAGTAATTGTGCTTGTTTTATCGCGAGTGGATGGAGAGAGCAAGCATCAGAGTATGTTGCGATGACTAGCTCTATGTTAGTACAGAGTACAGAGCACAAAATACATGTTGGGTAGGAATAAGCCCTAGGTGTATGTGCATACAATGGCCAAATATATATCCAACACAACACTATCTATATACACTCTGACCACGTCAAAGGCCATCCCAGCAGTAGTATAAACAAATTATATGATCAGGGCATGGATATATGCTTGAATATATTTTCATAAGTATTTTCATGACCAGAGGTGAATCATGAATGGCGACCCTGTTGGTACCTGATAACTAGTTATGTACATAGTTAGTTACGCGACGTGTGCATGCCTCAGGCAATGAACCATGTGAATTACTAACTATCAGGCAATTCGTACTCGTACCGTCGGACCCGTCGGACATCCATGCCGGATATATTACCCCCATACGCTATTGACATGGCATGAACCATTGGACCAACTGAAACGGTCAAAATCCCGGTGCCTAACTGCAGTCAGCTACAGCCACGGACAGAATTTTCAGCTGTACGAAGTACGGTGTACGGTGTGCCTGTACGGAGTACGGAGTATACGGAGAAAAACACGGTGCATAGACGTGGCAGTGCATAGGTACAGTACTCCGAGTTGTCATGTTGGCACCCAGCGTACAGATGCATTTGTACTCTATTCTACTGTTCAGTGTACAAGTAGAAGCAAACAAAACAATTCAATTCAATTCAATGTTCTTTACGCCTTTTATGCCTTTATGTACGGGATTTCGATCGACAGGGTTATCCCAATACGGCAATCGGAAACACCGGAGCAGAGAATCCGTGCTTACATCATGGATCCCATGCTCCTGAATTTCGGTACGCGTGATGATTGGCTGAAAATTAAAATCAACAGGCACCGTAGCCAATCACATGTGTTTCCAGCCTCGGCCACTCTGCAGCTGAATAAAACAGGGAGCCTCAGAAACCAGGCAGGATCAGGATCTCACTTCCTGGCGAGAGATACAAATACAACATACCCGCATCATCCCGTATGCTTCAATGATCATCGGTTTCTAGACAACGGCTTGATAACGTATTATCATTGACAGTGGGGAAGTACTTCATAGTACTACTACTGTTACCATGAAGTCCACTTCCGTGGTGCTTGCTCTGGCCGCCACCCTGCCCGGTATGTCTGACCATCTCTGGCCAGGAACTGGGTTACACAATGCTAACTGTACAGGCGCAACGGCTGCTCCCGAGCCCGCGGTTGCCCAGGACTTTCGAATCTCCAGCCACGTTCGTCGGTCGCTCCCCAATGCCCCCGATGGCTATGTCCCCTCGTCGGTGGAATGCCCGTCCAGCCGTCCGACGGTACGTATGGCAGAGAAGATCTCCAAGAATGAATCTTCGTGGTTAGATACCCGCCGTGACAAGGCCACCTCCGCCTTGAAGGATTTCTTCGGTCACGTTTCCATCGACAACTTCGACGCTGCTGGGTACATCGACCGGGTTAAGAGCAACTCGTCGAATGTGCCCAACATCGGTATTGCGGTATCTGGTGGTGGTTACCGTGCTATGCTGAACAGTGCCGGTGCTATCAAGGCGTTTGATAGTCGGACGGACAACTCTACTGCCTCGGGGCAGTTGGGTGGGCTGCTGCAGTCGTCGACTTACTTTGCTGGTCTGAGTGGTGGTGGCTGGTTGGTTGGCTCGATTTACATCAACAACTTTACCAGTGTTTCGGATCTGCAGACGCACGAGGATGGTGCTGTTTGGCAGCTTGAAAACTCCATTCTGGAGGGCCCTGACACCGGTGGTATTCAGCTTTTCGACTCGGTTGGCTACTGGAAAGATATTCATAATGAGGTTTCGGATAAGTCAGATGCTGGCTTCCCGACTTCGATTACGGACTACTGGTAGGTACGCTTCCTTGGCTTTCAATTCTAAATGCTAACAAACTAGGGGCCGTGCTTTGTCCTACCAGTTTGTCAACGACACCAAAGGAGGCCCAAGCCAGACTTGGTCGTCTATCGCCTTGACCGATGACTTCCAGGACGGTAACATGCCTTTGCCCATCCTGGTGGCTGATGGTCGTAACCCGGGCGAATTGCTCGTCAGCAGCAACGCAACCGTGTTTGAAATTAACCCCTGGGAATTCGGATCCTTTGACCCCACTGTCTTTGGTTTCGTCCCTACCGAGTACCTGGGATCTCGTTTCGTGGGCGGAAGCTTGCCCGACAACGAGACCTGCGTTCGCGGTTTTGACAATGGCGGTTTCATAATGGGTACCTCGTCCAGTTTGTTCAACCAGTTCTTCCTGAATGTCAACAGCACTGCGTTGCCCGACTGGCTCAAGAGTATCTTCACCGGTATCCTTGGTGACATTGGTGAGGACTCTGATGATATCGCCGTCTACTCCCCCAATCCCTTCTACGGATGGCGCAACAATTCCTCTCCGTACTCCAGCTACAAGGAGCTCGACATCGTGGACGGTGGAGAGGATCTCCAGAACATCCCTCTGCACCCGCTGATCCAGCCTGAGCGCCACGTCGATGTCATCTTCGCTGTCGACTCCTCTGCTGACACGGACTACTCGTGGCCCAACGGTACCGCGCTCGTTGCCACCTACGAGCGTACCCAGAACTCCACCGGTATCGCCAACGGCACTGCCTTCCCGGCCGTCCCGGACACCAACACCTTCGTCAACAAGGGCTTCAACCAGCGACCCACCTTCTTCGGCTGCAACGCCACCAACGCTACCAGCAGCTCCGGCGACGTCGCTCCCTTGATCGTCTATCTCCCCAACGCACCCTACATCCTGTACTCCAACGTGTCCACCTTCGAGTACCCCTCGTACAACGACACCTACCGTGACCTCCTCATCCTCAACGGCCAGGACATCGTGACGCAGGGTAACAGCACCGTAGACTCGAACTGGTCGACCTGCGTGGGTTGTGCTATCCTGAGCCGTTCTCTTCAACGCACCAACACCGACATTCCCCAGGCCTGCACCCAGTGCTTCCAGGACTACTGTTGGGATGGTAGCCTCAACAGCACTGCTCCGGCTCCGTATGAGCCTACCACCGAGTTCAAGGAGGTTAGCGCCGATAAGAGCGCTGCGTCGATTGCGATGCCTACGCTGTTCTCGGTTGTGGTGTCTGCTGGTGCTGCTTTGTTGTTGATGTAGGCTTGTAGCCTGGATCTTCTTTTTACTTCTACTTTTGAATTTTGGATTTTGGATTTTGATACTAGTTGGATAATACCATTTTACTCGTTATTGGAGGATCAAACAATGAACTACTCTGTACTTGAACTAAACTAACCATGTACTCTGTACCGTTGCAGTATTTTTTTTTGCACACTGTAGACTGCACGTGACCATCACCACAGCAACGACAGCTGACTACCCAAACAAGCAACCCGCGGCTCCGCCTCGCCCGCTGACCTCCACGACAATCATCCAATCCACGCCATTTCTTTGTGCGCCGATTCTGTCTTTAAGAGACTCATACTAACCAGCAGATACCTCCAGCACGCGTTTTATACTCGATAGATCTATATTCGACGAGTTTGACGCGCTCACCATGACCACGGCGATTTGTCAACAATAGATTCAACTGTTTGTTGCTCCCCCACCGCAGCACGACGCGCTGAATCCACGCACGAGACGAATTCGGCAGGACCTGATACCATATCCACGACAAACGGCTAGGAAATAAAGACGATAACAAGAAAATGGCTCGCGCGGCTGTCATCCCCCAATCACCCCCTAAACGGGGTCGCCCCGCGTCGTCCACCAGCACCGCGAGAGGTCGTTCCTCCGTTGCAACAGCGACCACGGCAGCAGCTAGAGCGAAAGCGAGACCTGCCCCTGCGAAACCCGCGACCAAAAGGACTGCGCGTGCTGATACGGATGACGATGACGACGAGATCGCGATGGAGAATAAAGAGAAGAAGACGACTGCTAGAGGGAGGGCCAAAAATACGACATCATCATCGACGACAACGGCATCGAATACGGTACGCGGAAGGAAACCGGCTAGAACTGTGAACCCGCGGGAGGAGAGCGATGATGATGATGAACTTGCGCAGATGGATGTTCCGAAGAAGCGCGTTGGACGGCCGAAAAAGGAGACTACTACTACTGCGAAACCAGCAGAGCCGGCGGCTAGACCGAGGGGCCGACCGAAGGGTACTACGAATGCTAAGACGACGACGACGGCACGGTCCCGCAGGACTGAGGAGGAGTCGAAGCCTAGGGATATTGCGATTACTTCGGCTGCGCTGAGGTCGAATATTCTCAAGGGGCCTGCGAAGAAGAAAACGGTTACGTTCCAGGATGTTACTGATTCAGAGGAGGAAGAGGAAGAGTCTGCTCCGGCTCCTAGACGGCGAAGGGCAACCCCTGCTAAGCGCGGTATGGGTGCTAAACCTGCTCGCAAACCTGCTGCTACCGGCACGGCGACTGGTCGTGTTCACAAACCCGCTGCGAAGACAGCCACGAAGCCGAAGCCTCTTTCGCCGAGGAAGGCGAATCAAGTCGCCAAGTCGATTTCGTCGTATGTTAGCTCGGATGGTGAAGATGATGAACTTGCTGGTGGAAAGGATCAGATTAAATTACATGTCAACTCGCCTACGAAACACGGATCAGAGAAAACCGGACTTAGTTCCCCGGTTAAGCGCATTAACCTTACTCCTCGCCATAAGTCTGTTGATGAGAATGGGAAGCCTGTTCGCCGGTCTATCGATTTCAACGATGTTATTAGCATGTCCAGTCCCACGCGGGAACCATCCCCTTCGCCTTTCCATTACACACTCAGAGAGACTCCCAGGAGAGTAGGTCTTGCTGTCGCAGAAGAACACACCGGCCCAATTGCCCAGCCGGATTTTGGCCGCTCCCAAAATTCCCCGCTCAAGGCATCTCCCAAGAAAGGCCTCCTAGAAACCCCAAGAGGAGGCAGCGGCTTCGCCTTCAACAACGACATGAAAGCCTCCTTCCAACCAAACTTCACCCCCGGGCAAAACTCCCCCCTCAAAGCCTCCCCTAAAAAGGGCCACTTCAATGAAACCCCCAAAGCCAGCAGCATGGCTCCCTGGGACGGCACGAAGCCACTGTCCCAGCCGAACTTCACACCTGGACAGAACTCGCCGCTAAAGGCTTCCGCAAGGAAGGGGAAATTGGCAGCGTCGTTCTCGGAGAGTGCAATGAAGGCATCGTCGACGCCGTCGTTTAACGCGAGGATTTCGCTGCTACAGAGTCCCGCGAAGAGAGTTGTTTCGCCATTTAAGGGGTTTACGCCGAAGAGGTCTTCGTTGTTTGCGCCGAGGGAGGTTGAGAGTACTACGCCTCGTGATGAGGTTGAGCATGATGTGCAGACTGCTTCTACGCCGCAGATGGAGGAACCGCTTAGGCTTGGAGAATTGGATGGGGGTGTGCATGAGAACCAAGAGCAGGATGAGTCTGCGGATGAGTTGGGCGATGAATATGACCATGATGTAAATGATCATGATTCTCAGGCTACCATCGAGGAAGAGATGGATGAGGGCCAAGAGCCCGGGCATGATGAGCAGCCTGGTGATGAATTGGCACATGAAGCCGATGATCACTTGCAGGCTCCGTCTGAACCCCAATCGCACTTCGCGATCGATGACGAGATGGACGAAGAGCAGGACCAGGACAACGAAGAATCTGCTCATGAACCGGAGCATGAAACTGAAGAATACGTCCATGAACCAGAGACTCAACACCACGCCGAAGCCGACGAGGAAATGGATGAAGGGCCTGAGTTTGATGCTGAGCCTGAGACCCGTGATGACGGAGACGACGCGGACTATCCCCAGGAAGACGCTGCACCTACCTACGAGGACCTTGAGCGAGAGGTTGCCGACGAACCCTCGCTAGACCTTGGTGAAGAGCTCGCGGAGACGTTCGCTGAGACGTACACCGAGGATGACTACGAAGTCCCTGCTGCACATCCCAAGGAGCATGACTATGAAAATGCCACTGAAGATCTAGAGCACCACCAAGAGGACCAGAACGACGACGCAGATGAAGCCGACCAACTTGCTGAATCTGTGCTGTTAGATTTCCAGAATCTTACTGAGGAACACGAAGAACCTGAAGAGCAAGAGAATGGATTTGTCGATGATAGAATCGCTGCGCTGGAAACAGAGGTTGAAGCTGAGATGCACGAGGTGGATTTTGGTCCGGTTTCCGATCGGGAAGAGGGCAGTGAGCAAGAAATTGACGACCACGAGGCTCAGATGCGCGAGGCGGATTTTGGTCCGGTGTCGGATCAAGAGGGCAGTGAGGAAGAGAGTGACGATGATGAGCCAGAAGTGCCTGCTCAGCAGGATGTCCCCGAAGAACCGGAAGAGGACCAGGACCAAGAGATTGACGACGAGCCAGAGGTTTCGGCCCAGCAGGATGCTCCCGAAGAACCAGAACTACCCGTTCAGCACCATGTCCCCGAAGAACCGGAAGAGCCCGTTGCCGAGGAACATCAGGCCATTGAATCGGAACCCGAAGATCTCAACGCTGAAGATGACATGGAAAGCAACGACGATTTTGAAGCCGACGATGATATCCAGGAAGTTCCCGTCCACGAAGACGTCCAAGAAGACGAAGACGAAGAGAGCGAAGAGGAAGTCGATGATGAAGAGGATTGGGACGTCGACGGGACTACGCTGGTTGTCTTTGATGAGGAGCAGATGTACATGGAGGGTGCGAGGCCTTCGCCTCGTCGTGTTTCGCCTCGTCGTATGTCGCCTCGACGTATCTCACCTCGCCGGCTTTCTCCTCAACGGCCTTCACCCCGTCGTGTCTCTCCTCGTCGTGCTTCACTTCGTGCTCCGCCTCGCCGTCTCTCTCGCCAGAGCATTCAAGTCGAGCGTGAACCCAGTCATGAGCCCAGCCCTGAACATGTCGAAGCTCCTTCACCGACTCCTGCTCCAGTTGTCGACAATCAGTACCGCGATGACGCGGATCAGACGGACTCCGACGAAGACGCATCCAACATCCAGGAGGCTGCGCAGAATAAAACCAGCACCCCCGAACCCAACGTCCCCACCCTAAACCCCCGCTCCAGCATCCACCGCTCAATCTTCGACAATGCCCCGCGCTTCACACCACTAGCCAACCAATTCAGCCAGTGGCAGGCTGGCACTCCCCAAGAGCAAGAGCAAGAAGCAAGCAGATCTAGTCGCCCACGACGGGGCATTTTCTCTATCGGTGGTGCTCCCAGGAGACCTTCGGGGAGGATTTCTGTTGGTTCGGATGTTTCGTATCCTGATCTTGGGCGGTCGCTTGGGTCGAGGAAGTCGTCTTTGGGGAATGTTACTGGCCAGGGGGATGTTGGGGATGAGGAGGAGGAGGAGGAGGAGGAGGAGGAGGAGGAGGATATGGAGCCCGCTGTTGAGGAAGAGGCAGAGGCAGAACTGGAACCAGAACTGGAACATGCTCACGGGGTAGAGCAGGAGCCAGAACCTGAGTCGGTGCAGGAACCGGAACAAGTTCCCGAGGCAGAGCCAGAGACTCTTGAAGATGATGCTGCCAAGGCCGATGAACCACAACACCCTGTAACTGAGATCTATACTGATCCAGAACCCGAGGCGGAGGCGATCGACGAACGTGGAGAAGATCTCCCTCAGCATGCCAGCAGTCCCGCACCCGCACCCGCACCCGTCCCCGACCAATGGGACGATGATAAGGAAAACGAAAATGAAAACCTCCCTGCACCTGGGCCAGTGACACCTATGAAAAATATCAAAGAAAAGATCAGCCCCATGCACACCGTCCACACAGTGTCCAAGGTCCCACTCAAGCCCGAGGGCCATATCTCGCCGCTGAAGATGCCCCTATCTCTTAAACGACGTCGCTCATTGTCGAACACATCGCCAACTCGTGCCTCGCCACGACTGCGCAAGTCGGCTCTTTTTGCTCCTGCTCTCGCTGCCCAGGAAGAGAGTGTGTCTGAGTTTTCGCCGAGAAAGGCGCCTAGGCTTATGGAACATGACAGTCCCGCACAGCGAGCAAGTGAGTATAGAGCGCGAAGTGTGGAGAGAAGACAGAGCCGGGCTAGCATTGGCAGCAAGGCGCCGTCTCAATGGCCCAGTCCTGTGAAATCTCGCCGGACGAGCGAATTCAGTGCGCGCAGCGCGGACCGCCGCCAAAGCAGACCAAGCACCAAGCTTCCATCCCGCTCGCCCAGCCCCGTCAAATCCCCCCGCAAGAGCATCGGTACCAATGGCGCCCTAACCGGCGCCATCGTCTACGTCGACGTGCACACAACCGAAGGCGAAGACGCAAGCGGCATCTTCATCGAACTCCTCCAACAAATGGGCGCCCGCTGCGTCAAGAACTGGGCCTGGAACCCGCGCGCAAGCCTCCTCCCCGAATCTGCCGCAGAGCAACACAAAGACGGAAGAGTAGGCATTACGCACGTCATCTACAAAGATGGCGGCGTCCGCACACTCGAAAAAGTCCGCCACGCCGCTGGTCTCGTCAAATGCGTCGGCGTCGGCTGGGTCCTTGACTGCGAGCGCGAAAACAAATGGCTCGATGAGACCGAGTACACTGTCGACAGCACCATGATCCCTCGTGGCGGCGCCAAGCGCCGAAAGTCCATGGAGCCGAGGGCATTGAGTAACGTCAACGGAACTCTCGTCTCCTCTGCCGCAGCCGCTCGACGCAAATCGGCCATCACACCCTCATCCAGCGAAGAACCACGCACACCAACCACAACCCGGACAAAGAAATTCGATACTCCATCCGCCAGGGATAGAATCTACCAAACGCCCAAAACACCGGGTACGGGGTATGGATTCCGGTTTAATATGGATGATTATGTGGGCATGTCGCCTGCGACACCGTTCTATCTGTCGCGCGCGAAGTTGGTGCAGCAGACTTGTCCGCCGAAGCAGACGAGGCAGGGATTGTTCCAGACTGGGGATGATGCTGGGTTGGGCGATGGTGAGGACTCGGAGAGCTCGAGGAGGTTGAAGATGAGGTTGGAGGCTGCTAGGAGGAAGAGTTTGGCTGTTAAGCCTTGATGGGCTTCGGTTGACTAGCATTGGTTTGGTTGTTCTTGAACTGTACATACCCATTTGCAACATTGTGGATATTGCCTTGGAGTTTTGGGATTGGGAGAATTGATTTTGGAATTGATTGACTTTGTCGTCGCAACCGCCGTAGAAACCGCCGTGTCTGGGAGGACAGGTTGGTTCAGTAGATAGGATGCCGTGTTGAAATGAGCCTCTCGTTCCGTCTGGCTGCACTATGCAAATAACCTCAGGCTACGTAGTAGTTGACCCCTTTAATTGAGTTGCCAAATGTGTCAGATTCTCGCATTGCCGGGATATATAAGTTCTGTATCCCATATTCCACAAGAGATAGTTGGCTTGCGCGACATTTATGACTAGCTAGCGAGCAAATTCAGTCCTCCGTACATATAAACTAGGCTTAATTCCGAGATCCCTCGCCTCCAGAGATTCTTGCCAGGAATTCCTGCTCGTGCTTTTTCAACAAAAGACCCATCTCCCTTTTCCGCGTGTAAATATTCTTGGATCTCTCTCTTTATAGCTTGAGGTAAGCTCTTCGTACAACTCATCGTACACCTCACACGAAAAGAAACGGGACGATGGATTTTTTATCCATTGCACAATTATGTTTCTCCACCATCCCCTCGAGATACGCCATGTCCCTAGCGTCCAATTTGTCCTGGAACACAAATCGATACCCCATACAAAAGGGACAGACCTGCAACTCCTCCGTATTGGCGCAGCTACAGAAGAGTTCTGGGTATCGGTTGAAGAAGTCACTGCTCGTCTAATAGGAGTAGCCTTTGCTGTTGCACTGTGGGCAAATGCCCTTGAAATAGTGTTGTAGGACATCCCTAAACATTTGCCACGAGTTTAACCGGGAAGAACAGATGGAGGGAAGCAGTACTTACCGTCCATGTCAACAACAAAACGCCGACCAAGAGGCTTGTGGCCTCATCACGGAGTTTTTTTTTTTTTTTTTTTTTTTTTTTTTTTTTTTTTTTTTTTTGGTCACCAGGCACAAGGCATGATATGCACGCACCATTTGAGCCCGACCAGAAGCACTTGGGGAGATGCTCGGCTTTGACTTCGGGCGTCGCCGTCACGAGAATCATTCATCCGACGTGGTAATCGTTTCTTCCTCGAATCGCATACCAATATCTTTCTTCAGGGAGGCGCGGCTAGGGTTATCCGGATCGGGAGGTTAGCTCTTGCAGATTGATTGCTCCATGATGGAAATCTTGAAGTCTTGTGAAGTCTCGCGCGCTGTACTGTACTGCCGGGGCAATCTGGAATGAAGACTCAAAACGTCGGTCGAATTGGTCTCAACGGCTGCGGTGAGAACGAATAGAGGAACCCTCACGTTTTCCTCTAGGACTCGTCACTGGAATTTGTACGAAGGGGATTTACCAGCTTCAACCACACGAATCTATTTTTGATTGTCGATGATTCTCCTTCCAAGGTCAGAATGGATCGGTTGAGAGACCTTGTGATATAGTAAGGGGTGGTTGGATTTGCATATAGTAGTTGACGCGAGGCGTTTTATTTGAGATTGGTGTATTATTGAGATGCCTGCTTGCTTCATAAAGGTAGTGACCAGGACCAAGTACTGTTGTCAACCTCTTCTGGTTGTCTTCCTTGACTGTTGTTGGACGTGCAGAAAGCCTCACGATGGTAGGAAAAGTGAGAGATTGCAGGTACTAGTTGAGTGGTGTGGAGTAGACTACTAAGTGAATGGTATATATATATATAGAGCGTTCTGACTAGATAAAAGGGTGAATGTTGTTAGCATTCTTCTTCACTTTCTTATTTTTAATGTTGAAATAGCCACCATAGTTATCTTGAATTGATCAATTTTCATATTTATAGCCCGAAATTAGACGACACTGACATAAAGTGAAATCTGGATGTTGAAACCGAGACCTAAACAAACCCGAAATATCATAATAATTTTCCATAAAGCACCGTACCAACTAAATCGAATTCATACCAGCCTCCTTCTCCTCATCCCACTCGCGATAAAACCCTGCCACCAAAAACGCCAACTCCAACGCCTGCTTCTCATTCAACCTCGGATCACAGAAAGTAGTATACCGCTCCCCAAGCCCCTCCTCCGTCAAACCACCAGCACCACCCACGCACTCTGTGACTGCCTCCCCAGTTAACTCGAGATGCATACCGCCCAGGAACGAGCCAGCTGCGCGGTGGATCTCGAGTGCTTGGCGCAGCTCGGAGAGGATATCGCTGAAGTGCCGGGTTTTGATGCCAGAGGGCGTGGATTGGGTGTTGCCGTGCATGGGATCGCATTGCCAGACGGGGATGTGGCCGGATTGCTTTACAGCGGCGATATGGGCGGGGAGGTGTGCGGAGATCTTTGAGGCGCCGTAGCGGGAGATCAGGGTGACTTTGCCGATTTCGCGGGATGGGTTGACGGTGTCGAGAAGCTGGACGAGGTCTTCGGGGGAGATGCTGGGGCCGATTTTCAGACCGATGGGATTGGCGATGCCGCGGAAGAATTCGACGTGTGCGCCATCGAGTTGGCGCGTGCGGTCGCCGATCCAGATGAAATGCGCGGATGTTGCGTAGTGGCTGGTGTCATTGGGGGTGGAGGAGGAGGAGGAGGAGGAGGAGGAGGGGTTACGCTGGAGGCGGGTTAGGCTTTGTTCGTATTCGAGGAGGAGGCCCTCGTGGCTTGTGAAGACTTCGACGGTCTCGACGCCGCGGTCTGTGTCGATGCCGACTGTGTGCATGAAGCGAAGGGCATCTTTGACGCGGATGACGATGCGTTCGTACTTCTCCTTGATGGAGGGAGTGATGACATGGCCTAGACCCCAGTCTAGTGGGGAGTGTAGGTCCGCGATGCCCGAGGAGAGCGAGGCGCGGAGGTAGTTGAGCGTTGCTGAGGAGTGGAAGTAGGCCGAGACTAGACGGGAGGGGTCTGGGTTTCTGGATTCGGGATCAGCAGCGAAGCCGTTGATGTTGTCACCGCGGAAGGAGGGCATTTCGGTGCCGTTGATAGTTTCCATTGGGCTTGAGCGGGGTCTGCACTATTAGTCCTGTACCTGACTGTTATGCTGGAGAAGACTCACTTGGCGAATTGTCCAGCAATTCGTCCAATACGGACAACCGGCTTATTGGCGCCTGTAACAGTTAGCCATTGCCATATCATAGATAGGATAGTGCACTCACCCCAAATCAAAACCAAACTCATCTGCAGCAAAAGCTTCACCTTTGCCTCGATCACACCCTGATTACAGTAGTCAAACAGCTCCGCACAGTCACCCCCCTGCAAGACAAACGCCTTTCCCAGAGCAACATTCTTCAAATGCTTCCTGAGGTTATGAATCTCCTGCGTAGTCACCAGCGGAGGCAGTTTCTGAAGCTTGTCGAGGGCAGCCTGCACGCCGTCCGAGTCGCTATAGACGACATCTTGCTTGATGGGTTTGGATTTCCAGGCTGACACATTAGCTCTGCTATAATGCTATACTGCTATGATACCATGGATAACTCACAGCTAGGGGTCCAATTGTCCATGGTGAGTTGTTTAGAGAGGAAATGCTACCCCAATAATAGCCAGCTGAGGTTTATATGATGGTGTCTCGGTCGTACAACAAAAACACTGAGCTGACGTCGAGTGACAACAAAACAGCGAGGGATAAGCCGAATAGAAGTCCGGATTCCAATTGAGAAAAAAAAACCACGCAAAACGAAGAAAACAGTCAATACAGTCCTTGACTCATGCGCTATACCATTTCCGGCCAAGACCCTCTTTGTTATCGTGTTATCAGTGACTTCACACACCCTTCTCCCCACACACCCTATTCTTTCAAGCTGAAAACTATCTGTTCCTGAACTCTATATAAACATTCTCAACAAAGATTGACATGTCCAATCCAGCTGACGACCACGACCAGCTCCTCCCCGCCAACCCCGAAGACCGCAAAGCCGCCGCCGCCCTGTCCTCGCTTAACGATGACCTCGGCAGCCGAGTCTCCTCCACCGCGGACCAGGAAGCGCTCGGGAAGGCGATGAGTCGGTTGGAGATTGCGGCGGGTCAGGGTGGGAATACCGGTGGGAATGCCACTGCTAGTGCGGGGCAGACAAAGCAGACGACGGAGGGGAAGAAAAAGGTGGTCAAGGTTAAGGCGGAGGATGTCAATCTGTTGGTAGGTGCTTCTGTCCCGTGCTGTGCCTGTGCTGTGCCTGTGCTTTGTTTAGACTAACTAATGGCTGGCCATGGCATGGCAGGTGAAGGAATTGGATCTGAGCAAGGCCAAAGCGACGGAGCTATTGAAGGCGAATGAGGGAGATGTAAAGAAGGCTATACAGGCTTTTATTGCAGTTGTCTAGAACACTGCTCACGATCATGACTTACGTTAATGAACATGAATATTGCATACAAATAATCATCAGATCACCTCCCAATCCCCCTCCCCTCATATATCGTCCACAACAACAACCACCCCACCATCGCCTCCAGCGCCAAAAACCACCACACCCCTCCGATGAAATTATACTGCAATCCCAACCCCAATCCCCAACCACCAACAAATGGCCCCAGCGTACGTGCTCCGCTCGAAACACTCTGCGCCACCCCGTGGATCGTACTCAGGACAGCGGGGTTCGTGACGCAGTTGTTCACGAGGATGATACCAGCTGGCAGCGCGAACGTCCGAGAGATAACTTGTAGTGCCGCGATGAAGGTAAATGCGGGCCAGACAAGTGCCGGATTTCGGGGAATGAGCACGAGAAAGGGCGCCAATGCGTATGCGATTGCAGAAAAGGGTAGAAACGCGCGGAATGATGTCAATGTGCCTATTTTGGCCTGTACGCCTGGATAGACGAAGATTTGGAGCGGAAGACCGATCACCCCGATGATAGCTGTTGCCAGACCCACCCGTGAAGACGGGAGACCCAGTCCTCCGCCGAAGAAGATACCGTCCCGACTGCCTTCTGGGGCGCGGGGTGTAGGCAGGTACGTAAAGGTCATGGAGTTGAAGGCGCTGGTGTGGAAGGCGACAAGGAAGTTGGCTAGCAGCGTTAAGAGGACATTCCGGGTCCAGGTTTGGCGGAAGGTCGGGCGTTTGTATTGTGGTCGGATGGGGGGTGTTGGAGTCGGAGCGGACTCGTTTTCGTCTTCGTATAAGGAATTGTCTTCTTCTTGGTCGGTCAGACGACGGTAGTATCGGGGGATGCGGTTTCTCGAGACGGATCTGGCGAGTTTTCGGCCTAGATTCCGGCCCCAGTCATCGCGATACCGTGCAATTACATGCGTCTAGATCCGTTAGCCTTGTCAGAGTGCAACACTGCAAGCACATACCTCATCCAATCCCAAAAACACAGCCAACATGGAACAGAAGATGAATATCCCACTCAACACATTCGGCAACGCATACGGCCAATGCTGCATCCACCAAACCCCATCCTTCCCTCCAAAGAACGATCCGGGCCCGAACAGACCAGGATAACTACCCGCCGGATCAGCCAGCATGCCCCCGAATACCGGTCCAATGATAACCCCAATGTTGAAGCACATGGGCAGCAACAGGAACGCCCGAGCTTGGAACTTTTTCTCCTCGATAATCTCGGCAATCATCGTCCTCATCACCCCGATGTTACTATTGAGCATGCCGCCCAACGTCCTAAACACCGCTGCCGTCACAAAGGACCTCGAAAACCCAAAACCAAGACACGATATCGACGTCCCCAGCAACCCAATAAGCAACACCGTCTTCCGTCCCACAGCATCCGCATCCGCCAGTCTCCCCCAAAAAACAGACGAAACAAACTGCGCCGCCGTAAAACAAGCCTGTAGCATCCCCGCCTGCGCAGAAATCGTCGAGTCAGGCAGCGACGGATCAAACGACTTGAGCTGGTAAAACATATACGCCTGCAAAGACGTCTGCGTGACAGGTTCCGATAAGCGTGCGAATGTCAAGATGGCGAGTTGGGACTTTTTGGGCAGCGACATCCAAGTCGCTGGTTTTTCGGCTTCGTTTCCATTAGATCGTACGGGGTCGTCGATATCTTCGTCGTCGTCGTCGTCGTCGTTGACCGTAGGCTCTGGGATCGGAGCGATATACTGAAAACTTCTTGAATCGGTATCGTCGGTCACCGTATCGTCGTCTCGGTCGCGATAGGATTGTGGTCGTGATTGAGCTTGAGATTGAGATTGTGTGTCTGCATGGCCGGCATGCTGGCGGGATTGACTCGAACCCATCAATCGTTATAGAGAGTAAATCTCTGTTTCTGTGAAATCTACCCAGACACACCAGGCAGGAAAAGAAGATAAAGCATTTTCAGCATTAATCGCCATTTGACGCCCCTCGTGCGCGATTCGACTCTGACTTGGCCGGTGGAGTTCCTTAGCCGCTCCGATTCGGCTCGGATTACCGAATGGGAAATAATGCATGCCTGTACAGAGAGTGCGACAGTTTACTTGTACTGTATGTAGTTATCGAATCTTGTTACATTCATCGTACTCCGTATGATATATGTTAATATCTAGCAGGCTTTTATATCTATTTAGGTCGAACCCTCAAACATCCCGAACCAGACGCGGAGTCACCCAAGGATAAGGGTAGTTCTTCTGCCACCAATTGAGGCTATCCTGTGTTAGCTGACGAACATTCAATCAAAACAATAAGAAAAATAGACAACAAGAAACTAGACAACTTACAATGTCCTCTTCCCAGAGATTCTCGGATGCAAAGCCCACGTCCCCCCAACAACAACAATATGCTTCTCATCCATAAAATCGGCTATCACAATCAGCACATCAACCCATCTACATCCATTGATTACAACTGGACTCACCACTATACCCCGGATAAATATCCATAGGTTTAAACCCAGGCTGCGGCGCAAAATTCGAACTCGTCCACTCATACGCACCACCAAGGTCACTCTGTCCGCACAGCTGATTACCCTTGTGCGTCACGGGCGTGGGATGGAAATGGTTGAAACCTGTGTTGTAGCCGGTCATGTCGATGTAGATGTCTTCGCGGGAGGAGGGGGGGAGTTGGTCTCGCGGTCTGTTTTTGTTAGCACGGTTCTACTTTCATTGATTTGGGGAAGGGGAAAGGCCGTACAGGTCGTTATTTGCCTTGGCCTTCTCCTCCTCGACTTGACGGTGGATGCTGCGTGCTTCGTGGAGAGTCGGGAGTCGAGCGCCCGCCCAGTCGGCGTAGGCTGTTGCATCGTTGTAGGATATGTAGACGGGCCAGTCGACGGCGAGTTTCAGCGGGACGGGGCCGAAGACGGTTTTGATGGTGAGGCCTTCGATGAAGTTCTCAACCGCATCCGATGAGCCATGGCCATTGGCAGCGTTCTCGGTACGAGTCCACGAAATCGGAATACAATCCGTCTTCCCCGTCTTTACAAGATACTCGGCATACTCCCCAACACACACACAGGCCTTGCCTGTGCCTCAAACCCATGCACCATCGCATCATACGGCCCACGCTCATTATCCCACGCGAAATACCCACTCCCCGAATCATCTTCCGCGTCGTCGATCCCGATTGGGAATGTCCTTGCCCTGACAGGAAACCACCGATTCTCAACCCTCCCATCCCTCGCCTTCCTTGCCATCCCCTCAAAATCAGGCCTCTCCATCCCGGGAGGCGGCTGTACATTCGGACTAAGAATACTCATCCACAAAAACGTCTCCAAATGCAGACCCTCATGCTCGAACCCGATCCACAGCGCACGACCAATAGTCCTATCAGACCAGGGTTTATCGGTCTGATACAGCGCCTCGATCCTTGCGCAGACCTTCTTCCGGAAGGATAGGATTTCAGCGAGCGAGGGCCATGTACCTGGAATTTCGCTGTGGTCGTGGCAGTCATTTGGGTTGTCGACGTCCGGGTCGATGCCGCGCTCGAAGATTGTTTGGTAGTAGAGTGGTTCGATGGGGGATTCGTTTGTTGCGCGGGAGAGGTGGATGTCCTCACTGTTTTCTGTTAGTTTTGGTTTGCCTTTCATACATCCCCCCCGCAATCAGAGGATGTACGGGGTAGGACTTACAACGTAGGTATATGCCCAAGATAAAAGACCAACTCATTCCGTAACGGAATCGGCTTCTCATGCAATGCCGAGTTCGGGATCATTTTCAACGTCACTAATTCCCACGCTGCCCAGAGCTGTCTCCATTCCTGTATGCTCGGCACCGGCTCGGGCGCATACTCCTTTGGGTGTAGCGGGAAAGCATACGGCGAAGTCGAATCCATCTTGATACTCCGTATGTATGTACGTAGCACGTCAATTCCGGAGAAATCGAGCTCATCTAGGACCTATAAGAAGCGCATTGGATTGCATTTAAATCTACTTGTAGAGGGGCGGATTACTACATAGTTGACTATCAGCCAGCCATCGCGTTCTCCACATAGCCCATCAGCCAGCCAACCTTAGGGCTAGACGGGCGCGGTGAAGGTGTATATTTGTGGGGTCTCTGCCGAGCTGAAAAGAATTTTTTTTTGGGGGTCCATTGGTGGCCATGTGGGCGAATGGTGGACTGTGTATATGTGGTAAGCTAGATCGGAATGGGACTTGACTGAAAATGTGTGGGGTTGGGATCCATTCGGCTATCGTTTCTTTTTTGTACACTTCTGTTGACCGGGTTGGTTCTCGAGCGATTGGGAACTTTATTTACACAAATGGTGCGTCAGCTTGAACTATTCGAGTCCTGGCCTGATCATATCTTTGAGCGATGGACGGAGGAATTGGAGGTCAAGCTTAGGGAATTGTGCTTGCGGGACGGATCCTGAGCCGTGATAATCGAGAGAAAATCATTCAACCCTGATGTACGGAGTACGCCTTGTTCTCAACTCTTATCCAACACTCATCGGAAATGTTATTTGCCAGCTTGTACACCATGGAAAGACACCCAGCAATCGTCTGCACCGAAGCATCCGTCAACCCCCGTCGTTCATAGAAGTGACCTCTCAAACAACCAAGGACATACGACGCCGTCGCGCGCGCATTCAAATCGATAACCACAAGCCTCCCCGTTGGTCGAACGAAAAAGGAACCGGATTGAGAAAGCTGGCTAACGGCACATTGGCTCATATAGTATGGAGTCCTCGGTGATTTCTTTGCTCGCAAGAATGTGGTTCTCTGGGATGTCTGGCTAGTGGGGTATCGGCATCGATGGTCCAACTTATCCTGTCAAGGGTTCTAGCTGGAATCAGTGGTGCTGGGATAATCTCGCTGGTTTCTGTCATCGTTACCGGTACCTTCCCCTGCTTCAGACTGTTCGAGGGGGAAATGAACAGTGACCGGCTAACGAATGACAGATATCGTCCCTCCCAAAGAAGTCGCGCTTTTCCGTAGCTACGCCAAAATCACAAATATCACAGGACGCAGCTTGGGAGCACCCATTGGGGGGGGGTTGTCACAAACTGTTGGCTGGAGATGGTGCGTCTCTCAACCACAATACCCGGTGTCCCTCCACTTACTGATATAAACGACCAGGTCATTCTACGGCCAACTCCACATCCTCATAATCTCCGTTATAATAACAGCATGCAACATGCCCTCAACACTAAACCAAACACCCCAAGAATCCACCAAAATCCAAGATCAAGAAAATCGATTTCCTAGGCATCCTCAGCTTCACGGCTATAATCCTCCTACTCTTATTTCTCCTTCAGAGTACGGATTTCAGCACTATAGAGCAGTCTTCACTTTTTCTACCTTTTAGGAGGCTTGTTCGTCGGTGTTGCTTCGGCTTTTCTCTTGATTGAAATGTTTTGGGCTGAGATCCCGTTGACACCGGTTGATATGATTCAAAAGGCTTGTGGGGGGGCATTGTCTTGCGCAGGCGTTTCTTACTGTCGGGCGGGTATGCTAACCTCACCAGTTTTCGGTTTTGCATGCGCCTTTCTCACATAGTTCATGATGGTGTTTCTTCGAGAAAGGCCTATACAATAGACTAGACAGCATCCATCTGAAAGGATGGGGAGGGAAGGAAGCGTGTACAGTGGTAGATTAACCCTAACCAGAGTCTATCAACAACAACAAAAATAGAGACAATCTAATCCCTCCTTTTCCGCCTCAAACTCCACTTCGTAACAAGCACCAACCCCGCTCCTACAAAAACAGCAACCCCACTAAATACCATAGCAGCCCACCACCCATACCCATCGATCAACGCCCCACAAATCGGCGTCCCCGTCAACCCCGAAACCCCTACTATCAAAAACGCCATCCCCAAATACGCCCCAATCAAGCTCGGATGCGGCGCAATCTGCGCAATACAAGGCGACAGCAACGACACAATCGCCCCCGAACAAAACCCATACAGCGCCGCGAACACGATAATCGCGGCGTTCGATTTGATGGCTATCCAGCAGAGTAGAAGGACGCCCGTGCAGAAGCCGGAGATGGAGAGGAGGGTGAAGTTGCCGAAGTGGTCGGCTAGGAGGCTGGGGATTATGCGGCCGATTATGGAGGCGGCGTTGAGGATGGAGAGCATGTAGGAGGCGAGGCGGGGGGACATGCCGCGGTAGGTGGCGTAGGTGTCGATGTAGAAGAAGGGGGTGAACATGCCCCAGATAAGGAAGAAGAGGGAGGCGATTGTTAGGATGTAGCTGGGGTCGCGGAAGGCTGATAATACCAATATATCTCCCTTACGGGGAGGGAGTCTTCGGCGGACTGTTGCGCATGCAATCACCAGAAGCGCTAGGATAATAAAACCTGCAATACGCACTCCCCAACCAAACGCGATACTGCGTGTCTGGAACAGATTGTTCAAAGCAATCGGGAAAATCACACCACCAAGCGATGATCCGCTAACAGCTATCCCCATAGCCAGTGCTCGACGGTTTCTAAAGTACTGTCCAACAGCAGCCATTGCCGGAGCGAACATCATACCGCAGCATAGACCGCCGAGGATTCCCTGGGCGAGCATGAATTGATAGTACTCTTTGCACAGGGATGTCATCATCACGGCGAAGACGAGGAGTAGTGCTGGGGGGATTATGACCTGCAATGTTAGTTATATTCAATGGACCTGGAAATATAGCGATACATACAGTAGCACCTATCCGGTCGAATAACGGTCCTCCTATCACACCTCCAGCATACAGAAAGAATACCTGCACCGATCCAATCCACGAGATAGTAGACGACGACTCATGGCTCAGCTGGTGGCCCTGGTAATAATCCTGATATACACTGGTTCAATGAGCATACATCCACCAAATTCCCACTTTCAGAGAACAAACATACCCATAAGCATTCAAATACCCAAACGTGCAAAACAGCACACAAAACGCCCCAGCAACAACTCCCCATGCCCTAATCCCGCCCTCTGGAAAATCATCCTGCGGAGGTGGTGCTTGTTCTTTCTCAGTCTCAGGCTCGGCGGCACCCATTTTCTAATGTCCACAGGTTACTGAAAAGTTCAGACCGCGAGAGAGGTCGAAGCAAAGTGGCCATATTTACGATTATATTCCATCCCGGATAAGCGGCAATAAGGCGAAGTTTATCCCAGGGGAAAAGTGGAAAATGGAAAGTAAAATCTGGATCAGCTCCGGACATCGGTGCCTGTGAACAGATAACAAAGAGAACTGGGCGCGCGAAACAGCAATCGCGGAGGATCGCCAGATCTAGGCGGGGGCGCTAGCGATTGGGGATAAATGAAGGATTGCACTAGTGGAAATGTAGATGTGTTTGCTTCCGGGCCGGTGGGATACATACGCAGTGATATATCACACATGCTCTTAGAAATACGACCGAGCCGGGGAGGAAGCGGGGAGCAGGGGGATACTCTAGGAGCTTAATAAAAGCACAGAGCAAGCACAGGACAAGCACAGGACAAGCACAGGACAAGCACAGGACAAGCACAGGACAAGCACAGGACAAGCACAGGACAAGCACAGGACAAGCACAGGATGAGCCTTGGATATATATCATTACCGTTCATTATGTACTACTCATATGTACCATGTCCAATATGTACACCGCATACCACATCTCACTTATATACCCAAGAAGTTCCTCCTAGTCCCACTCTTCCCCTTCCCCCCGGTATACTTATTAAACTCCTGCGGTCCCTCTTCACTAATCAAATACCCATTCGCACAAGAACTAAACGAAACCTTGGGTTGTCTCGCATAAAACCCATCAAACTTCTCATCCAGCGCCTGCGTCAGATTCGCCACCGCGCCCGCAGGATGCAACTGCTGCCACGGCTTGCGACAAGCATCACCATCACAGGACTTGAGCACCATCATCAGCGCGTCCAGACGAGGGATGATCTGGCCGATGGGGCGGTTTGCGATCTTGAAGTTTTGGTGCTGCGCGGGGTTCGCGGCGAGGTTGACGGTTTGGTGAGGGTCGGATTTCATGTTGAAGAGTTCTTGCTCGTTGGTGCACCAGACGGAGTAGTAGACACTGTAGGAGTCGGAGATTAGGCGGAGGGCTTTGTAGGTGTTGTTTTGGAATTGGGTGTCTGGTTGTACGGGGACGTTGCTGTAGTGGCCGTAGATGCCTTCGGGGATGGCGAGGCCCCAGTATTCGATGGCTGCGTGCTCGGTCTTCGCGTCGGCGGTGTCGGCTTGGGTGAAGGGGAGGGCTTTGCCGTCGAGGCCCGGGCGGGAGGGGGCGTTGGCGATTTGCAGGAAGGTTGGGGCGATGTCGGTGTGGGAGGACACGACGTCTAGGGTTGCGTTTTCGGGGATGCCGGGGCCGCGGATGGCCAAGGGGACGTTGATGTCGGTTTCTGCATCGCATCATTAGTATCATTCACTCACTCACGGCTGGTAGGGAAAGACTCACCATAACCACAGTTCTTCCCTGGGTTCATCCGATGCTGCCCAATATGATACCCATTATCCGCCGAAAACACAACATACGTGTTATCCAGCACACCCGCCTTCTCCAACTTCTCAATAAGACTCTCAATCATCTCATCAACAGCCTGCAGTGCGCGCAGCCGTCTCCGCCCAAACTCATCATTATACTGAATAAGCGTTTCATTCAACTCAGGCAAATCCTTCACCCACCCCACAGCACCCTGGATGGGCTTGTTAAAGCTCGCATCGCGAGGAATCTGGTAATCAGGGAACAGTCCCGCATGGCGCGGTGCAAACTCCGGCTCTCCGAACCAGTTCGTGTCGCGACTAGGATCGTAAGAACCATTCGAGTGAGGCGCCGTAGGCGCAACAGTCAAAAACCAAGGCTTATCCTTGTTCTCGATAGCCTCGTCCAGGAACCCGCGCGCCTTATCCGCGATGACATCCGTCGAGTACTGTCCCTGGTAACTAACCGGCTTGCCGTTGTTACGGGTCATCTGCGCATCGTAGTAGCGGTAGGTATACGGGTCGAGGAGGAAGTCGGAGCTGTTGAAGCCCTTGGCGGGGGGGTTGTTGTAGTTTGTTGTGCTGTGCGCGTTCCACAACTTGCCCACGTAGTAGGTGTTGTAGCCGGCTTCTTGCAGCCAGATGGGGAGGTAGTTGTCGTTCCAGCCGGCTTCGACGACGCGGGGGTAGCCGCCGTAGGGAGGGTTTACGTCGGTGATGTTGGTGTTGTGAGGCATGCGGCCGGTCCAGATGTTGGCGCGCGAGGGGCAGCAGAGGGCTGTTGAGCAGTAGTGTTTGGGGAAGGTGGTTCCTTTTTGGACGATTTGTTTCTTTACCAGTTAGCACTTTCTAATACTAGCGCAATCGTGTACTATGTACATACCTGAAGCTGGGGCATATAATCCGGACTCCCCATATGCTTATCCTGGTCATCCGTCAAAATAAACAGAATATTAGGCTGGGTACTAGCCACAGCCAGCCCGGAGAATAGCAAAGTGTTCAGAAACTTCATCATGCAGTCGTTTCTCTTCCCTCTTTCACTGCTTTGAACGGCTTGAGACACAGAAACCAGCCCAATTTCATGTCGAGCAACGACCATCCTTATATGTCTCTCTCCCGCCCGAGATCACCTCTATCATCATCGCCAAAGCCAAAGCCTAAACTCGCCTGACTCTCTTCTCCACAGTCCATCCCTCCACACCCGACACGCAGCCATTCCCCCGTTATCCCCCATACAAGAAACGAGGAGAGTCAGTCCATCCGCGCAGAGATCATCACATCGGCAGAGATAGGTCCTCTGTCTGGAAAATATCGTACTTGAAGGGCAGAGGTACGATTGCGAGAGCACAGCTGCATATTACGCGAGAGCAGACACAATTGGCTAGTGCACGGGATAACATCAATAGACCAAAAAATGAGGTGATTGCTGGAGTTAGGACTATATATGATCAGCGGAGGTAATATCGAAGTCAATAAGTTATGGCCAGTGTGAGTGTCTGACTACATAGTGTTCGGGTAACTAACTAGGAGAGAGGATTTGGTGATTTGCACTAAGAGCACACCATCGGGTCCACCGCCGATCAGATATAGGGCCCCGAGTATTTCCCCGTAGGAGTGTGCCTATGGTATCATTGCAGAATACAGTAGTAAAGACATACTCCATTAACCGGTTCCTGAACCGAAAATCCAATAATGCTTTAATGTACACCAATGCAATATCATCCAACAACGCCAACATCAGGGCAGTAACACAGTAGTAACAGATGAAAGGAAAAGAAAAAGAATGTTAACGTCCACTCCGACCGGTCACGTCCATCGTACTCTCAATGCCCTCCCACGGAAGCTCATCGTCATCATCATCGTCATCCTCTACTGCAGGTCCGGTATTCTTCCGAGCAGATGCAGACTTGTGCGTCGACGCGGTCACGTCTCCACGCTCACCGGAGTTTTCAATCCCGATAGACTGCAGGGTCTGCTCCATTTCTCGTCCTGTCATCTCGCGTCCATCTTGCTTCTGGCCTTCCAATACGTCATACAACGCATAGATCTGATCCGCTTTCATATCGACATCCTTGAGCAACTTCTCAATCTTCTCTCCGAGAGTCTTCCGTTGTCGCTTGCCAAGAGATGCGTCGAGTTTGTTATACGCCGCTTGGTAGGTTGCCAGCTGCATCTTCAAGTGCGACAATTCGTCTTCCAACGCTTTGAGGACCGTGGCCAGTGCGACGGGAGGGTCCTGCGCGGGGCGCAGAGTGGGCTCTTCGTTGTATACAGTGGGTTCCGGCATGCGCTCCGACACTGGGATGGGCTTGGGCACTTGGACCTCATGGGTGTGGTCGCAGCTGCTACCATCGGAGATGACGCGCTGGCACACCGTGCAGTTCTTGCCGTTGTGCTGTGCGATTCCATCAAGTGCTCGTTGTGTCACCTCGGGCAATTTCGAAAGGTCCTGAGCGGCCAGGTCTGCATGACGGATGGTGATATCGGGAAGGATGAAGGCAGAGGTCATCTCCTCCACATCGCGACGCCGTCTCCGAGGAGAAACAAAGTTGGGACCGTTGTCCGAGTGTCGCCGTTGACGTTCCTTGGGCACGATAAGGTTGCCATCTTCAGGCGAGCTTGCTTTAGAAGTTGCTGTGACATCGCCAATGGCAGAGGTAGGTCTGGCTGGTGTTTTCAAAGACGACTTCCGTGGCACAGGAGCCTTCGAGCTCTGTCGGGTGGTGTTCACGGTTTCATGCGTCGCAGTAGGCTCCTTGGGAAGACTGAGCCGTTGCTTGCGTGCCAGTCGCTCTTCTTCAAGCGTCTTTCGTAGTTGAGCAATTTCGCGTTCCTGTAGGACAAACAGTTAAGAGACTGTCGGATCGTGAATAAAAAGGCGTAACTTACGTCAATAAAGCTGAGCAAAGTCAAGTCCTGCTCTCCCTGAGAAGACTTCCTCGTGTGTCGAGTAACTTCCTCCGTCGTAGTCTCAACAGGATCAGTGACATCAACTTCCTCCACGACTACCCGCTTGACGCGCTTGCCGGTATTTGACTTCTTCTTGTCAGCTCGGTCGGCCGATCGGCTCTCTGACTTTTGTTTCCTGATGCGCGGAACATCAAGCGAGAACAAGGCCTCTTCAGCTCGCTCCTTCTCGAGTCGCGAGAGCTCTTTGTCAACCTGAGTCGAGACCTTGGTACGAGTGTCTTCGTCGCGCGCAGGCTTCGACCTCGAACGCACGCTCCTCGTGGTAAGGTCTCTCGTGTTGCGACTGACATCGGCACTGCGTTGTGTGTGGGTTTGGGTATCGTCATCCATCTCATCAGTATCAGCGGTCTGCTCGGTCCGACCGGTGTCTTCGCGGGTTCTTTGCGTGTAGTTTGTAGATCTAGCCAGCTGGGACTTGAGTTCCGCATTTTCGCGCCTCAATTTCTCGTTCTGGTTCTTAAAGTCTTGCGCCTCGAGATACGCAACACCCAACTGGGAAACTGCCATGTCGCGCTCGCGGGTCAACTTGTTCAAGGTCGCTTCGGAGAGTTGAGCCTTCCGGTCGATAATGTCCAGTCGGTTCTGCAAAGCGAGGTTCGTGGCCTCTAATTTCTGATTCTCGCTCGCCAACCGACTGTCCCGTCTGTACTCCTCTTCCGAATCGTAGTCCCTCCGACTGTACTTGTCCTTGGGACGAGACCTATCCGACTTGAGGAAAGCATTCTCCTGACGCATATCTTGAATCTTCTTTTCCGCATCAGACTTGGCGTGTTCCAACTCGGCCACTCTCTCCTGAAGAACTCTCAACGAGACAAACAAAGCCTTCTCATCATCCGGGACCGGCACCGCGTCCAGAGGAAGATGCTGACGGGAGACCGACGTATCCGCGTCTTGCGACGGCGACACAAACCGCGTCGACCGCATCTTCTTATGGCTAGGCAAAACCGGAGTCCCATCCTCATACACACCAGAGACCAGCTCCGAAAGGTTAGGCAAATCCGGCAACAAAAACGACTGATGAGTAAACGTATCTCCAGCCCCATTAGCTGGAGCACTGCGCGTGCTATTCGAAAGCTTCCCACCCGGCCGCACCTCCCTCGACGCCCTCTCAACAGCCTCAGTAATCTGATGCGAAAGATTCGTGTTCCCAAAGCGCGTCGACCGCGAATTACCACGCCCAGGCGAAGGCCGCTGTTCCTCACCCGTAAACGAAATATCGTACGGATCACGCGCTCTAGCATGCATCTCGGAAAGCGTCCGTCTCTGACCATTCGACTGCGGCTTGATATTCTCCTTCTGCGCCTGGCTCGCCCTCCGCACCTGAGCGTCCTTCCGTAGGTTCTCGCTAACCGCTCGTCGAGGCTGGGCACGCATTGCTGATTTCTGCGGCGTGTACGAAGTCGGGTAATCCAGGCGAACGGCAGGCGACGACGAGCGAACGCTATTCTCGAAGCTCATGTGCGAATTCCGCGAATCTTCCATATGACGCGTCGGTTTCGAAGATACACCTCTGCCAAGTTCGACGGAGAGTTCGTCGTCGAGAAGTTCGTCGTGGAGGTCGTCGTCGGATGAGGAGCCGGCGTTTGAGAATTCGGGGAAGGCGCGTTCAATGGCGGAGGTGTTGATCGCGTAATCAGGTTCGTCGTCGTCTGCTCCGTCGTAGAATTGGTGGTTGTTGCGGTTTTTGCGCGCGTTGCTGGTCATGTTGGGAAGACGCGGGCTGTTGTTGCCATGGTTTGTGGATTGGAGAGCCTCGTGTTCGGGGTCGAAGTCCGAGCCGAAAGACGCGAAGCTGCCGGTGGTGTTGTCCATTACGTGACACCTAGTCCGTAGTCCTTGTAGGAATTGAAAACTAGGGACGTTAGACGTCAAAGCCTCCTAGTTCAAAACAAACAAAGGACTAAAATGGGGCATGGCAAAGCAGTGGAGAGTGGATGACAGCATCAGGAGTCTAAAAACTGAGGTGGCTGGGGAAGCTTTGTTTACGCGGCAGAATGTCACCGCCCGAGTCGCCATAACAAACATTCATTTCACTAACTAGTTACTCCGTATGTAAATAGATATGGTTACCAATTTCAACTGGCCAATATCTACAATTAATACCATGTCCAACCAAATCATTAACACAATCCCTCCAACGCCATGCTAGCCCACTAATTCGGGGCTGATATCCACTAATGTCCGGGGAATTAAAAGATCGTAATCGTCATACTCGTAATTAGGTGTACAATTGAATGTAGAGGTGGAAATCAAGAGTTTTGGTGAGAAGCCGCAGTTGTGTCCGGGGCGCTGTTGCCGTTGTTGCTGGAATGCTCGGCGGGCTGTTCGGCAGGATGTTCTGGGGCGTGTTCCGAGGCGTGCTCTGGGGCATGCTCTGGGGCATGCTCTGCTTGCTCCTCTCTCGGTCGAGGCATGGTAGGTGTCGTTGGCGTCAAATCGCCAATGGGACTCGCAACATCGACCTGAATAGTGGGTAGAAGGGAGAGTTGAGGCAGTTGCGGAGGCCGACTTCTCTCCGTATTCTGATCCGTCTCGTTATTTTGGTTGCTTTGTGCTGTCTCGTCCCGTTCCTCTCTTCTCTCGTTTTCATTCGAACCCGTGGTCTGCCTAGCCTCTCCCGTTAGATTCCTGCTCCCTCGCGCATCCGGCCCGAACTGCATCACGACCGGGCTTGAATACGCAGGCGCCTCTCCCCAGTCCAAGAAATCGTATTCCGGAGGAGGCGGAGCACCGGTAGTATCGACACCGGTAGTTTCCGGCTCCTCTTCCGGAATGGACTCAGGGCGGCTATTCGAGCGAGAACGCGCGGAATACATGGACTGTCGCTGAGACGCCACAGGAGTCAACGTATCTCCATCCGAAGTAACAGACGACCCCGAGACAAGAGAAGAGTATGATTCACCACGGTAGTGCGTAAGTTCACCCGTAGAACCATCCCCCGAGCTCTGCAGCAGAGGGCGGTTGTCAGAATCAGTCGAATTGTTCCTTAGACGCGAACCATCATGTCGCACGCGACCCAAAGCAGCGTAGCTCACACTGGCGATTCGCCTATCCCGACCACGGCTCTGACTCTCTGCCAGGTGTGTCGCGGCCGACTGGTTGCGGCTATTACTGTTTCCTCTGTTCCCCCGAGCCTCCGAGCGACTGCGATCGCGGATGGTACTCTGCAAGCGAAGTTCCTCCAGACGAATATAATCGCCCCGTTGCCGGGCATCCCGACGGGCCTGTCGTCGAGCCTCACGCTCAGCATGTTCCTGCCGCCGCTGCACTCGAATCTGGTACAGCCCTTCCATGAGTTCCTCTCTCCGCACTTCCTCCTCCTCAGCAGTCTCGGGGAACTCCACAACAACATCCATACCCTCCCGTTCACCTTCGCGGGCGATAATCTGTTCTTCCGGCTTGGGAGCCGCCGAGTACGGCGGTAGCGTAATCACCGATCGAACCGAGGTCTCACGACGGACTCCATTCGTAGCATTATCAGTCGTGTTCATCTCCGATCCACCACTACGACCCGAGCCGTGGTATGCCGTGTCATTAGCCTGATTGGACGACGATCCGTTCGACAACTGGCCGTACGAGCGTCCAGCATTCCATCGATTCCATTTATCTTTGAGGCGTTTTCCGGGGAGGTATTTGGGAGAGCAGTTCATTCGACGGAGGGTGCGGAGGATGAAGAAAAGGATTACGCCGACGGTGATGGCGAAGACGATAACCGCAGCGACCTACAGAGTAGACAGAGTCAGCTTCATCATCACGATATCGAATACAACAAAGAAACATACAATAATAGCAGCATTCGTCCTTGCCGACGTCCCACCCGAATTATCTTTCCCTGAATCTTTATTTCCCGGATCTGGACTATCCTGGCTGTCGGGTCCTGCACTCGCATCCCCCGGAGGACCCTGCCGGGCCTCCAACCATTGAAAATGGGGAGGAATATACATATTCAAATCCCTTTAACTGCTTCCAGGCAGTGGTGAAAAAAAAGGCCTCCCAAATCCTGGGTGACAGAGCATGCAGACCGGCTGTAAGCAGATGGAGACTTGCCGCTGACAGTTGTATGTCCGCAGGATGGCAGATGATGCGGAGAGAGCGGGAAAAAAAAAAAAAAAAAAAGAGGCGATGCAGGAATAAGGCAGAAGAATAATGGACTGATATGTAAATAATGCCAGCTAAGAGGACAAGAGGAAGATGACATGCGATGACAGAAGAGAGAAAGAACCGAAGAAAGAAAGAAAAGAAAAGAAGAGACGTAACCGTGGATCCCGGCTTTACAGGAACCAGCCACAGGATTTTGCCATAATATGAGTAGTGTGTACTTGTACAGTATGCACGTAGGATACAGAGTGTATAAGTGTGCAGAATAGGAGTGCGATATATTGAGAAATCAAATAAGGATGTAAAATAACAGGACACCACTTGAAACAACGAGCATTCTCCCGATTCATCGTTCTTTGAGAATCTCCTCGAGTGTTTATTTTTAGAACAGCGCTTCGTACCTGTATGTACTCTGTACTTTATGTGAATATTCCTATTGAGGTATTGCAGTACAATAGACAATAGGAAGAATAATAGATCAGGCAGATGTATATTATCGATATTCACTATCGTTATGGAGTATGCATTGGAATGCTTCAACTACAAGAATCCGGGGTATGGAATGCTAATTACGCACTAGATGCCTCAGGCCACAACGCCAACGCCTCTATCAACCATAGACAAAGATGAAAAAATTACATACACTCCTCCACCAACGCCCTCAGCCTCCCCCCATCCCGTCTGACAAGCACCCCATATCCTCCGTGCTCGACTAAACACCCCTGCTCTAGCACCACCACCTGATCCGCAATCTCCATCATCTCCCGCGCATGCGTAATAATAACTACCGTCAACCCTAGCCTCGCCTTGACCAATTTACTAACCGTTTGTCGGATTACTTCCGTGCTTGTCGGGTCCAGGGCCGAAGTTGCTTCGTCGAGGACGAGGATCTGTGGTCGTCGGACTAGAGCTCGCGCGATGACTAGACGCTGTGCTTGTCCACCTGAAAGTCCGACGCCGCCGTCGCCGATTTCAGTGAGGTAGCCTGATGACAGGGAGGTGATAAAGTCGTCGACTCCGGCGGCTTGTGCTGCAGCGTGGACGTTGCGCATGCTTCGGAGGGGAGAGTTTGTGTCGAGGCCGTAGCTGATGTTTTCTTGGATCGTGCCGGGGAAGATGGTGGGTTGTTGGGAGACGATTGAGATTAATGAGCGGATGGTTGGTGTATGTAGACGGCGGATGTCGATGCCTCCTAGAGAAATTGCTGGGAGGTTGCTGGTGGATGGTGGTGATTCGTAGAGAGACAGTAATAAGGATGCGATGGTCGATTTGCCCGATCCGGAACGTCCGACTATCGCTGTGCATGAGTCTTTGGGGATTGTGAATGAGATATCCCGTAGCACGAGAGTGTCATCGCGTGATGGATAGCGGAAGTTCAGTCCAGTAATTGTCACAGGAGCTGCCCGGGAGATGCCCATGCTGCCCTTGTGTTCATGCGATACACCTTCCGGGAGGCTTGCAAGACGCAAGAGTTGCGCTGCCATGTCGCGTGAGGTACCGATTTGGGGGACTATTAACATGTCAGCGATGAACAGATGAAAAAGGCAAACAAGATACTCACTCCATGATAACACGGTGCCCGCATATCCAATACTGAACAGCAGCATCGAAAACGTCGTCATGATCTCTTTGACCGTAAACTCTGCTGAAGACACAAGAATAGCTCCATAGTAGAATATCAAAGCTGTATCACATCAGCAGAGCCCTGGAAACTCAAGAAATATCCATCACTCACCACTGACAAACATAATAGTTGACTCCGCAAGCCCAAACAAAACCCCAGTATATCCAGCCCTCTTCAACCCCATCTTCATACAGCTCCTTGCAGCCTTGATATGCTTTTTATGGAAGAACGACTCAAGCGTCAACGTCCTCACCGTCTTAACCTCCGAAAAAGTCTCCACAAAAACCTCCCCCGCAACCCTCCCAGCCTCATTACACCTCTTCTCCCAATACCCACTCGTCCCCTCAAACCCCCTCGTAATAGCATAAATAACAGGCCCACACGCAAGCGTCACAAGCGTCAATTTCCAACAAGAAACCAGACTCCATATAACAGCCAGCACGGTAATCGTAGCAGCCACCAACACAAAACCCGCAAAACGGCCAACCAAGTTCCGCATGTCTTCTCCATTTTGATCCAGACACGCAACGAGTTTGGAGGGGGCATTGGTTTCGTCTTCGAACCATTGTTTTGGTTGGTCGAGGACGCAGCGGAGGGCTTTCTTGCGGAGAGAGTCGACCCAGGCTTCACCGCAGAATTCTAGGAGGTAGTGCATGAAGTAGGAGACGGTTGCGTCGCCGATGGCGATTCCGAGGACGGCGAGAGACCATCGCGTGGCGCTGGTGTGTTTGTCGTAGAAGGTTCCGAAGAGTTCGGACATGCAGTATGAGAAGAGTGGTGTTGCGCTTGCGTGGCCGAGGGCACAGACGAAGCCTATTAATAAGAGCAGTCGCTGCCAGCTGGTCAGGTTTGGGATTATGGTTTTCATGATCCCGTAGACAGATGTCTCGTGTTGCTGCTTCGAGAGGCGTTCCGGCTTCGTTTGACTTCCGTAAGGGTTAATTGACTGTCGACGGTTCGTCGCCTCTATAGGATGGAAAGGAGCGACTGAAAGACGACGGTCCTGTATGTCCATAAGAACCGACCTCTGTTTGTTGACGCGAGCTCTGTCAAGTCGACGCATTGGAATCCCGGGCTGATCAAGAAGATCCTCGTCTTCAAAACCGCCGTTTCGGGTGGGACTTGGTAGCAGCTCTTGGAAGATCGATTTCCGATGCTGCATGTAGGGCGCGGTGGGTGACTTCAGCGGAAGATCAGGTATATTCTCGCTCCTCTCATGTGCACTCTCTGCCACCAAGGTATCATCATCCGAGGTATCATCCGCAGAGTCGTGGTGGGCTGAATCATGCATCGTCTCTTGTGATGTCTTTGCAGCGAAGGGGTCGCTTTCTGTGCCCTTCTCCAATGCGCTTCTGTACCCCGACTGCACGACAGAGCCATGCTCCATAACATATACAAAGTCATCGTCTTGGATCTGGGCCACATCGTGTGTGATGACAATTGTCGTTTTTCCTTTGCGCCATTTCCGGATTGCCTTCATGACTGCAGTGCGGTTGGCGCTGTCCAGAGCGCTCGTCGGTTCGTCCAGAATGAGAATCGGGGTGTCCCTTAGCCGTGCTCTTGCAATAGCGACTCGCTGTCTCTGTCCTCCGCTCAAGAAGCCCCCACCATTACCGACACAAGTATCAATACCGCGAGGCATGTTATCAATCGTACTCTGAAGCATCGCCATATCAACACAATCTTGCACATCATCATCACTGACTGGTTCGCCTTCTCGACGTCCGAACCCGATGTTTGTGAGGATTGACTCGTTGAAGAGCACGCTATTTTGTTCAAGGAGGGTTATGTTGTTTCGGATCCAGCTTATGCTGAGCGACTCAATCGGATTGCCATCGATGTGGATTTCACCAGATGTCGAGGGGTAGAATCGCATGAGGAGTTGTCCAAGGGTGCTTTTGCCAGAGCCGCTTTTTCCAATCACGAATGTTGTCTCGCCGGCTGGGAAGAAGAAATTGGCTGACTTTAAGACTGGCCTTTCGGGTTGTGATGCATATGCGAAGGACGCCTAGGTAGTCAGCTTCTAATCGCAAAACGATCATGTTTGATTAAAAGAGAGGGCTTACATTGTTCACTTCGATATCACCTTCACAATACTGCGGATACGACGCACCCTTCGTCTCATCCGAGGGCTCATCCGTCTGATAATTCAAAGTCCCCATCAACGCCGCAGCAGCAACCTTACCCTTCTCCAACACAATAGCCTGCGGAAGCCCAAGCTCAATCGACTGGGCAGCTATCAAACACGCCCAGAACGTCCGCAGAACCTCACCAGCCGACAGTTTACCAGAAATGGCCAGGGAGCTCCCGTACCAGAATCCCTGCACAAACATACCGAACATCATCAACCGTATTGTCGCTATTTGGAGAGAGTTGATGCGCGCATGTCTCAGGTAATGCATCGCGGCTTTGTCGATTCGGAAGGAAAAGTTGCGGAGTTCGACTGATTGTGCGTTCAGGCATTTGACCGTATCGATGGACGTGATGGCACTGTTGCCGATCTTGGAGGCGGTTGTGAGTTCGCTTTGCTGGGCTTCGATGCTGGGTTTCATTTTGGTTGAGAGGAAGGCGACGATAGCGGAGAACACGGGGATTCCAACCAGGGTGACCAACGAGAGGTTCCAGGATGTATAGAGCGCTAGTACCAGCGATGCGATGGTTCGGAAGGCATACTGCAAAACGATGCCTAGAGGTTGCGAGGTTGCCATCTGTAGATCATGTATCTGGCTATCTTGGTGTTAGTCACATCCATACTGTCGAAACCGGGATAACTCACGCTTGAAGACAAGACAAGAAGGCCGCAGTACCATTCTCCTGCCCCTCGAACCATTCAATCTCCCTCTCCAACAGTCCCTGAAAAATCTCACCACGAGCACTAGCCGCCTGCTGTTCCCCGAAAACAATGAAGAAAAGAAAATAACACCCATTCAGAACCCAATTAGCAACACCAAGACCCGCCAGTTGTACACAGCCAGACACAACCTGGTCAAGCAGCGTCTGGCTCGAAACAGTGCCTGCACCAAACAGCATGAACGCGTTGAAAAGATTTCCTAGAACGACTGCAAAGAGGGGCATGATGATACCAGCGAGGAGGGCGAGAAATGTCGCCAACGCCAGCGTTAGGACATGGTTTGCGGTCGTGAAGTTGAATAGGGACATCCATCCGTTTCGGTGTTGGCATCTTCGTTCCGGGCGACAGGCGTAGGTGCCTTTGGTAGGCGAGGGTTTGGAGCCCATTGCTGGATTTGCCCGTTACTGCTTGTCAATAGCAATGTCGCAGAAGAGCATCTAGATAGTGTCTGGTAGAGTCGAGTGGAATGGTAAATATATGAGAGATGAACCTACAGCCATAGTGTTATCGAAGACGCTGATGGGTGAATCAACAACTTCCTGATGCGGTAATATTCATGAAATTCTCAGCCTAGAAGAACAATATGATCTTCGTAGTAGTATTGTCGTGATTTTGGTACAGATTGTGGAGCATTTTCTTTGTTCATTTTCTCCTGCAGTGGTATTCAAAGACGGAACAAAGAGTGATGCTTCGACGGCACGTGGTAGAAGCAGCAGAACACGAGTTTAGTCTAATTAGGCGTATAACGGTCAGAATGAGTTGTGTTAAGATGGTTGATATAGAGAGATCACTTTTCCGAAATTGCTCCGATTCCGGGAAACATATTTTCGGGTCCCAATATCAACTTCACGGGGATTTCATTCAATTCTTTACAATCATGTTCAGGCTTCCTCGTCACTCTTGTCTCCTGAAATAACAAGCAAGACAAGAATGCAGAATAATAGCCCAGTTATCCGATCCTTCCAATGCCCGACTAACGTACTCTTTCTTTTCTGCTTTCAACATGACTACGCTATTACTCCTGCTGACTGCGGTACCTGTACTCATATACTATTTCGTTTCCAACCACTACGCACTCGCTGCTAGGCTTTTCCTCTACCAGTTCGTTTGTGGTGATTGAGCTGTGGAACGAATTGTCACGGTCTGCAGTGCCGGGAGTCAATTACAGTGCATGGCTGAAGTGTTCACCTACGCTCTTGGACTACTGCTGGTAATCGGGGCAACCGAGTATCGAGTCCGGGTTGCCATTCGATGGGCAAGGTCTAGAATAAGGGGCGATAGTGAGGCAGTGGCCGACGTTGGTAGCCATGAAAAGGAGGATGTCTCCAGGTCAAAGCATGAATCATAGCATGAAATGAAATTGGATGGTAGGGAGAGACCGAAGTCCTAGCTCGTCTTAACGATCAACCCTGCTGCAAAATACTGGATGTCGTCAAAGACTGGCCGGCTACCCTCGCAACAGGAAGAAGCGACATATTGGAGCATATGACGATACAACGGAAGTTCCAGTCTGTATCTTCAACAAGAACAACAAATGAGCATCACTATTTGCCAGTATGGTATTCCTAGTATACAACTTCCGGGCTAGACCATCAGAAACATCTGGTCAAACCCAATCACTTCCCACTTGCCAGTTTCCGTGTTAAGAGTAAGATTGGAATGCTTCACCTCTCCATCCCGGAAGTACCCAGCCTCCACCTCCTCTCCTCCAGCAACAGATCTCGCGAGATGGTTCTCCCCAGTCTTGACGGTAAAGTTGGCAAGAGGAAGATCCCATCCATTACGGCTGGCCACAGTAGGACACCCGAAATACTCAGCCTGCACTTCATTCTGCGTAACATGCAGCTCATAGCAACCGCGGTAGTATCCCTCAGTCCATCTCATCTCCTCGTTCTTCTTGTACGTGGCTGCCTCAGCTTCGGCACTGCTAATAGTGCCCCCGAAATCTTCGCTGGACACTGCTGTTCCGGCGAATTCGACGCCAACGGCGCCCTTGCCAGTGGTGCTGTCGTAGGACTTTTCACCAATCCAGGCGAGGTCGCTGACCCAGTTTGTGTGCGTGTCACCAGCGAGCATGATGTTGTTTCCGATGTTGTTGTCGTACAGGTGTTTGAGTGTGCGGTTGTAGTGTGCGCGATAGCCCTGTCACAAGTCATTAGCAATCAGAAAACATTTTGAACGGGGAGGGTCTGCCATACATCCCAAGAGTCCAGGCTAACGGTAACCCCACCGTCAACTTCCTGTTCAAGACGAGAGAATTTGAGCTGGCTACCAATTACTCGCCATGTGGTGCCTCGGCTGGCGGAGTCGGATAAGTGTCTGTAGAACCAGTTTTCCTGGCGAGCTCCCATGAGCGATCTTCCGGTGTCATTTTGAATCCGTTCGATGTATTCGTCGTTCCAGCCTATACGATTATCAGCAATTGATGGACTTAGCGATGATTTGCATGAGTTCCTACCGAGAGATGTGATACTGCGGTCATAGTTCCTCGTATCCAGCATTATCAGATCCATCAAGTTACCCATCTGGAAGGAGCGCCAGATGCGGAGGCCATCGTCCATGTCGACCTGGCTGCTTCCTGTTAGCTTATCCATCACATTCGTTGACGGAGTAAGGCATACCGAATTGGCATCCACTCAAAGTACGCCCGACGGCATCCATCTTGCGCTGGTCAATGCTGACCTTGGGTCCAACGTTCAAGAAGGAATCTTCGGTGTTGTTCAGTCCGCTGAATCCATCTCTGTAGCCGTTGTTGGCGATTTCTACACATCGTTAGCAAGTGACCATCTTATACCAGAAATATTGGGATATTCACCGTGGTCATCCCAGACCGGAATCCAAGCAAAATTCTGGTGCGATGTAGCCAGGTCGAGATCAGTGCGATACTAGAGTCACCTTGTTAGCAGTTTTCGTCAAATGGAACAAACTCACTATACCTGTCCCAGACGCGCCCGATAATCATGCAGAGTGAAGATCTCATGCCTAGGGCTATGAACTCGCTCGATCTCAGCTGCATCGGGTCCGTATTCGTAAATGTAGTCGCCGAGGTGAACCTGATGCAGTTAGCCATCTTACTATATTCGAGTGAAGGGTGCTATAGGCATACCACATAGTCAACGTTATCCTTTCTCACAACATTTCCATACGAGTTGAAATACCCATTCGCTATCAATTGTTAGCTTGTCACAAGAAATGCAATAAAGAGTAGGTCTACGAGACTACGTACGCCACTGGCTGCAAGAATGGACCGCGAGCTTGATCTCCTCCGTGTCGCCATCCGCAGCAGGAGCAGTCTTGGTCCTTCCAAGGGGACTGGAAACATCGGAGTCACAACTCACAGACGTTGAATTGGTAGTAATATGTGGTGAACGGATCAAGTCCCTTGGCTTCGACCTGTTATCGCAGTTAGACCCAATCTTTTCTCAAATATCCCATGACATACCTTCACCGTATAATCAATATCACTACTCGTCCACACCGTCCCCTGATCAACCACCTTTTTCTTCCCCTCCTCATCAAACACCCGATATTTCACACAAACCGGATGCGCAGAAGCCCTCACATACCCCTCCGTCTCATGGTCATACAACGGCACATCCCCAGAAACAGTAACATCGCTCTCATCAGACTCCATACTCGGCGCCACGCGCGTCCACAAAACCACGCTGTCAGCATAGGGATCACCCGACGCCACGCCGTGGGTGAAATTCAACTGGGAGGGTTCGTAGGGGGCTTCATCGCGCTTGGAGAGGCTTCGGGCTGTAACTTTTTCGAGATCGATTCCTAGGCGCGCGTGGCGAAGGGATGGGCTGCGGTAGTTGAGGTTTCCGGTGTAGCTTGCCAATGCCTGGGATGACAGGGCGAGGAGTGGGATTAGATACCCAGCGAAGACCATTGTCGCGGATTTGGTCTTCTGGTTTCTTTTCCTGCTTTGTTGGGAGGTGAGGTTGCCATTTTTGATTCTTTATAGATATAGTCGTTGTATTATCTTGGCCAGAATGGAGACAATGGCGTCGGGTCGTCTACAACCTTTTGGATAGATGTCTGTAGAATCCATAGCCAATAGTGAATAACCGATTTACCACATGTCAGTCAACTAACTAGAGACAGATCCCATATGCCATAAACCTCCCCGACAATTTGCTATAGCCCAAATGGAGAGATTGGGACATTAGGGTTCCGTGCCTGGATGCCGGGATGCCGGGATGGACGGTGACCTTGGCTAATCTTGGCCCGGGCTATGTAATTTAACGAACTACCAATCCACGAATGCTATCAAGCCCCGTGAAGCTACAAGTTTATAGAAACTGTTAAATAGACGAGCCAAAAGGTATAGGTACGGGATAGCGTTCATTCCATGTTCTTTCGTTAAGCGAGCGGGTGGATGCTCAATCACTCTCAGAGAACCCCCGACTCCGAATTTCCTATATAGGTATAGACGTCATTATATTTGTTTCCGAGCGTATTGCAATGCATTGCTCCACCGGGGCAGAAACGGAATGGCAAGTTAAAAGATGTTAGCAAAGTTGGTATATGATAGCGATGTATGTACATGTTCCGATGATTCCGCGAGAAGCAACGTCAGATTTCCGAAAACCAAACCGTTTCCTCTCATATTCCCCTTTTTTATTCTTTTTTATGCCACAGCGAAAGCAATCCCATGCATTATGATGCACGATGCGCGGAATGGTCGATATGCGCAGCACTCGGAAGGAAATTGTTGTCCATAAAATATATTGGGGTCTCGGAAATCAAACTCGATTGGTCCGATCTATATTGCCGTCTAATATCGAATCGTTCAACGTAAATCCGCTATCGTTGGACAATTCCGTGTCCAATGTGCTATGTATGAGCGAAACCGCGTTTCATGGGTGGCTCCTAGTGGTGAGGACAAAGGAAAGCGTCGCGTCGGTTACGAGCTAGCCTTCTGCGCCTTCTCGTAGACCCAGTCGTTCAGACCAGCGCGGTTTCTAATCAAATTATGTCAGAATACCAGCTCTACTCTCCATGTCAGAATCGAACAAAGAACATACCTCGCAATCTCAACAGCGTAGAACTGCATACGAACACCTTTATTCACCCAACCATGTCAGCCACCTACTATCCTCCCTTCAAGTATTTACCGGGACAGTATCTTACCGAAAATAGTAGTATCCTGATCATACTCGTACTTGGGGTTCGTCCGGATAATCGTGCCAAAGTTGAAGTCGTGAATCGTCTTCTCATACTTCATCATCCAGTTGCGCCACTTCTCCTTGCCGGCCTTGCTCTTCATCTCGTCCTCGATGAGGGTCGCCGCGGGGTCGAAGTCGGGGAATTCTTCCTTGAAGTGTGCGTAGATCTCGTCGTCCATCTTGGTCAAGCGGAGCTTCGAGCCGGGGACCTTTTCGAGGATGGCCCAGTATGTCATGAGGTGTTCGACGGCTGTGGATGTGTGAGCTGGAATTTTGGGATATCAATGATCGCAGAGATGAGAGACTGACCCTTGACTGCGAACTGCTTCTCCATCTGTACAGGAAGCGATTATTAGTATCTTTCAAGCGATGTCGCATGCAGTCAACGACTCACATCCTCCAGGTTCTGCGCCTGCTCTGGGTCAAAAGGCTTCGACATTTTGGCTGGTGTGTGTGCTAAACTTTTCTAAGAGATTCGTAAAAATATTTGCAATAGAACCGCTTTGCACGTATGGCAACAGTAGTGTTGTGTCTTGAATATGCCCCGCGATCAGTTTTTTTCGTGAGCGGAGATTTTTGCGCTGCCCGCCCTGAGCCCCGCCGGAGTTGGGCGGTACATCATTTACTAATGGAGCATCTATGAGGTTCTATATAGTAGTAGAAGCGTCGAGATATAACGCGATATGTGCATTCAGATAGGTCGATTATCTATTACAAAGCTGGCAATATGGTCGAGATCCAATATAACACAAAGCACAAAGTGACAGAGACTGGGTGTTCCAATACCAAAGACATCGGGCTCTGTGGACATAGACCCCTAGAACCTAGGTTTATTCGTCGTCGGAATCAGACAACTCTTCAAATCTTCCTTCCTGTTGCGCCACCCGGACAGGATTCTCCACGTTCAAGATTCCGTTTGCTCTAGCCCTGCATGGTGTCAGCAACTGTTATTCCATAAAAGGGTGTTAACTCGGCATACCTCTCAAAAAGCACAAAGAGTCTTTCCGCTTCCCTCTCCTTCTCTTCTCTGGTCATAGGCGGCCCCGTGTCCTGCGGCTCTGCGGACCACTTCTGGCCAGTAATCGGGTTGATTTCTGGATTCAGTCCACCCGACTCTCCCTCTCCGCCCATCTTGGGAACTTCCATGCCACGAGTTGCCAGGAATCCAGAGGCATATCCGTACCCAATGTTCTTCGTGAGGGTCTCGGCATCCCTGTCTGAAAGAACGAACATGAGCTCAAAGATAAGTATTCTCAACTGCGAATAAGGTGAGTTTGTGGTTTTCAGCAGTTTGGAAGAGAGTGTGTCTGATTGCCCTATTGGCTGGCTTCGGTCCTCGTTTTCGGGTAAAAGAAGCTGCTTCATATGTTCGCGAGGGCCGTCTGGTGCTCTCTCGCAGATCACAGTGAGGGTGTAGAGGAGTGGGATTGCTCTCGGTTCGAGTTCAGCTGGGCCGTAGACAGACATGGTTTTATCCAGAACTTTGATCAGTTTGTCAACGATCCCATTCTCATTAGTCGTTGGGAAGAGAATGCTGTCTTCTAGCTGCTTGACCTTCCCCCCTTCATGGTCAAGTGCCGAAATACAATTGATCAGTTGACCAACGACTTCATCCAACGGCTTAGCGGGAATATCAGCACGACTGAGGATCGTAAACATATGAGGGAGCGATGGCGAGAAAGTTTCGGCCATTTCAGCACTGCGTGAGGCAATCAGGTAGGTCAATTTCAGGGTATCAGTCAAAGCCAACTCGTCCATCTGAGAGAGGACCGCTTTCCCTGACTCGGGAAATTGGGCTGTATGTCGGGAAATTTGCTACAGCTGTCAGTGCCACGCTACTGCATGTTACAACGGCCGACTCACATAATTGAGATTTATTCCCAGTGCATGTCCGTCAACAAGCTTCTCGACATCCATCGTAGTCCTGTCTGAAGAAAAAAATAAAATCCGACTGGCCATCATTTCATCATCTGAGACATCACACTGGCCTTGGTATCAGCATCATGACGCTAATCATAGTAACTCTGCGCATACCTTGAGACCCTCTGAAAGCCTACTAGCGTATCCAGTGTCTACAAAGACCTGACGCATGTTCGGGTTCAACAGGAGAGCATTCGCGACACAGCGCAAAGCAGACCGGCGAACGTCGGCGGTTTCCCCGTCCACGCCGTATTTCATCAGAACTCCTAAACCCTGCTGCCGTCAGAAAAGGATCACCTGGAACACATCAGCTATTACTTACATCCTTGGAATAGATCGGATCAGCATCTTTGGGGTTTGTGCCATGTTGCCGTAGCTCTAGGAGAGTCTGCACTCTTCCTGCGTTAAGAAACCCGGTGTTAGAATAGCACACATAGTTCCTCTTTTCTGAACATACGTTGAGTCGTCAAAGTACTCTCCTTCAAGTCCTTCTCGAGAGACGCCAGTAACTGAGTAACTTTCTGCAGCTTGGCTGTATAGAAACTCCGGTATTAATACTCCGCATGATATGAATGTGGCATGTCAGTCTGCCGTACCTGCGCCTTGAAGCATCCCAAATTGCATCATCTTTCGCGATAAAGCCCGTCGTTCAAGATTCGATGTATTCAGCGGTCAACTCTTTTTCTGGAAGACCCCTGGTATGCGGAATAAGGACAAGATGGCGGAGATAGCATCGGAGCCCCACCGGATCTCCGTAGTAAGCAGCTTATTGCTTTCTGCAGAAATTGCACTTGGCAAGTATTCTCTGGGGATATAAACCTCGATTTTTGAGAGTAAACACAGAGTGTAGAGTAGTGATAATGTTTAGTGGCATCGTACGTAGTGCAATCATTAATGTACGACACTGTGCCTCGACACCTCAGGCAATAACAGCGCCACAGCCACTTAACGCGTGCACCAGCCACAGGCGCGATGAGGCGCGTCTTTTTTTGCCAGCGACAGGGCTTGGCGCGGTCGTCCACTTCAGGTACCGGCCAGACATCGAACCTCAATCACCTCGTCTCTCGAACTGCCAGTCGGGTTACCAGGACATGGACGGAGTTGTTTGAGTGCTATTGTTGGGCCCGAGCCGCAATGTTCATTGCGTTTCCTCCTTCTCTTCCGTCTCCAAGTTCTGCGTCGTGCGATTCTTTGAAATATGGTGGAAGCTGTCGCCGGTCCGCCAACTCCACTCAGGAAGACACCTCGTGTGCTGGCTCATGACGAAAATGGTCAAACTGAAGCCTCCCCGATTATCTTCCAGACACCAGGACCCTCGCCTTTCTCCGTGAACGGCTCCGCCGGTGTTCCTTCTACTCGACAGTCGAAACGAGTCAACTTCTCCCCGTACCCGAGCCATGTCATACCGCCATCAGTCGCCAGCATTGCAATGAATTCGAAATCAGATCTGAAGACATTGACGCCGTCGAATGAACGCAAGCCCTCAAAATCCATCCTCAAGTCGACAAGCACGCCGGTTCCCGTGAACACCGTCGAAAGCGAACCTGTGACCCCCGGAAATTTCGTCATGCTGCTACACTCGATTACGGAACAACTTCGGGGGGAGTCTACAACTGCGAAACTCGATGCTTATATGCATTTCTTTGGGGTGTTGAGGACATACGAAGGGGTACCGACACTGCAAGAAGTATCGGAGAAACTGGGCGTGATCACAGACTACATGCGGAAGGATGTCACCAGGGATCTTGAGAATGCGGCACCAGTGGACATCAACCTTGTCTGCCAGGCTCTAAAACTGTCTGCTGCTCTCATTTGGCACACCGAGATATCCCGGCAGCTGTCAGATGACTTCAGGGTTTTTCTGGTCGATCACTCCATCGATAGGCTTCACGATGCCAAGGTGCCCAAGTCTGTGTTGATCCATTGCATGTCTATCCTGTCCAGTCAGAATTTTGGCCCGAAGATTATGAACAATGCACGCCTGACACGTCTGCTCAATGGGCTACGCGATATCAGCGACAGGGTGAACGGGAATGGAATCATCTCGCAGCGGTTGTGCATCTATCATCGACTCCTCGAACAATTCAGGTCGTTCTTCATTTCTCAGGCAGCCCTATGGATGGAGCATCTTATTTCTGGACTGCTTCACCCCGTCAAAGACACGAGGATCAAATCGATTTCCCTCGGTTCGCAGTTATCCAAGATTGCTGGGCCCAATGCAACGCTATCCAAGACTATCCGTGAGATTTTCGACAAGCCACTCGGCAAGAGCAAAAATCTGGTGTCTGAGATCTGCGAGAGAATGTCACGGATGATGGCATCTACCGACACCAGCTCACATGTTCCTCAAATCTGGACCGTCATTGTTTCCCTTCTGAGATCCAGAGCGCTGAACATTGATCAATGGGAGCATTTCAGAGAATGGGTCCTCGTTCTACAGAAGTGTTTCAATTGCAGCGATGCGGCAATTAAGGCCCAAGCTATACTTGGGTGGAACCGGTTTGTCGTCGTCGTCGGCCCTAATGAAACGACCAACCCGTCAGTGATCAAAATGCTGAGCAAACCCATCTTCTCCCAATTCGAACGAAAAAAGCAGGAGAAGAATGGAGCATATCCAAACCAATTGGCCGTGTCGAGTTACTTCAACCTCCTATATTTTTCTTTCCATCCAGCTGCCACTCACCCATTCCTTGACACGGTCTGGCAGGATTACATTGCTTCTCCTTCTTTCACTATATTCTCCTCGAATCCAACACTAAGCAACCATGTTGCACATGCTCTGTCGTACATGTTATGGAGCTCGCATACCAGGGTTTGGACTGAAGCTACGATAAGCCAATGCACCAAGTTTGACCCTAGCTTCTTGCCGGCACTCGAGTGTAAGTGGACCCGGTCGCGTATCACGTCAGTTCTCAAAGTCTTCGAGAATCTTTTCAAGTCAGCGCCTTGGACAGATGGACGGCCTGAGCAATCATATATCGCCAATGCGTGGGGCAGCCTCTCGAACGCCTTGTCCTATGCTTCGAGCAAAGAAATCACACCGACGCCGGAGTCAATGCAGGCTGTTGCCGCAGTTCTTGGGCTTCTTCAGCGTTTATGGAAGTCTGGGCCGTCGTCACTTAACGCAGCTGGTAACTACGACGCTTTCTTCGAACGGTTCCGTTTTCTGTCCACTAAAATAATATCGGATCTTGGAAGCATTCCGCTTACCGAGAAACTTCTTCTGAAGACACCTGATGAAACATTCCAGGCTGCCACCACACCCACACACCGCGGCCAACGGAATGACTCAAACATAAACACTCCTATTGTGCATTTCTTGCGCCTGATCAGCGATATCTCCGGTATTAACGAGCCAACTCCGTCTTATTTAGACTTGGTCAATGGCACGCTTGAGGCCTTCTGTAACGGAAAAGAGACTAGAGGTTCACACCTGGATCTCCTTTGTCAGTGTGTGGACTTACAACCTAGTGAAGCCAATCCTCATTCTAAGCAATATAAGCTTGACCAGGTTGTCTGGGAATGCACGGCACGATTTGCTATGGATGCCTTGTACCGTCTGAAAGAGTCTAACCGTGCACCTTCACCTCGCGACTACGAAAACGTCGTCAAGATCCTCTCCGCGGGTTTGAAGTTTGCCGATGTTTCCCAATTCTGGGGCCAACTCCTTGGCTCGTTTACCCATGCTACGAGGACTGAAAAAGACGACCAGGTAATTGCAACGATGGTCCTTGAGCCGGTTTCTGAGGCTGCGATGCGATTCCACGATCGACTTGTTTATACACCCTCCATTTCGCTCTTACTACTTCATTTGTCCGTGTCGTATGAACGCCCGGATGTCTCAAAGGCCGGTGGAAGCCATGGACTACATATTCCGGAGCGGCTGCAGACACTAGTCCACAATACACTTAAAGAGTCCTACGAGGGCTTTGATCCGGCGAATAGTGCAGGCGCTGCGGGCTTTGTCGAATCCCTTGCATCTTTCTTGGAGTCTGGGGATTTGGATTTCCGGTCCATGGTTCTGGAAAAGCTCCAAGAACCGCTTGTCAAGTGGTTGAAGGACGAGGTGTGCAAACTGGATGCCGAATCTGACGTAGGGAGTAGGCATTTACTCGCTGTAAGTGAATAGAAAGTATTGCTTATTGTTTGCGAGATATGCTAACTCCGTGATAGTGTCGCGTACTTTCATCGGCAGTTCTGAACATCATTCAGATGTCCTTGCCCAACAACCCCTCGTGTCTGCAAAAGTTTGAGCCTATCATTTGCGGAGGCCTAGAGTCATCCCATGTGTCGACATCAAAGCGGTTTGTTGACATGCTGAACACCATGTCGAAATCTGACGGATCGCTGGTCTACGGCGAGTCCATATCGCGTGCATTGCAGAAATGGCAGTCAGATAATCAGATTCAGCCACCAGCCTCCTCGCCGTTGGTTAATGGCTCACAGGTATGTTCTCAGGAAGGTCTATTGGATTTGAATTTTGTACTGATTTGTTTGAAGGCCAATATCCACATCAACACGGCTGATGACAATTCGGCCCCCAATTCACCCAAGCCACACCAGGCATCTGAAAATCCGACCGTGACTTCGCATGATTCATCTCCGGTTGTCAAGATGGACGATTCTGCAATGCTTTCGCCAGGAGGTCAAAACCAACCCCCATTACCAGACCAACGTCAACCCGATGAACTTGCTTTTATGCAAGGCACCTTGCCACTCTCGGCTGCGACCGCATCACGCAAGAAGCGTGAGGAACTCTTTTCGATGATCGAGAACCTGCGGTCATCGTCTCCTGCCATCATGCCAAAGGAGCTCGGATTCATGACTCCCCCGCACTTGCGCAACTTTCGCAACGCTGGTCGCGATGCTGAGCCTCCATTGACGCCTACTCTTCCGGTCGTCGCAGCTGAAAACGAAGACGTCTTCCTCGGCTCATCCCCAACACCTGGTTTAAGAAACCGACCACAGTCTTCTCAGTCAAGACTTGCCTCATCGCAAAGGGGGAAGACACCCGACACCCATGCCAATACGGACCCCCCGTCCTCTCCTCCTACCATCAAGTCACCGAGTCCAGACGGCCAAGAGCCGCAACACCCTGCTGAACAAGAGAACACGATGAATGAACCGCCGAGTTCTCGCAAGTCTCCAAAAAAGAAATCCAAGAAAGACCGCTCAAACATCACTCCCTCGAAAGAGAAACCCGTGAGCAAGCGATTGCGCTCTTCGAAGAAGTCTACTCCGAGTAAGAAATCTTCGAAGAGGACTGAATCAAGCATGCAATCCGAGGAAGTTGGCGAATCGACCCCATTAGGAACTACCAACAAACAGCCTGGCACAGGCGGTGTGGGCAACACCATTGTGGATTCATTCAACGAGGAAGTCAACGAAGACGTTGAATCCCAAGTTGCATCTCAACTTGAGCTAGACTTGGAACATGCCGCGGATCACGAAGGGGATCCAAAGGACGAATCGGCAGAGCTCCCCAACAGTTTCCCCATGACGAAGAAGAGAAAGCGTGGTGTTGAAGACGCCCAAACTCCTATGTCAGAGAAGCGCCGCTCGAACCGCCTAACTTCTTCGCAGCCAGCTGCTACGGATATTATTCCAGAACCGAGAAGCACGCGCTCGACGAGGACCTTGGCTGCTGCTTCTCAGCAGAATGATACTTCTCCCAACTCGTCGCCGGCTCAGTCTGCTGGTAAGAGACGAAAGGGACAAGAGAAGGTTGGTGCCGAGGAGTCAATTGAACCAGCAACGGCAGAACAGGAGAAGGTCACTGGTAATATCCTGGAGAACGACTCTCAACTGCTGAAATCCTCTCAGAATCGGAGAAGATCGACTCGCCTTGGCACGATTCCTGAGCAATCCGGCGCGGAAGAAAGCCCTCGGAAGAAGTCTCGGAATGCAAGACGCGCTCGTGCGCGCCAGGCCAACAGAGAGAACCGCCAGAAGAGTCTGGAGGCCAGTCAGGAGATTCGGGAAACTAGTCAAGAGGCTAGTCAAGAGACCAGTCAGGATGTGAGTCAAATTCCGGATTCACATCCGCAGGAGGAACAAGGTGCAGAAAGCGTCGTTGTGCAGGAGGCTGTCGGCCAGGAAGGAGAGAAAGAACCAGACTTTCCGGTTGAACAGAATGAGGTCCAGGAACCCTCCAAGCCTACTCCTCCCCCAGAGCAGCCCGCTGAAATCCAACTTTATATTGAAATGAACCGGCCTGAAGTAAAACTGGAGCAACCCATCACAGAGCCCGACGTCGAAATGGAAGACGCAATAACGGTTCCCAAAATCGACACCAGTGCACCAGCACAGGAAGAATCTGTCGTTCCACAAGTCACACAACCCGAACAGCCCACCGAAGCGCCCACCGAGAAGGACACAGACGCTTCTCAATCAGGCATAATCCGCTCATTCGAGCAGTCATTGAACAATCTCAAGTCCACCACCTTAGACGAGAACAGTCTCCGATATCTCGACGAACTGTTATTCAAGATTCGAGTCGAAGCGCATGATGCGTTCCGGAGACATACTGGTTAAGTTGCATGCATAGCGATGGCGTTGATCACATTTTCTTTTTGTTTGAATACTGTTTTCTAGTTTCTAGTTTCTGGTTAGACCTGGCCTTCGTTTTCATTTCGCAGCGTTGTTATTTCTTTTCATTTTGTATTTGTCTGTTTAATGTTTCTGTTTGGGTACAATTATGGTGGCATTATGCTTATACTTCATATGTTATATTCTGGGTTTGGAAAGGGGCTGTATATGCTATTCATGAAAAGGTGCTATAGACAAATATCATGTTTTGATTAATTGACAGCTGCTCTGGTATATATTAAAGGTCTCGGTTCTACATACGAAGGTCGAGTTCTGTATATCAATGTCGACTCAACACTAAACAGCACCCGATCCGCCCCGATCTCCTCAACAACATACTTCAGCGTCCTTGTCGAGAAATGCCCACTCGTCGTAATCCAGATATTCTCCTTAAAATAGTCATAGATACTCTTCTTACACATAACATCCCCCGCCTGCTGCGCAATGGGTTTCTTCACACCCTCGAACCAGTGGTTTATCCGCCAGAAGTCGAACGGGATGTGTTCGCCGTCATGGCCGATGATCACTTTTGCCGTGGGGAAGCGGTCGAAGACGCCGTTTGTGATGAGGCCGAGAGTGTGTAGGTTTACGCCGTTGGCGAAGGAGAGCGGTGGGCCGATGAGGTATAAACGCTCGCGGTAGAGGTTCTCGTAGATGACGTCTGCGGGGGCGGCGGGGTGGATGTATAGCGAGACATCGAGGTCTGTGAGGACTTTCCAGAAGGAGTCGTATTGCGGCTGGTCGTAGAAGAGGTATGTTTCGCCGTTTGGTCCGGCATGCTGGAAATCGCAGAGCAATGCCCCGTGGAATCCTAGCTCGTTCACACACCGACGCAATTCCTCTCCCGCCTGGACAGGATCATGCATTGATAGGCAAGCGAACGCACTCAGACGGTCACGATGGTCCCTAATCTGCCCTGCCACCCAGTTATTGGTTTCCGCGGCGGTCTTCTCAGCCTCTGCTTTGTCGGTTATGCCCTGGATTCCTGGGACGGTTAGAGAGACGACTGTGTAGCCGATGCCGTGCTCGTTGGAGAGACGGAGGTGCTCGTCGTGGATGTCATTGATTTGGCGCATGTAGCGGTCGCGGTCACCGGGGGGCTATGTAGAGGGATGCTTCGTGTTGGGACTTTTGTTGCATCCCGGGGCTTTCGTAGGCTTCTTCGAGGACGATTTTGCCGAGCATTGTGGCGGTGGTGTGTGTTGTTTTGAGTGATCGAATTGGTGTTGGGATACTGATGTTGATGCTAGGGATGTTTGGATGCTCTTATACTTGTTCTTGAGAGCTCCTGTTTTGCTGTGTCATACCACTGAGATCATGGTCGAGAGAAGCATCCGATCCGATCTGACACATTTTGGCCAAAAAGTAGTACGCCTATCTCCCAAACGCTTTGTCATGACTTCAATTCAGGAACAAAATAGCAGGGTGGCCAGAGTGATGTATATTTACAGAACATCCGGTTTGGTTGTTTTGATGCTATCACGACATCAGACGGTCAGTCAGTCGATAAACTGATCGGATATACACATCTTAATTGAGTGGAACCATTGAGCATAGGGCAATTGACGCATCCGAAACCAAGCTGGATGGTTGTGGCATCTTCCGATTTTTGAATTTAGATTGACAGCTTCCGATGGGTTACCCGATTGATCACATAGCTTTATGTATACAGCATGACATTGAATTCAATTCAAAAAGAAGGAGGTCCATTGACTTACTACTCTTTGGCTAGCTTGGCGAAGCAATATCTCTGATTCTCCTACCCTTCTTCCTGACTTTGTCTCAAAGGTTCCATTTGGACAACTGCAAATACCGTTACGACGTTGTAATTATATACAACATGCCCTATGGATAGTCGTTTTGGAAAGAGACATGCTACCTGGCATAATTTACCCAGATAGCCTACGTGTAGTACTACGTGAGAGTTTCCTTGACAGGTACCTGCACGCCACTGATGATAAAGCGTGAGCAAGCATCTGCTTCTTGTTCTGTAAGCATGGAGATTATGGTTGGAGTAGAGGAGAGCTGCCTAGGCAGGTTGCTGGATAATTCGCTTTGGATGAAGTATGTGGTGGCACGATAGGCCTGTAACTATATACTGGATCATATGAGAAAGAAGAAATAGACTTGTTTCATAGAATTTTCTAATAACATACGGACAAGCTTGAATATACAAAGCAAATAAATATTAAGAGTCATAACCCAAACCATAGGAATGAAATAAAAACCCTAACAAACCCATAACAGAACCAGATTGAGCGCCACCAACTCAGACATGAACTCGTGACAACGCTCTTCTCTAGGTACACTTGCTGAACCCCTCCTCACCAATCCAAGATTGGACTCTACCAGTCTCCTTCTTGACCTCCTTATGAATCATAATACCACAGTAGACAGGCGTGCCCCCAGCATTCGCATGCACAACACGGATAGGTGTGTGCGCTTGCTCATTTACCTTCTCCGACTTCTTCATCTCCTCTAGTCATGACATTTTTCTTTGGCCAAGTGGTAATTCCTATCTCTGAGAATTCCTCATATATGAGAAGTCTCTTCCAGCTTACTTTGAAAATCTGGCTCTTGAGAAGTGTGCAACGAACGATGACCATCTCAATCGAGCTGCTCGCGGCGTTGATCTGGTGGAAGCGAATGTTCTTGACAATCGGATTTGATCCAGAGTATAAGCTGCATACTAAGTGCGATAGCAAGCAGAAGGAGGACCTTGTTGTGCATTTTCGCCTTAGGCACGTGGATGTTCATCAGAGAGAGAAGATTGCCATCAATTGGTACTCGTGCCGACTGCGATATTGGGAAGAAAGAGGAGACCTGCAACATACCGAAAGCAAGGGAAACCGAGCCACACAAAGTCCTGACAATACCTGAACACGACAGGCGTTCCTGCAGGCCGAATCACGATACCTATCGTGATATTAAAAAGAAGATACAACGAGATAGAATCCCTAGGACAAGCCTGGGCAATTTGCACCGGGGTGCAGTTATGGAACCCGCAACCACGAATCATCACCTAAGCGATGATACAAAAGCCAGCACACTTGACAAATACCACTGGAAAACTGATCAAATCAACTGACAGAACTGCGCGGCTGATACTGATGAGCAACTTCTTCATCAGCCAGGATGAGAGTGGAGTACAACCTCACTATGTTTGAGGTACATCCGCTCAATACAGTCTTTACGCGTTAACGAAATTCTGATTGCAATTTTATTGTCATCGCATTGCATTTTGATCTGAGCGCGGTAGTACTGACTTTAGTATGTCTCCAATCAATATTCACGATTGATTATCCCCGTCTACATACCGACGTAACGGGAAGCATGTCACCTTGCCGGTCAAAATGAACAAACACGAGAGTCTGGCCATCAAACCCCTACAATTATTCATTTTGCGCAAACTATCTGGCCTGTTGTAGTTCTTCTGTCTTTATATCATTCAGAGAAGACTACCTTGTTCCTAATGATGGTGTCAAGCAGTGAGAACACCCACCTATCACTGATTCGAGATAGACGTCAGGACCAGAAAGCCAGCTCTTATAAAGGAAGGCCCAGTCTGGTGAACGGCCAGGAACGGTTTGTCGAATCTACGGGAACACGATTGGTGGCTCGTCACAGCCTCTAATATGTTTTGCAACCCTTACGAGGAAGCGCAAACCGGAATTGGGGCGATTGATCACGAGGACAGGCTGCATAATTATGCAGAATATAAAAGACACAGTGCACGACTTCTAAAGCATTTCTTGAGAGAAGGCAAAATGGCCACGAATACGCAAATGCGAGGCCCACGCCACGCTTACCGCAACAATGGAAAACACCTTGAAGCCCTCGATGGAAGCCCGATGAATGATAGTGGCATGAACCTTCAGCAGTAATAGCGCGTATAGTGAGTCTGCGCCAGGCAGCTGACCTGGATGCATCTTCGGACGAGAGGATGACTGCGGTGGGATCATTCTCTCCAGGAAGCCAATTCTCAAATCGTGGCTGAGTGCCTTGTTGCATCTCTGAGGTTTATATGTATATTCGGCAAACGATAAATTTCCCACCTTTTTCTAGCCACATCATCACATACGTTGAAATAAGTAGACATAGTTATAAGAATATCGAAGGTTATTATTCCGATCTATGATCACCGAGAACTTGAGATAAGAACCATGGTAGAGGGTGGTTCTAGCCGAAAAGCTTAACCAATATTAACATATATACCATAAGTTAAGACAATAACTACAATAAAAGCGCTAGTGGTCAAGTGGTTACGATCCCGTCCTCCCAACAGTTGGATAGACGGTGGCCCGAGTTCGAATCTCGGCTGGCGCATGCATTATTATCATTTTATTTTTTTTAATTTTTAATTTTTTTTGAATCTTTCGATTCCGCTTTTCTTTGCGCTCTCTCTCTTTTTATTGTTGTATTGGTATTTGTGAACAAGATTTCGTTTCTTTTTGGGTCTAAAATTTTCTTTATTTGGTGGTCAGAAATACGGGGTACGCTTCTTGATGGAATCTATTCAGTCATCAGGCTAATATCGCTGTTTACCCAGTAGTCATCAGAGACATCATTATCATAAGCATAAGCATCGACAGTTGACCATCACAGTCCAGCCCGAATCAACTGTCCACCCTCCCAGGAGTCACCAGCCTCTAGCGCCTGCCATCCCGCGACAGAACCAGCCTCAACGCAAATCATCTTCTGGTACACCTCGTCGGGGCCGAGATCAGAAATCGCCTTGGTCTTTTCGATCCAAGGGTTCCAGACCACGACATCGTTCAAGGCCTCGCGGGTAATGGAGAAGAGCGGCTTGTTACCATCTGTAGACGAGACGATGATCGGGACTGTGGGATCCAGGGCCTGGTAGATACGGTCTGTTTCGCCGGTGATAGGTAGAGCGGGGTGGCTTTCGGTGTGGGTGGTTGCGTTCTGGACCTTGTCGACGTAGGTCTTGGATTCGAGGTTGTTGACGCGGATCTTGGAGATGTCCTGTTTTGGTCAGTCAAATGGCCAAAGCCAATACGCATATGTTCATTGAATCCAACCCACCTCAATGCTCAGATAGGTATGCATCAAGACCTGGAACTCAAAGTTCTCGCTACCGTTGTTCTGCACTTGCAGCGACGTTCTCAATCCCTCCTTGCCCAGTGTGACGCTGTACACGAGCGCAAACTCGTGTGACCACGCTTTGCGGAATTCCTCGCTCAGCAACGTATGCGAAAGTCCAAAGTCGAGCTTAACGGAGTCATCACCCTCTTTCCGGTTCTTCCCCAGGGATTCCGAAGAGGATTTGCCGAGAAACTCCCAGTTCGAATTCCGGGCGAAGCCGTGCTGGGGCAATGAGGATGTAGCGTGGTTCTGCGAGGTGCCAAAGACCTAGGATTGAGAGCGTGTTAGCTTTAGATGTATTCAGGGCGTTGATTGATAACAATATGGTATAGGACATGTAAACATACAGGGAAGACAACTGGAATTCCACCGCGGATAGGCTTTGAACCATCCAGATGAGCCTTTTCGCTCACGAACAATTGCTCCTGACCATTGGCAAGTTTCCAGGATGTCACTGTGGCACCAAACAGGTGAACCGTGACGGATTCGCCGGTTGGCAAGGTGGCTTCGATCTTATTCTCGCGGAGAGAGACGGTAGGCTGGGGAAGCGATGCGCCAACCCCGATGGCGGAGGGTTTGTTGGATCTGTCCATATTTACGGTTGTATTTGCTGTTTACCAAATAACCACAAGAGAAAGATGTGCAGAAGAAGTGATAGGGAGTGATGAGGATCGAGCTGTACTATGGAGAGTTCAGCTGTAGGAGCTGTCGGAGATGCGGGGCCGACATCGCGGGGCAACGTCATCCGCAGCTTCACTTCTTCTTTATACACCACTTCTACAGTCGATTTACTACACAAAGAATAGATTTGAAGCTATTAATAGCACAGAGACATGGTATTCTATCAATTTAGGGTCATATTACTAACATAATCATCCATGTTGCCACATGACAGTTGTAGCTCCCTCAAGGCTAACCTTCTCAATCTCCCGCATCTCGTCAGGAGTTAATCGCCATCCCAGTGCCTGCATATTCTGCACAGCCTGCGCGGCGCTACGAACCCCAGCCACCGGCAAAACTCCCTTGTTGATGTTGAAGTTCAGCGCCACAGCAGCCATTGGAACCTGTCTATCCTCGGAGATCCGCTGCAGGACGTTAAGGGTCGGATCGAGCATATGCATGGGATAGCTGCTGAAACGATACGTGCGTGGAGGCTCGTTGAACCGCGAGTACTTGCCCGTTAGGCGGCCTTCAGCCAGAGCGGCGTAGCCCTGGAAAACGATTCCGCGACTATGGCATTCGCGGATTAATCCTGATGTCTCCGGGTGCCGTCTGATGACGGAGTACTCGCATTGGTTCACGGCAAGGGGGACGCCGTGAGATGCGAGTTCATCGGCCATTTTTATCATCTCTTCTTTGCTGTAGTTGGCGACTCCGACTACCTTGGCCTTGCCGGTGTTCACGCACTCAGCGAGTCCTTTGGCCACTGTCGAGATCATATTGAGATGGATGGGTCCATCGACCATGTAGATGTCCACATGGTCAAGTCCGAGATTATTCAATGACGATTGGAGATCGTGGTGTGGCCCGCGGGATTGAAGTAGCGTACTCGTCAAATTGCCCCAGGCCTTCCATTTGGTCTGGATCACAAAGTTTTCCCGCGGCATCTTCTTGAATAGCTGACCGCAGATACGCTCGCTCTCACCGTCTCCGTACGCTTGGTCCGTGTCAACAAAGGTCAACCCGGCGCCTTGCAGCTTTTCCCAGGCTTCCATAATGCGGGGGAGGTCATTGACGGCGTTGTACTTCCAGGTAGCCTTATCTCCCCAGGACCAAGCCCCGATACAAATATAAGGAACGAGGACATCCTGATTTTTCCCGCGCAGTGCTATACGGGCATTGGCATCCGGGGTGACGGATGCCGGCAATACGTACTCATCTTCGCTGTACTTTGGGTCCACTGGCTTGGGGTGAGGTGAGTGTATGCCCTCTGTTGCTGACATACCAAAGGTCAAGCCTGTCTGTAAGGCATATTGTGCTCCGGCGGCGGCCATTTCGATTCGTTAATGGGTGTCAAAAGTTACATATAAGAGGTGCGCAGAATATGCCCAACTTGTTAGCAGGGCAGGATAAAGAACAATGTTTTCATACCATCCCCAGACGATGTGGGGGACCAACCCCGGATTTTATTCAGCAACGCCTGGGGAAGCGTGGAGAGGCATTGCCTCATCCGGCATCATGATGACATGCAAAGACAAGCCCTATGGCTGCGGACCTAACCTCCGACTTTGAGTTACGGCGAACGAAGGCGAACTACGGAGTACTCCGGTTGTCACGTCCCAGCTGTACGGTTTGTAGAAGTAGTGATATTCCATATCAACGGTCCAATGGACCAGGGATAACTATCGAGTCCTGCGCCTGATGATGATTCAGGTACTGAATCAGGCTTACTCTATGACCCTAATCCTCCCACAATGTAGAGAATGCTTGTCATTATAATAGATGGTGTGATAGAAAAGGAGTCCAGTATACAAAAACCGCAGATATAACATGACTGTCTAAGGTTTCCAGTCTAGTTTGTTTGTATGTCGTCAAAGATATCTATGACGGTTGAAAAACTCTGCAACTTGTACATGGCAAGTCATTCATTCTGCTAAAATCAAGTGAAATAGGCATCTTTTCTTGTGGTGTCTACCTAACCTATTCATGCCCCGCCGTCTAATCTGTCGACTTCCTTCATCGCTTCTGCGTGTCAAAAGCGTTCATATTCAGTGTCGACACAAACTCGGACATCAACTTCGACTGACATCTGATCGAAGAAACCCATCCTCAAGCCCAAGCGAAAGAGCTCCTCTCTCAAACATCCCTCCAACTACGTGCAACAGCGATAAAATGCCTGAACCACCCCAATACAGATTATGGTGCGCATTCAGCGACAAGTTATCCAGTCCATTTCCCATAACATGCACGCCCAACCGTGACATCTACTACGATCTTAAAGAGAAGATACGAGACATGGGATACTTTAATGACTGACATTGACGAATGGACTTTATACCAGGCAGGACGGCCACGGGATATGATGGATATGAAATGTGACCAGCGCCTTTCATCTAGGTTTATGGTGCAGCGCAGCCAGTCAAAAGATCGACTTGATATTGTGGTTGTTGTTCGGCGACTAGACGGGAAGAAGGATATTAGGACTGTTTTTGGGAGGACAGGTTTTATTCACTCTTCTACTCTGTTGGAGCTCATGTGCTGATTTGATAACGTACAGGACTACCATATCGTCCCCCTATACCGAATGTTCTTTTCAATACTTCTGGGCGAGTTTGGGACCATCAAGAATCGCCAGAGCTTATCGACACACTGCATTCGCAAATCTCATGTCAATATCGAAGCTACAAGAAGGGAAGGATGGACAAGACGACCATCCCATCGTATCTTTTCTTGTCCGGTGCTGGAACGGGGAAATCGCGAAACGCTGCTGAGCTACAGAATACTGCGTACAAATGTTTCAACGGGTCTTATCCTGGAATGGATAGAGAAGGCGAGCTAGCTGATCGACTTTAGGATCCCATTGTGTTCCACATCAGTTTGGAAAAAGTAAGCATCCGGACAGATTATGTTGACCCGTTGAAAGCAATCGGATACCGAATGCTGTTACAGCTCTTGAACGGAAATAAGACAGACCTTTACACATTCCATAGAACCTGGAACCCACCGTTACCGGAAGATATCATCCGCCTGCTTGTCGCCAGTGATGGCTCAAATTAGAATTGGAGACGAAGACGATAATCCTCATAGTTGACGGATTGCAGCATATCCCCCGCAAATTCGGTGATGCCTCACTGCAAGCGACGCTTGCCAGATTGGGTGATTTTGCACAGCAAGGCTTTCGCATTGTCTGTGGCACATCCTCGACTAACAGTCTGATTCATCGCAATGTGTTCGGAAGCTCGCGGAGAATGATAGTGGTGCTTCCATGTGCCCCATTGCGACTTCCTACCGTTAATAATAAGCCAGTATTAACTACCACAAGCACGTTAGAGCGAGTCCTTGTCGAAGACTGCGGTGGCCATGGACATGCACTAGAAATGCTGCTGCAATGCTTCCCAAAACCCACTCAGCCCGATAACGACATTGAATCAGAAGTGAAAGATTATTTCTGGGACATCAAACAGGGATACATGTGTATTCTGCCTCAAAAGAAAGATGCAGTCGCTATTGTAAATACAGCGCTTACGAACAGATATATTAAATGGGATGAGCATATCCCAGGTACCCAAATGACACCTGATAATCTCTGCCACTATGGACTTCTCCGGTTTACCCCGAAGCAACCATGTACCCCTTCACTAGGACGGCTTGATGTGCCATATATCTGGTTGCTACTGCTTTGTGACTCCTATCCATAAAGCGAGTTCTTTGATGAGCTCCAATTGCTCGACTATAGAGACCTACGGGCAAAAGAGGACCTGACACTCCCAGGAGGCTTTTCCTGGAGTGATTTTGAATCTTAATGATCAAAATTAGAAAGATCAAGTCACACGTCTTCGACGAAGGACAGCCCATAGCTTTCCACCAGGGTGCATTTATAGATGCTGCAACACAGCGCACCCAGCTCACCAACTCTCATATAAGCGATGATACATCTGTCCGGCAACTCAAGACGAAAACGATAGCATTGAACAGATATTACTGGAAGGTAGATACCTCGAGCTCTGGTAGGATCAACTTGCGAAAACACTCGCATATCATTCGAAACGGACAGGGAGATGCCGTATTGGCACTGGATTCGAGTCCAGCCAGAAACGAAGTTCATCAATACAAAAACGTTAAGAAGGCGAACTTCAATCTTGAAGCTGGGCGTCGAAATGCCACTGACACCAATGATGTTTTTGTCTTATTCTGAACAAGCTCGATCCCAAACATGAAGAAAGATGGCAAGTACCAAGTGCCACCGAACTGTATTTTTGTGGCGAAGGAAAACTAGGATACGTATTTCGGTCCTTACGCAGCGAAAGCCTACTACTTGTTTGCGGAGTTGCTTTAAGGAGTGATTCTGGCAGTCGTGGCTGGGTTTTCTTTATTGACGTATCGGCACATATCTGACCAGAATGGCGAGTTACATCGAGCGGTGATAGAGTGGATTGAGGAGAAGGTAGTCCGACTGAGTGCTGGCATTGGGATCAGAACAGGGGATTGGCGAGATGTTCATGGCTAGCATTGGCTTGACAGATACGCTGTTACGGTTCCTTAGTGGCTTTACGAGTGCGGACACATTAAGGTGAATCATGTTCAAGCAAGTATATCCAACTGTTGTCGTTCATAGAACAATGAATTACTCCAATGTTTATTGAAATTGTGTTTTCTTGGTTAGCCCATACAGTATGCCTTGGTTGGTAGCACATGTTCTCTGTTATTCTTGCATTAACTCTGTCGAATGACCAAAAGTTGTGTAAAATCCCGAAAACCATTGCGCCGTTCGCTATGCTCATGACCCAAAGACGCCTTAGATATGTTAACTTCGTGATAAATGCGAGGAGCTGTCACAAGGACAGCCAGACAAGAGATCATATCTTCTCATCGTTTAGCCCAGAACTGGTAACAGCGGCCATGGCTGCTCCTTCAGTAGCCGGTCTAGAAAGTCCCAATGCACTCGATGCATCTCGCTTGGAAACTTCTTCATCGACAAAACAACCCAATCCAGCAAAAGCCTCGAGCAGAGTACGTGAATAGTACTCCCCCAGGTCGTATCCTCCGGCCTGCATACGGGTATCCTGTCGGATGGGATCCAGGTATCCGGATGGGTAGTGGTCCTGCAACGTATAGTAATCCCGCTTGTTGGGCACCAGTCCCATAAAAGGATCGTACGGCTTCTCCGGTTCCGGAGTCTTGATCTTCTTCAGACCCTTGATCAAACCAGTACCACCCGCCCGCTCTGTCGGCGCCACTGGTCCTCCAGCCTTCTTAGCATCCGAGTTCCGCAACGCAGCCTGTTTCTGTCGAATCCGCTCTTCCTCACTACGACGAGCAGAGGACTTCTTGAGGAGAACCTTCTGGCCCTCACGCGCGATCGTCGCTGCATCTGTAGGCTTCCCAGAGGCAAGACGGCTGATGACGTCCTCCCTGCCGGCAAGAACCTCGCGCCGTTCGTCTTCGTATTCCTGTCGAACGGCCTGGCGGCGGAGGCGTGCTTGTTCTTGTTCCAGTGTTTGTTGTTCTTGGAATGATGTGGCTTCTTGGGCTTCGAGAGCTTGGTTCGCGCGGATGGAGCGGACGTTTTCGGATGCGTAGGCTTGTAGATCGGATTCGGTTTTGGAGACGTCGGTCCGTGTTACGAGGTTTGCGATGATCTCTTCGCGTTGTTCGAGGAAGTCGTCCCAGGCTCGTTTCGAGTCGAATTCTTCTTCGCGGCGGTTGAGGCTGGATGTTGTTAGACCCCAAACATAATAAGCGCTGGATATGAAACCCACATTTGCATCACTCTCCGCCGAATATCAACCTCCCTCTCCACGTTGATGTCTTCGAATGTCTGCTTCCGAAATCGATTCTTCCGCAACGTCTTATGGCACCCTGCCACCGGACAGTTCGCCGGTCCTCCAGAAAATATCCGGTCCACGCATGACTCGCACATCTTATGGTAACATTCTGGATTGATGAGGAACCGCATGTCCGGGTTTAAATACCGCGAGGACTTGCAGACGGGGCAGACCTCTAAGCCGGGTTAGTCCTCATCACAGAACGGTAAAGAGCTTAAAGCAGACATACCGTCATCGTCCCCGCGGTCGAGTATCCTATTCGGTGGAGGCATGATTCCGACTGCGATAGTAGGTGGTATGCGACAGAGAGTGAAGAGAGACGAAGAGCAGCGCCGAAAGACCACCGGATGTCCTATCAAGAGTCTCCGACCAATCAGAGAGCTCCGTGACTCCTCCGCCCTTCTTTTTTCTCTTCGCCTCCCGCGGGGATCTTTTTCTCTTTCCCTTCGCATTTCCCCCCTACAACTGGTTCTATTTTTTATTTGAATATCCAGTGGAAGTGGTTTATTTCCTCTTCCGACCAACAAAAATGGGCGTCCCAACCAACAACCTCCACGAACTCGAGCGCCAGCGCCGCGAACTAGAAGCCAACATCCTCAAGCTCCAAGAATCCCTCTACCACTGGCGAACCTGGGAAGCCGAATACGACGGCCTAAAAGAAGAAATCGACGATTTGGACAATCATGCCTCGACAGACGATTTCCTACGCATCGGTCGCGACTTCGGTGGTGACTTGGTCAACGAAGAGGAGGTCAAGGTGATATTGGGCGCAAAGCAGGGCGTGACGCGGTCGAAGGAACAGGCTGTTAGCCTTATATCGAGGCGGATCGACTACGTGAGGGAGAATGTGAAGATTGTAGAGAAGAGGTTGCTTACGGCTGAGAATCAACTGAGTGGGTTGGATGCTGTTGGTCAGGCGCCTCCTGTTACTGATCCGCAGCTGCCGATGACGGAGATTATGGAGGAACTTGATGAGGAGGGGAATGTTGTTTCGGGCTCGACGCAGACACCGGGAAGTGAGGCGCCGGAGCTTTTGAATATTTTGAAGAGAGTGGGCGCGGAGATTCCGGATACTCAGCAGGATACAAAGGCTGAGACGCAGCAATCGAAGGTCGAAGAAGTGGAGGACTCTCGGCCTGACGAAAAGAAGGGAGAAGAAAAAGTCGCCTCAACTCCAAAAGAAACGACGATTTCCCGTCAAGCCTTCGAAACGCAGCCTGAACCCCCGAAACCCACAGGTGAACCGCGTCCTGAAATCCCCGAAGAGCGCCCCGTCACGGAAGTCGACGAGTCTCCTGAAGATGCAGCGTTACGACGAGAAATGCTGGAATACGGAATGAACGAGATTGGTGCCGTGGTGGCAGAGCTTGAGCTTGATGAAAATGGAAGCGATGTCTCTTATGACGACGGTTACGGCACTTATGATGAAGATGAGGAAGAAGATGAATTCGGACGAAGCACGGGTTCCGTCCTGAGTGAGGATTATCACAAGAAAATGCGCGAGTTGGAGGAGAAATTAGGTGCTAAAGGAATGTGGAACATGGGCAAAGACACGGCTACGCTGCCAGATGAGATGCAACATGGCCTCGATCAGCCAGATGCGCCGGCCCCAGGAAAGGAGAAATCAAAGAAGAAGAAGGTTGCGTTCGCTGATGACCTCGATATCGCACCTGCGGCGGAGCCCCCTTCAACAGAGAAAAAGACTCTTCCGCCTCAGCAGCCCGACGTGCCTACAATGTCGGATGCTATTATCGAACGGGCCGAACCAGCCGCAAAGACCTCCGCACCGACTGAAGCTCCTAAGAAGGCCTCTCGCTTCAAGAGTGCCAGGAAGAACGCCCCTAGTAGCGAGCCTACTACACCAACTCCAGCTACAAATATCAGCTTCCGACCCCCCGAGGTCCGTTCGACAGCTCGCAAATCCGACCCGTCTCCTTCCCTGCCCCTATTCCCTGCCAAGCCTGCGGAACCCAAGCCTTTCTCTCAACCCATTGCCGATGCTTTCGTGCACGAGAAACCGCCCGTCTCGGAACCACAGCCACCTCAAGACAAGATCTTAGCGGACAAGCTCGTTGAAAGAGACATCAAAGAAGGGAGCGCCCCAGCACCCGAAGCGGACGAGATCGAGGAGAGTATTCACAAAAAGGAGGTCGCGAGCGAATTCTACAGAATGAGAAACCGGATGATCCAGCAAAACGGTGGATTCGTGAACAATGAACCCGAGACTGTTCCCTTGGACGAAGATGATGCGCCACGGGTAAGCAAATTCAAAGCCGCGCGGATGAACAAATCATAGAAAAGCATATATACCCCAACAATCAATTGCATTTGCATCACTATACTTCACCCCCCCCCCCCCCCCCCCTATCAGTCGGAATTCTCTATTCTCTATGAATACATCTCGACCATGGTGTATTTCATTCAAGGATATTCCAAGATGAACAAACCGCGGGCTCTCAGGCTGTCTTTCGTTTTCCTTTTGTCTCATTGCACGTATTGGACTGTTTTCGAGTACTTACGGGCAGTGAGGTGATGGGATATCTATGGAGAGATGGTTACGTTTCACCCTCGACATTTCCGATTCGTCTTGTAGAGTTGAGATGTTCACATTTATTTTATGCAGCCCAAGAAATATAACCAGCATCAAACAATAATATTCATTTTGCAAATACGATTAACGATATCGACATGAAACGATACGCATTCTAATTCCCATCAATGATCATTTCACCTAGACCAAGACTCCACAGCAGCAAGCAAGTCAAGATGAACCTGGCCATCACCACTTCTTTTCAGAGTTTCCTCAAAACAGTCCGTCCCCAACCGCTGACAGAAAAGCAAGATACTAGCCCAGACAAGATCAGCATAGCTGGGCGTATCCCCCAGAAAGAAAGGTCCATTCCGCTCCTTCAACAGCGCAGTAGCCTCGCGAATTGCAACCTCAACTTCACCCCAAGCTTTCTCCCCTCCTTTCTCTTTCTCCAAATGATCCAATGGCATCCCAAACCACTTCTCGCGAGTCGTATACCAGAACTCAAGACTTGCGTCGTTGAGAATCCGCTTCGGGACCTGGGGAATGAAGATAGGATAGAAAGCGCTCATGTACCGAGACCAAACGTCTTCAACTTTGGCCAGGTAGCTGGAGTCCAAGTGAAGTGGAGGCTGGGGGTGTTGCTGCTCGATGTAATTGGCGATTTTGCGCGAGTCCATCATGTAAGTTCCATCGGGGCAAACGATAGCTGGGATGGTATATGCAATACCCTCGGGGTTAGGCGGAGTGCTGCTTCAGTTAGACAAACTTGTGAAATCTTTTTTGGTAAAGGGGTACGTGTTGAGCTGACTGGTTTTCCAATTCCGGCTTGATTTCTGGATATTCAAGCTATATGTATCCATGAGCAACATTTCCAGGCATCGTTGCATAGCTTCGCTTACCCATTGTGTTCGGAAATTAAGGCCCTTGAAGTTCAAAAGAAGCCTGGCTAAATTGTAGGTTAGATTGTCACCTGATGAGTTTTTAAATTCCTCCCAGGGTGAAAAGGGACACATTACTCTTCCAGGGATTCGGCGACCATGTAAAGCCTGGTGCTTTACTGGGTAAGTCATAAAGTAGATATTGGTTGGATGCCATGTTGGATCTTCGGGCTGTTAGGATCTCTTGCAGTGGCAGTCTGGAAATCCAAACAAAGACCAAAATAACAGTTATAGTAAACTAGATTGGTATCTGGTTTGTAAGAAGCCTCTACAGCACCATTATGTATTTAAGAAAGTCTCCGAAGAGGGGAGACTCGGAGATTCGGGATTCCGGCTTTAGATATGATTCCTCAGGCAAATATGCACATCAAGCTTTCAGTGTTTCACTCTCGACATTATTATTTTTATCAAAGTGTTAGTCAATGAGATAGCATAGACATAATATTTGGCATTGCTCGAGTCCGTCTGCATGCATGTTACTGCCTACAATGACTCAACAGACAACCAGGCAGGTAGACTCATCATCCACCCAGCTCTTTATTTCCCTTAACATTACCACTGCTCTTCTCTGTTATCAGCTTATAGCTGCTACATCCTCACTTACAGTCCACAGCTCATACCAAATTAACAATAACTCACATAATGCCTGACTCTGACGAGATAGTCCCAAACCCCCCAGACGAGGAAACCGCGCGTCGAAACGCCAAGATAATCCGACGTCGAAGGATAGAACGCTCACCACATCTCAAAGCACGACACCAAGCGATGAAGACCAAAACTTCCAAATCCGCCCTCAAAAAGGTGCTCGAGATCTATGATCCAGGACTTACGATGCGTGACTGTCCACCAGAAGTGGTAGATCAGTTGATGGATATATGGGGTCTCCAGGATATAGAATGGCCTTCGGATATCGACAGGAAAGACATCGTGCCTGAGGTGGTTTATAATAGGTAGATGAAGAGATTGTTTAAAATGGGGTAAGTCTGTTTTGTCTTTTCATACATTCGAGTTCCTAACCACTTGCCCTAGATATCGGAACTTCTCAAATTATGGCAAAAACGGACGTGGCTACCTCGAAATAGCACCCAAGGAAGGACAGGATCCTCCACCTCTCCCAGAATGGCTCCAGATTGCATATGTAGTGCCCGTCAAAGAATACACTTTTCGATATATCTCGGATATTCCGAGGGATCATCCAAACTTCGAAGGTTTTATGAAACGCAACTTTGGACCTGATTGGGAAGTAAAATTGGAGGATAACTGGGTAATGAAGGGCTGGTGATGTCGATCGATTTTATGGCTTAGCTTTAGATTACTACAATTGGCATGTTGCTTCAACTATAAATCCAGTATACACGACCATAGGGTAAGGCTTCCCTTCCAGTCATAATTCCACCAGCAAATCCTGGCTGTTGCATGTGTTTTCGTATGTGAGTGTACTGAAAATATCTATTATCATGGAGAAACTACGGGTGGTATGTGCGTGTATACACGGGGAAGAGAAAAAAGGGTCTCCCTGCAAGCATCAAAACATCTCCCTTTGCTCTATGTACTTCCAAGGGGTACTTTCCGGAAACATAATTCGGTGCACACAAGAAATATTCGAGGCATCGGTATAAGTTTGTCAAAACAAAAGTCGCCAAAGGATAAGTAGTCTTCAAGCATTCATTCATAAAAGAACCATCTCGATTCCTGCCTTCGCTAAAGCCGAACAGTTAGAACCCATCCTTTAGAACAAAATAGACGAATCACTCAATCAATAACGGCTGGCAGTACATGAAGGTAAATCTCTCACTCCACGTCCCCATCCCCAATCTCCCTCATTATTTGCACCGCGTCTCTCGCTATCATTCTCACCTTGTCTCCAATCTCGCCCTCCATTCTAGCCACCTCCCCAAATCTCTCCAGCCAAAGCTCCCACCTCTCCTTACAAAAGCCATGATTTCCTTTCCAGAGCGGGCCTCCTCTCCCTGGAGCATTACCCACACTGCCACCAAAAGCTTCATCCCAGTCATAGATCTCTACATCGATAATACTGATCTACGCTGCTGCTGCGGGGGTCAATGCCTCTAGAGGATCCTCTTCTGACAATTCGTTTGGCGGTGTTTCCAGTGCGTCGCGGAGGGTGATCAGTGCAAACCAGGAGTATGCGAATACAGGTTCCTCAGTTGCCATCAAAAGTGCGGTGAATGTGTCCCAGTTGATAATGTCTGATATGGCGCTTTGTCGACGTTCAGGAAGCCCAGGAGGTACAAATGCATTCCACTCATCACGGAATCACCAGCCAAGCATAGGTAGGTCTTTCCAAACTTGCATGTCATGTAGGAATATGGGATCTTTGTTGTCTGTCTTGGCGTCTGGAAGTTTCGAGAGCTGGACTAGAGTATCGACGAGCTTGTCATGGTGATCGGGAAATCTGTATACGCACTTTATCATCAGACTCCATAGACGGCCAAGACCTTCAAGTGTCGTGTTGTCTGATAGTGAGATTGAAGCCAAATGTCTAGCTGCTTTCTGTGCAGATATATTGTCACTGAACAAGTATTGCAGGACAGCAAATCGTGAGGCAAAGATATCGTCCGTGACAGCAGCCATTTTGAAAAGATGTTTGATCTCAAATCACGAAAATAATGCATGCGAATCCTCATGTATAAATACGTTTGCAGCTGCGTGGCTGTGAGAGTGCCTTCAGTGCCTTTATTTGCTGATGACAGTCTGGTTTCACATTAAAGTTTCAGTAGACTAATATTGTCGAGTACCCTAAGCCAGGACCCCCTGCAATATTTGGTACCCGATACAGCCGGGAATTTCACGGGTCAGATATCAAGGAAACATAATGCCGGGATTATTCCACTATCGATCTCTAGCTTAGTTGCTGTTAAGTTGGCATTACCAAGTTAGAGGGTTGCAGATGACTGTAGAAAGCAGATCAGAGCTGACAATATATATATCTTCTTAATCCCCACCTTATCATATGAAGTGTGGACTAGCAGCAGAGATCTTTTGTGTACTTGCTACTTTATATCTATATAAACATATATTCTCTCTTTAGACTTCCATAACTTTGGAAACAAAATGTCCCTACCTTACCCTGAAGGACAGGCCTTCTTCAAACGGAGTGGATTGGACGCCCACCATTAAGGCTGGTACCGAGCTAACGATGAGAAGGACTTCTTCGGCCATATGATGATTGAGTACGCCTGGAACAAAGAGGCGTATCATCATCCTAGCACCTCCTACGATAATCCCCGCTCAACTTATAAAGTTGTGCGTGGCTCTTGGTGGCAAACCAATTTATGGTTGTTGGCAGGACGTTGCCTTCAGTTACGGACCAAATCATAAAGACATCAAGACACGCTTACAGCACGATCTCTATATAAATGGAAATATATTTAGGGATTTTGAGCGAGGGGCTGGACTTAGGGTTGGCTCATCACCCTCCCGTAATCTGGTTGAAATTTCGGACCGTTGCCAGTCTTACTACATGACCATGCCAATCCCAAAAAAGGATGAAGGAGGATGGGTCTTCATTGATGTAAATGACTTCCTTATTCAGACTCCAGCTTTAGAAGGTGAATCTTCTGACTCATTTTAGCGTCTCGCGTGGATCCGGTCTTTCCACATACCCATCATGCATTCCTCAAATCCTGATTATCCTGAGCTGTGCACCTTCCTTCATGTAAATTTTGCACTGGACAAAACTGTCAATATCTTCCACGACTTTGGCAATGAAACACGGCCAGTGCAATTCACCATGGACAAGTCCACAGGTATTCATATTGATCACGAATGGGCCATTGCAATTAGTGTTCCTGGACTGGTGAAGCTTCTGGCGATTCCTCTGGAATTTCGTAAAGGCAACGTTTACTCCACTAAGAATATCATGATGGTCAAGAGCTCAGAATTGCAAACAAAGTATAGAATCGACAGACATTACAGTGATGACACAGATCTTGCTTTCGAGAAAGTCTTGAGTCCCAATGTTGGGATCGATCTTCAGCCGATACTCAACGCACCTGAATTTTGGTGGAAGACATTTATCAGGAACTCGACTACAATTGCACTCGGTTTTATTCCCATCGTTGGGCCTATCGCTGCGGCTTCCTTCCAACTCATATGGACGGCGGATGATGAGCCTGAGAATCTGATACGGGAGCTTAGAAATCAGATGCAAACAGTTGATCTCACTATGGGTCTTATAGACGAGTTGAAGAGAGATCTAAAGGAGGTGAATGGAAATATCGCGAAGGACATTAATGGCGTCCTCGATACGAGTGCAAGCCATAGTTACTGCAGGAAATCGCCAACTGGGGATGTTGGGATAATATCGGCCCTAGTTTTGCTTTCCTGCAGGCCAAAGAGGTTGTGACGGCTCAACGCTGCATCAACGCCAATACAGACAAACGACACCAACATGCCAAAAAAAGCCATACGAGCAATCAAGGCAAGCACTGGTATGAGCACCATCGCACAATGCTATAAAAACCCCTTCATCATCTAGATAGATTTATTTTCCCTTCTTCTCTCCAGATTCGATATTCTCGTTGATGGCTACCTAGTCTAGATAGGAATATCATTTCCGTTATTATCTACTAGTCCGAGCCCGTGACAAACATCCAGTATCACTTGTCATATGCTGGTTTAAATTAGTAGTCTAGTCATCAATATCCACTATTGTTTATTAGGCATTATGTATGGGACCTCATAGTTGACTTCGTATTGCCATAGACATGGCCTGGTAAAAAAGCATATTTTGAAGGTCATCTGGTTACTCCGGCTACCATCCAATCTGTGAGGGCTCATTTGGCTTCATCTTGCAAATGCTACATACTGGGAAACCAGTACAAACAGTGTAGATGGATCCCTTTGTCTCATTCTGGCGGATTCCTCCTTTTCCCTTTCCAGATTCAATATTCTTGTTGAGAGACTACCTAGTCTATATTTGAATATCATTCGTTTTATCTACTAGTATCGAGCCGTGATAACCACGAGGAGCAGCCGCTTCAGTTATTGTTCTAGGTAGAACTAACTGGCCAAGCAAATTGAGTGCCATTTTCTGGGAACGGGTCCACGCGCGGGGTTAGAACCCATTAAACCTTAACTGCCGGATGCAGATACAATCCATGGTGCAACGTCATGTCATATGCTGGATCCATTTGTAACGTTGATGTCAAAGGCTTGTAATAAAGTGCACCTCCCACAGATTAATAAATACAACAATCCTATGGGCTGACGGACAACAATTGTTGAATTATAATCAGACCACCTCTACAGCATTTGACACCGAAGCTAATTCCAACATCAGAAAGCCAATATGGATCAACGCTACTATACTCTTGCTGAAGGTAAAGTAGTCAATTTACCTCTGGACTTTTTGTAGGTTTTGAGCTGATTATTTCAACAACTAAGGTTGTCCTTACGCCAGTAATGCCACATCTGTGCAACTGCGCAATGGAGGCGGTGGTGGTCTGGCACTCCTTCAAGACACTCAGCTTATTGAAACGCTGGCTCACTTTTCTCGAGAGAGAATCCCAGAAAGGTGAGTACAAGAAACTCATAGAGCCATATAGACTCTGACATAAATTTGTGTGTATTTAGGGTTGTGCATGCCAAAGCTGCCGGGTAGGTCCATTTCCCTTCATAGTGATATGATAGATCCTAACAAGTGCTCACCAGAGCCTACGGTGAATTCACCGTCACCCATGATTGTTCGGACATTACATCGGCTAGTTTTCTTAATCAAGTGGGCAAAAAAACCCAAGTCCTATGGCGCGTATCTACAGTTGGACCAGAAGCCGGCTCAGCTGATACTTCACGCGATGTACATGGCTGGGCAATGAAGCTGTATACTGATCAAGGAAACCTCGACTGGGTGTTCAATAACACTGTATGTGGGCAAGTTTGTACAATGTGACTGATAAGGATGTACTGACTTGGGCAATAGCCAGTTTTCTTCGTTCGAGACCCAATCAAGTTTCCCTCTATGAACAGATCCCATAAGCGGCATCCGCAGACCCATCTTCCAGATCCGAATATGGTAAGTAAATCCCTTCAAACTGTTGAACTTGAAGGATACCATATAGCTAACATCCGGTTAGTTCTGGGAGTAAGTGGAAATCTTCATATTTCTGGTGACACAAGTTCTTGGTAAAAAAAAAAAAATTACTGACTTGAGTAAAAAGTTTCCATGTTGGCAACCCCGAGGGTTTCCATGAGCTGCTGCACCTTTTCAGTGACCGTGGAACACCTGCATCTCTACGCCACATCAACGCATACAGCGGACACACCTACAAATTTACAACAGAGGTTGGGAGAACCCATTTTCCATGATAGGGAGCAGAATGTTAACCTTCATTTCATCTAGGACGGCTCTTTCAAATATGTCAAGATTCACATCAAACCAAACCAAGGAGTCCAGAACTTAACCAAGGAGGAGTCAGTGCGAATTGCAGGAGAGAACCCAGATTTTTTAATCCAGGATATGTTCGAAGCAATTGAGAGGGGTGATTATCCAACCTGGGGTGTATATGTCCAGGTCATGGATCCCGCACAGGCAGAGAATTATCGGTGGAACATATTTGACATGACCAAGGTCTGGCCGCATCAAGACTTTCCGCTGCGGCAAATTGGCAAGTTGACATTGAATCACAATGTAAAGTTGACTTTGTTTATTGGGGCATTACATGGTTGCTAATGTTACTTTTCACAGCCCAACAACTATTTCACTGATATTGAGCAGGCTGCCTTTTCACCATCTAATATGGTACCTGGGGTTGCACCATCTGCTGATCCAAGTATGTATTTTCTTATACAAATATACGGTGGTGCTTTTATCTGATATGTGCCCTCAGTGCTGCAAGCGAGGTTGTTTGCCTACCCTGATGCAGCAAGATACCGACTGGGAACTAACTATCAGCAACTTCCCACAAATGCTGCCAAAGCACCGGTGTATTGCCCTTTCCAACGTGATGGCTTGATGAACTTTTCAGACAATTATGGGGCTGATCCAAACTATGTTGGCTCCTCACTCCAACCCACCAAATTCTACCAAGACATAAAAGGAGTCGGACCAAAGTCCCTCAGTGTCCTGACTGAACATGAGAGGTGGGCTGGAGAAGTTACCAACTTTACCACGCATGTTACAGATGAGGATTTCGTCCAGCCCGCTGCTCTGTGGAATGTGATCAAGAAAGACCCAGGTCATCAGGAGAGATTTTTTGGGAATGTCGCTGTGCATCTCAGTAAAGTCAAGAGTGATAGGCTCCGACATGAAGCTTATAGTATGTGCCGTTCCCCAAACCAGCACTTGAAGGAAAAGGCCAGTTGTGCTCAGGCTAACGGCTTGTATAGCATTCTTCTCTCGTATCAGTCAAGACTTAGGTGCAGGTGTGAAGAAGGCTACAGAAGACCTTGTAGTTTCTAAATTACACTAGATTACCCTTCCCACCAAGACCACGAAACGGAAACAAAATCCAAATGTGTCTTAGGTCTTGTCTGTCTTTTCTGGAGACAAAGTCTTCACCGGTCCCCCGAGGCCAAGAAGATGCCTAGAATATGTAATGTAATAACAACGGGCCAGTGGCTCAGTGATATGGACACTGAGCCTGGCTAACCTGCCGGTGCGCACATCACTAGGTAGTTTGTAGGTTCGAATCCTGCCTGACTCTCCACCCACAAATCTTGTTTATACCAAGTATCTCTCTCGCAGGTTTTCCCCCGAGCCTGGACGGGGTTTTTTCCTTGCGAAAAAACAGGTAAATGCCGGATTAGATCCCCTATACCTCTCTACTTTACTGCCTGCCCAGGAGGTCTCATCTTTACTAAGCATACTCCCGCGCGGGAGGTGCTTCCTGTACATAAAATAGCCTCAGGCTCTTACCAGGCAGTTCCGCTCTGCCCGTCGTATATTCCGTTCCGGGATCCCACACCGACGTTAAATAGCAACAACACCACCACCAACAACAACAACAACAACAACAACAACAACAACAACAACAACAACAAATATGCAGTGCAAAGCTGTTCAATTATCCAAGACAATCTATTGGCGCATCTTAAAATAAAGTCGAATGGTTCTCTGTGTAGTTGTGTTGCAGATAATGGAGTAAGATTTATATGCTAATTTGAGGCCTTTTCATAAAGATTGCCACGCAAGAATACATAATCAACGAGAAGACCAATACTCTATGAGCAACCTCATTTGCTACTTTGCTTGTTGGCCGTCTCCAATCTGCAGAAGCAAGATGACTGGATTGGAATATCCGCCACGGCCATTGCTACCTTTAGTGGAATCTGAATCATTCGGGCCTCGGTAGTACGCCCAAGCCGTGTCATACATTCATGATATCCATGCAGGGCCCAGACGTTGTTCGGATGCCGGTGAGGCCCAATGAGTTTACAGCTGAGAGCGAGGTCATCTGCATAAACCTCTGCCGCCTCGGCCACATGGTCCTGCTCGAGGAGAAGTGCCGCATAGGCATGTCGTGATGGCAGCATCCAGCCCGGCTCCGAATAGTGGAGATTGTCCTCTTCATGAACGGCCTGGCGGAGGCTAGCAAATGAAGCCTTGTAATTACCCCGTCGATATTCGAGCTCGCCATCCAGCATGGCCGCTACAACCTTAAGTTCATCGACAACTCGATTAAGGAAGTCCATGCGCGTCGGAGGCACGCGCTTGGCCGCTGCATAAAAGAGTTCTCGCTCCTTGTCTGCTTTCTCGAGATTTCCGGTGGCCGCCCATGCGATGGCCTTGCCGTAATGCGTCATAACCACAGTCACACAGTAGAGCTCCCTATCCTCAGGAATGGGGAGCTCCTTCAGTCCCTCCCAGAAACCAAATCGGATGAGGACATGTACTCGCACCGATTTGAAAAATTCTATCCATTCAGCCATGGGTGGTGACTCAATCCGTAGCATATCCTCAGTGATGGTGGTCTCCATGCGAGTGGTGGACTCAAGTGCGATCTTTGACTGGCCTGCAAGCATGCAGGCATATATTAGAGAGTGGTAGTTATGCAGCCGGTAGAAGCTATAGAAGTTTTCCCCACCTTGCCGCGCAAAAAACTTGTCATCAGCAAAAGTAGCTTTCATATTGCAGTCAATTGATCGACGGTAGTCGCCAACAAGAATGTCCAGGTGAGATGGCATATGGCGGAGATGTCCAGCATCAGGAACAAGATCACGCAGGTGGTCTGCGGGCACGAGCGCAACTTCTGGAGTGGCAGACACCTCCATCAGGTGTATATATAGGTGCAGAATCCCAGGATGCTCTTTGGCCATGGGGAATGCTAGGCCACTCTCGAGCAACCCCTTCACTTCCAGAACAGGAGTGCTCAAGATTGGCTTGCCAGTGCTAGCATCAAACATCCCCCATGGATTCATGTTCATCAGCGCATCGGCAAAGAGCGTGATCACATCCAGATCAGTTTCTCCAAAATCCCGGTAGACACGTCTCATTGCGTCCACGTAGGCTTTATTAATGGCATCAAAATCTTGGACGACAAAGTCGGTTGGAAAGCGGTATTGTAAGGCTTTGATCAAAGCCTTTTCAAAGGGCATGGCGCTTATCGTATGTTCCTCGGCTGCTCGAATAACATGGTGACCCTTTCTGACTGAATACTTCAGGTCGTCCTCATCAAACATAGTCCATTTCTTGTTGTAGTTGGGACCAGCGACAAAGGCTACTCCCCAGTAACCCATGGCACAGTCCGGGTCGTGGGCAATGACTTGCTGGAAGCAGTTGCCCGCTTCCTCGTGGTTAAAAGAGTAAGCCCAAGTAAGGCCCCGATCGAACCATCTCTGTGCATCGATACTGTTGGTGCTGACTTTGCGACTAAAGCATCCAAGGTCATAATAATCCTCAGTGGCGGCCACTGGGGTTGCCTGGATAAACTCAGAAGCCATTTTTAAGAATAAACAAAAACCAATTTTCCTCTCCTCTGAATAGCAACACCATATCATCTACGTAAAGATGACGCGATTGCCCGAAGAATGCCAGAGGCAACATGGACTGAGTTATAAAGAACAGAATGGAAAGTCACATTCGAGGGAAATGAACAATCAACTAATGAACTGTTTCATACCTTATATCCCCATAACACAAATCGCCTCACACCATGTTTGATCACAATACTCCCGGCCCAATTCAAACCACTCCATAACATCTGCAAGTTCCTCGACGCCTTCTATATCTACGCCGACGAGGCCTGTCACAACATAACACGCTAGATCGAGGCGACCCATTATTGCGCACATGTGCGCTCCGGCGTTCGACAATACGTCATCTACGACTCTTCTGACAAGAACGCACGTTTGATTGGGGTTGAGTATATGATCACTAAGGAAAACTATGACAAACTCCCTGACTACGAGAAGAAGCTCTGGCACTCACACGACTTTGAAGTCAAGTCAGGTATGCTCTTTCTTCCATGCCCGGAGGGCGCGGATCCTCAGGAATGGGGGAATGCCGAAAAGGAGGCGATGAAGGATATTGTGGGGTTATATGGCAAGACATGGCATTTCTGGCAGGTTGATCGCGGGGATGAACTTCCAATAGGGTATCTAACATTGACGTGGTCATTGACAGAATACAAGCAGGTTGATTTGGATTCTGCGCTGAAGGGACGGAATGTCCGGTTGATGGTGGATCACCATGACAAGGCGCAGCAGAGGGAAGGTATTGAGAAACCTGAAATCATTCCTCTGGCAAACTACTGGTGGAAAGAGGGAAGGTAAATATGGATCAAGCAAGATGAATGTTGGGTAATTTGGCAAAGGCTGTAGTATTAAGCAATAATCAGTTTTGACTGCCAAGTAGTGAACATTAGAGAGTAGGTACACTGAGGAATGCAAGCATTGAACTAGTCCTCGCCAGACCCTCAGAAATGGCGACAGTTTTGGACTCTTCGCCCGACTCTCAAGAGGTCACTCCTTTTTCCTTCACCCTCCTCACCCGCCAAGGACCCTCAATTACATAATATTCCCTGATTGGTAGTTAACTAGTTAACTAGTTAACTAACTAAATACAGTAACTAACTATGCATCAAATTGCTGACTTACCTTAATAAATTTCTGTTATTTAATTACACTTGCTTTGGTGATAACCAGTACTAAATAACTTAGATTCCATGAGAACTCGAACTCACTTCAAACAATATTTCCTCAAAAGGTCAGCCTGGCTGTAATAGCAGGGCCGGAATCCTGACACCGCCGAGTGTATCAAGTATGGGAAGAAGATTTATCGAATCTTCTGGCATTTGATTGAATATCAAACTGTATGATGGCGTAACCGATTCGGTGAATAGATGATTGAATTTAATGGCCTGATACAACGCGGCGTCAGCACTCCAGAAGAGAAATACTGAGATTTATAGACCATGAGTCCGGAGCAAAAAAGAGAATAATATTAAAGGCACTTGAGTTTGCCCTACACCAATAACTACCTTAAACAACAACGAGCCTTCTGCAAGTCATCAGGCCCTTGACCATGACTCTTCATGAAAGTTGCATGTGCGGTGCTACCGCTTATACCTCTCTCTGTAGGTCAATGCCTGTCGTGCATACCTAATTCTATGTAAGTACTTATGGACCATGCAGCGGAGCCTCTCGTAACAGCTCTCTGCCACTGTGTTGACTGCCAGAAGGTGCGTGAGTATCCAAGTCTTGCGTCTTCTGGTAATTGAGAGCTAATAATACTTTGAATAGTGGACAGGCGGTGCTTTTACCTCCAATGTTGTGGTGCCAAGAGATACCTTCAAAATCACCAAAGGTATGCAAAGATTAGGCCAGTTCTAGTCACAATGTTCGCTGATATTGAATTATACAGGAACCCCCAAGTTCTGCGACATTACAGCTGGGAATTTTGCTCAAAATGGCCAACCCAACAATCCCTTTGGATTCACTGATTCTTGTAACTGCAGCAAACGGTCTAGTTGCATCTCACATTACTGACCAACTTCTTGTTGTTGGATACCGTGTCCGTGGAACAATTCGAAACAAGACCAAAAATGCGTGGATGATCTCCCTATTCAATGACCGATATGGATCGGATCGTTTCGAGCTTGTTGAGATACCAGATGCGTCCGTGCCAGGCGTGTGGGATGGGGTCGTCAAGGGAGTTGCTGTTATTGCGCATGTCCTCGGCACCATAGATGTAATGACACCAAACGGCGAGAAAGCAGCTGAAGAGGAACTCCCGTGGCATCTGGCTCTGCTCAATGCTGCTCAAAATGAACCTACCGTGAAGTCATTTATCTATACGAGCTCTGCCTGGGCGGCATGGGCCCCGGATGCAAGCAAGAAGATCACCTTGACCGAGTGGACTTGGAACGAAACCGCAGTTGAATTGGCCTGAAGCGATGCGTCTCCTGAGGAAAAGGGTCTCTTTGCTCAGTACATGGCGCTCAAGGCAATTCTAGAGCAGAAGGTATGGGAATGGGTGAATCGAGAAAAACCTTACTTCACATTCAACACTATCCTCCTCGATACCGTCATTGGTGACACCCTCCAGCCAAAAGAGTTGGGCATTCCTTCTACTGCAGCCATGGTCAAGTGGGCAGTCGATGGGATTAATCTTCCAATTTTGAATGGGTTCCAGCCTCAATGGTACGTCAATACACGGGATGCTGCTTTGCTTTATGTTGCAGCATTTACTGTACCTGGTGTTGACCGAGAGCGCTTGTTTGCATTTGGTGACCGGTTTAGTTGGTCAGTACCCTGTTTTTAATTTCTTTCTATTGGATGGAAGTTCCTATATGTCAAGAGGTATCTAACATATCTACATTGACAGGCCACGGATTGTTGAAATCTTAGGGCAGCTTTTCCCTGAAAAGAAACTCCAAGCAGATCCAGACAGCCCTTACTCTGTAGCGAATAGCAACAACGTCTCGATTGCCGATACCATAGGGGAAGAACGCAAACCTCGACCAGGGATTGGGAGATACCTGCTTAGTGAGATTAACACGAGCTGGACGGATACCACTGTGATTATCTGTGGTTTTGTCAGTGGTCTGGTGGATGGTCTTTCGTTCACCTACTGGAACAGTTTCTCGGACATGAAAACAGGTACATCACTGACTCCACAGGGGCGTGGGATGTCAAGTGTGACGGCTCAACGCCAGACAAACAGCGCCAACATATCAAACGATGCCATACAAGCAATATGGGCAAACAAGGGCTTAAGCCGTACCACACAAATGTCTATAAAGACCGTTCATCGCCTAGATAGATTTCCTTTTCTTCTTCTTCCCCAGATTCGATATTCTCGTCGAGAGGCTACAACCTAGTCTAGATATGAATATTATTCGTTTTATCTGCTAGTTTCCGAGCCCGTGACAGGTATAGGCGTCCACAACAACCAAAAACGAGTCATAGCTCTTCCCTATCCACTTGCTCGCAGGTAATACCGTGATAAAATCCATTGTCATAAGGTCTCCCGGGCCTTCGGGGACTGGTAATGCCTGAAGTTTGCCATATGGTACGTGCCGGTGTACCTTGATTCTCTGACAGAGGTCGCAGGTCTTTGTGTACTTGTCAACATCACAGCGCATACCACGCCACAGGTATTTCTGCTGTATGCTTTCCAGAGTGCGTTTGGACGCTTGGTGTCCGCCCGTAGGGTCATCATGATAAAGCTACAAAGAATACTACATATAACTAGACATAACTCCGTAATGGATGTTATGGGGTTGTCGTACGATCCCGTACGAACCCTCCGGATATGACTCGGCACTACGGCCTTCGTGGTATGCAAGGGGTGCCCCCTTGATATGCTTGCTATATATATGTCCTGTTCCTCGCCAGACCGTCTTGTTTCCTTTTCCTCTTCAGCTATTCCTTCTTGTACGTACGGCATTCTTTTAGATTGAGACAATCGAAGTGTGACCCCTAACAGTGCCGACCCCTAAGATTAATTTATGCCTCAGTTATCTCATTCCTTACAACATAATACATTCATTAAAAGCCACAATGGGGCTACCGTGTGCGCCGAAACCTCCCCGAGCAATAAAGAACAAGAGATGAAATAAACAACAACTCCACATGAAAGACTTTTGTTAGAACGCCGGGACAAAAACCTGCCACGCGAAGGAAAAGGCTAACCGTAATGGTGAACTTGAGTGGGAACAGGCATTTCGCCGAAGATAGTGTACATCTCTGGCATGTCGGGGCTCAGGGTGTCTTCGCAAGCTTGCATAATTTCAAAATCAATCATGGTGACTGAACGTGTTTCCGGGTGGTAGAGAATATTATGCTTGCCAGTATCAACGGACAAAACTGAGAAGCTTCTGAGTATAAGAACAGCTTTAAGGATTTCGGAGCGGATATGTTCCTTCTCAAGCCCAGAAATAGTATCCCAAAGTTCATTAAGAGTCTTGCCCGGTACTTTTGTCATTATAAGTATATTTCCCTTCGGAAACAGTGAAGAGCAAGAGATGGTCCCGTGGCTTAGCATCATTGCAAAAAAGCTATAGCCTTGAGGTCTCTTCGCGTAAATATTTTCATAAGTCATGGCTTCGTGCGCGTAGCTTTGGTAGTATGAGGGAGACCAGCATTTGGCTATTGCTGACTGGCCATCCCAGGTGACTTCATAAACAGCTTTGTGCTTTGATCCATGAATCAGGCGTTTGCAGTTGACCAAAGTCGTCGCAATGCCGTTATCAGCCCCAAAAAGAATACTCTGGGATCCTATGTTTTCGTCTGGGGTGTTTTGTTTTGCTGCAATCTGATTTCGGAAGGGGGATGGGTGGGTCGATGCTTGACAGAACACATCTGCTGAAATAGACAATTGCTCAGCGATGAAGTCTGCGGGCTCGATGAACGTCGGATCTTGAGAAGCAAATAAAGCCATAGCCACAAAACATTGCCGGATAGATGGGTTCGTAGACTTCTCGCTGATGGGCATCGACATCTCAAATCTAAATGGGGCAGTTCTGCGGACAAACACAGTGCTTCTATATGTTGACAAAAATCCGAATCTGAGATTGGAAGACCGCATGTACGATATGAGTTGACCGAGATGTGGTTGCAGAGGTACCAAGGCAGGAAACCCTCTGCGGATGGGATGATTTTCCAGCAAGAGAGTCCAAAAAGTTTTTAATTCGCCGACCAGAAGAGCTATCGAGTCCAACAGGGAAAGCATCACGACATCCGGAACTTTCTCAGCATCATGAGGAGGCAAAGCCTGGTAATCTCCGAACTTCATGTTTGAAAGGTGTGTCACGGAGAGTGCTTTCATGACAGCGTCACAAACGTGTTTAGAAAAACGACCAGTTAATCCCAGTTCACTAGCAGTACGGTACTCCTCGACCTCATCTGTCAAGGAAACCAGCTGACTCAAGTCGAGGGAAGCACAAGCCTGGATAACATCTGATTCGAAATTCTCCCACTCGTAAAAAAACCGGGCTGAGACATTTTCGTTGGACCTGGAGGGATATGTGGTGCCTCCTAACTTGTTAAGGGGGGGGAGGGGTCGTGATATCAGCTCTAGTGCAGACTCCATCGTTCCTTTAGAATGTGGAGAAGATGGAAGACATGAATGGTTGCGGACATGATGTGACGGGTGTAGCGATGCCGAAGGCAAGTGGAGTTTCTTACTTGAAGGGACATGTTATGTGGGGCAACCCAACTAAACAGTGTAAACTAAGCAAACCAACCATTTCTTAAGTCAGCAGACCCCGCTTTTCGGCGTGTTGGGGTGGACGTGGACATAGCTCACCCGAGGTGCGCGAACAACCCAAGCGAGTTACCCAAACACGTGACGCCAAGGCCACTTATTAAGCAGGAACCGCCCAAGCGAGATATTTCGTTAGGTATTGTATTGAATCCAAACTTAACATTCTATTCTCCTCTCCGCGTGATGCAGAAGTTTGAGGACACCAACTACTTGCCAACTGCTTCTGCTCCAATAGTTATAGAAGCAGGTGAGGAGAGTGAAGTTACGCAACAGGAGGAGGTAAGATGATTTTCCAAGTACTTGGGAACTGGTTGGCAAGCAGTTACTGAATACTTATCGGCTCCGACAATACTACCTGTCCCCCTTACCCAGGCCAAAGGTAACAACTCCCTTACTTCGCTTCATATTGAGTATATACAGGATCTCCCTGAGTACCCAGTATCTCATATATATGGATACACTTATGTAGTAGCAGTTGGGAATCGCTCACAGGAAGAGATGGAGGAACTAGTCCATGATGTAAGTAATTACCAACCACTTGCCAAATACTTACTAACCACTTCACCCTAGGTTCAATATGCAAAAAAACTCAAGTGGGGCCAGAAGCGGCCTGTATACTTTCCATTTTTGAACTCTCAAGTAAAAAAATGGACCTGGACATGCTCCGGAATCTTTGCATGTGAATATCTAAATCCATATATTGCATCGTATCATCATACCGTGCATGTAATGAATCGAACAATCAACAAACACGCCAGGAAAGAAAAAATCACAAAAAAAGCAAATATACGGAAGGATTCATTAAGGCTAGATCACGGGATATTGATAATTTGATTCCTTGGGGCATATATAAGCCGAGGCTGCTTAGCACAATACGTATGCATCTTAGGGCTAGTCCAGGACAACACGAGACAGAAAAGTCCGTCCATACAAGCAAAGACCAAAGTCGAGAGCTATTGAAAACCAAAATGTACTATGCATTGCAGGATGCTTCTAAGAGCAATATCATCCTTGAAAGCAAACAAAAATGCATAGCGCATCCCATAAGCCCACATTACCCACATGTCCAGCAGTGAATACATCAGAGCAACACTGCCATAACTCCAAACAAAAAAAAAACAAAAAAAACAATAGTACCCTCTCCAACTCCGTATCACAAGACCAGTCTCCCAGACGAAGGAAGATTGCAAACAGCAGCTTGGCTAGTTGTTATTGTTTGCTGGGATAAACGTACCATGTCAGAATCCCCAACTTCACCTGCTGAAATAACAAGAAGCTCTTCGCCTGATAAAAGCAGTCAACAGGGTATGTTTGCGGTGACCTATTTCCAGAATATCGTCGCGTGTTAGAGTTTTATTGATTCGTTCGCCAGATTGTCAAATCGAAGACGAAAACCCTCCCGGCAACCAGAAGACTCAGAGACGTTCAAAAGCCATCGATTTGATACGCGCCCGAACGGTCGTCCGCATGTCTCCACCCGCGTCTGCAGAGAACTCCCCCGTGAAGACGGAGTCGCCAGGACGATCCCCAGAGATATCTCCAACAAAGTCACCCGGTAAATGTCCAGGAAGTCCCCCACAAAGGCCAACGCACGGGTCTGTGCCGAAGTCGCCTAGCAAGTCGCCGAAGAAGCAACCGGGGAGGTCGCCAAAAGCGTCACCAGCCCGGAAGAACATGCAGCCACAATCTCCCGCTCTACATGGACAACCTGTTCAGCTATACAAGAACCCTGTTCCCGCCCTGGGACCGTCTCTCATGCCGAAGCCTCAGAGAGAGCAGAGCTCTGCATCCTTAAGCAGCGAAGCGGGCTATCAGTATTTTGGCGGCAATTATACATATCCGTACATGTTGAACACACAGCTTTTCCCCGAACAGGATGCTGTCAGTACAGTTCAGCCCGCTTCGTATATTGCTCCTGTTTATACCGGAGGAACGACTATGGCGCAAAGCCCAGTCCTCCAATTCGAACAGGTCTTCCCTCCCACTCAGCTTCGAAGTGCCCACAGCAGCCTCGCGTCGTTTGAAGCGGAGTGGAGGGCGAATCCAGAATCATTTGTCACGACCTCAAGCGGGGAAGACGCTGGAGCGGTAGCTGAGCAGTCTAATACTATTCGCACGGGAGAGGACAATATATCGTTTCCAGACTCTCGAAATCTTGCAGTTACCTCACCAGAAACAAGCAGCACAACCGAACGAAGCGAAGCGCAAGACACCCAACCTCAACCTCTCCCAAACCCGATCCCGCGCAGAAACACACTTTCCACAAAAACCAAACCCAAGTTATCCCCCATTCAAGAAATCTCCCGACAGGACACTCTGTCTCCAAAATCCGAAACCTCCTCAACAGGCATAACAACAGATCCCCCATCACCCGCTAGATCCATCGACTCGTCCCAATTTTTCAAAAACACTTCATCAATAAGCACGCAGTCCAGTCCCACATCCAGCGCAGCAACAACCACAACAACAGCCACCACGATAACCCGCAAACAGAACCCCCCCGACTTCTTCTACCAACTTGACAGCCACGGTTTCCCCTGTGCCACCAGCACATGCGATAACCGCTGCAACCTCTGGGACGGCACGAGCGTAATTTGTCCTAAATGCGGACCCTACTCTGAGATCCGGTACTGCTCAAAGGCCCATTTACTGGAGGACGTCAAGTGGCACTGGGCGTATTGCGGGATGATGGCGTTTGAGCATCCGTGTAAAGAGAACAGTATTCCGAGGGAGATCCGCGTGGACATGCCGTGTTTGATTCCGTGTGTGCATGGGTATGATACGCCAGAGAGACATCGACAGGCTGTTTATTTTAATGTCTGTGGTGCGCAGGGGGATTATTTTATCTTTTCGGATTGGGGTGATTTGATGGAGGCTGGTGGGAGGTCTGATGGGATGGCGGCGCGGTGCTCGTCGAGGGTTATTTGCACTGTTACCTTTGAGGATCCAGTCGAGAAAGATCGATTTCGTCGTGTCCTCGCGGCCTGTCTTTTCCGTAAGACCCTCACCATTCCAATACAAACACGGGCTAACAAACCCAGTAACAATCGAAGTCCCCGATCTAGCAGACTACCTCTTCCGCCTAATCCGCAACAACCTCCGCACAAAATCCCTCTGGTCCAAAACCCTCCACCAGTCCCTAATCCACCAACTATCCCAAGAACTCTCCATCCAAACCCAACCGCACATCACCGGCGAGCGCCACGCCTGTCCAACAGACTGGGACGGATGCAGCCGGCGCGCTTGTAAAGATGTTGTTTGTCAGGGCGAGTATTGGAGGTTGCTTGGGAAGTTAGGGGGGATGGGGTTTGGACGGTTGCTAGAGCATTTGGAGGCAGGGTATTGGGTGCTTAGGGTTGCGAGGACTACGCATCCGGGGGTTAGGGTGGTGGAAGAGAGAATGAGGGGGGAGGGGTTTGAGGGGGTGTTGGAGGAGGATAGGAGGGTTTTTCGGAGGGGGGTTGGGTGGGATGGAGTTGGGAGTGGGTGTATGGAGATTGAGGGGGTTAATGTTTGATGCATTTTATTTGGAGGAGATCGCCTAGAGTTGATTGCGCATTGCTCAAGATTTCTGTATGATATAGTGAGTGCAGTCATGTTTGGATAGCACATAGCTTTGTCACAGTCAGGCTCTGCTATTGCACAGAAAGTGAAAGGAAACGATAGGATACTGTACGAATACGGGATTGACGATGATAATTCGCATAATGATATACTTGCACAAGATATTGGAAATAAGATGATTTGAAAACCCGAGACATCTAGTTTATTCCTTCTTATCGAATGCTCAAATATGTACTTGCCTGATAACATTCAAAAAAAACATGAATAATCATACGTAACACAGTCAGAAGACGTATGTGCTTATTGGATATACTTTTTCAAACCACGCAACCTCTCCTTTGCAGTCTCAAGGACGTCGTCGTTCTTGCAAACGGCAAAGCGGAGGTAATCCTCGGCAATGTGCTCATTCGCATCGGTGTAGAATTCAGTAGGAGGGATGGCAGCAACTCCAACCTCATGGATGAGGAACCAGCAGAGTTTGAAGTCGCGGGGACGGTTGGCCACATGAGGAGGGAATTTGTAGTCCTCTGGCAGCTTGATTGAGGCCATGTTGGCCAGAACGAAGTAACCACCTTCGGGGTCAGAGTACTGATTTGCGATTAGCGCGGTCCATCGAGCAATGATCGTAACCAAACGTACCGGAATGCCAAGCTCCTTGAACACTTCACAGAAGCGTTCCATCTTGCTCTTCATCTCTGCGCGACTTTCGTCCCAGAATCCAACCTGGTCGGCTTGTTCAAAGGCAATAGCAGTCGCTTCTTGGAGGGGAGACACGGAACTGTAACAAATCCGAGTGTGTGCGCCAGCAACATACTTGATCAGATGCTCGGGTCCAATCAAGTATCCAACACGCCAGCCGGTGGCATAGAATGCCTTACCGGCGGAAGCCACGGTCAGAGTGCGCTCGTACAGCTCCGGAGACAGGGTGGCGATTCTGGTGAACGGAACGTAGTAGAGGCGGTCATAGACTTCATCGGAAAGAATGATAAGGTTGTGCTTAACACAAAGCTCACCAATACGCTCCAGTTCAGCCTTGGAGAAGACCTTGCCAACAGGGTTGTGACTGTCATGGTTAGAAATTTGCAGGAATAGCATGTCGAATGCAACTTACGGAGAGTTCAGCACCTGATAGAAGTTAGCCTTTGTCAAGAACACATTTGTATTGAAGGATGGCACTCACAATCATCTTAGTCTTAGGATTGATCGCATTCTCCAACTCCTCAAAGTTAATCGTCCATTCCGCAGCAGACGAAGTCCTGGTGGCTCCGTCTGTGGGCGGGTGAAGTGGGACATAACGAATAGTACCGCCGGGCATTTCAATATTGCTGATGTACCTTGGAGCGTGTCAGAGTGAGAATGCGAAGGTCGCATGCCGCAACTTACTGGTCGAAGAATGGCTCAAAGATGATGACCTCGTCACCGGGCTCAATGAAGCCCATAAAAGCACTCAGCATTCCTATCAAGATGATCCAGAGTCAGCTGCGCATGTCCGGTATAACTCCGAGAATTGCGATAATATTATCCCACCTTCATTGGCACCAGTGGTGATCGAGACCTCGGTATCTGGGTTCAAGGTGCGTCCAAAAAACGGGGAGTAGGCATCCGCGATGGCTTTCTTGAGACGGGGACGACCCTATACGGCATGAGCACTGTGCCAAAATAATTCCTTATGCGACAAGTACCTTCGTCGGGGAGTATTGGTTGCAGTCCACACGATCCAGCGCTTCCTTCGCAGCGTCAAGGGCGAACTTCGGGGGGTTATAGCCACTATCAGAGACCGGACATTAGCATTTATTCATATGCTTACTAGAAAGGATATAACCACTTACAAGAAACCTTGGCCCATGTTCACAATAGGCTGGACCGGCGAAGCAGCAGCGGCTTCGTTAACGATTGACCTGCGCAACCCAGTAAGAAAGATGCGCCAGCTTCAATTCCCCC